AACCCTAACCCTAACCCTAACCCTAACCCTAACCCTAACCCTAACCCTAACCCTAACCCTAACCCTAACCCTAAGCTAACCCTAACCCTAAAATAACCCTAACCCTACAGGCAGCTAAGGAAGTCCTACAGGGCTCTCCAGTGCAGCTTAACCCTACTAAAAGTAAGGAATGGTCTCTAAAGGACCTACAGCTACAGGGCTTACCGGCATTAGGGACCTTTATAGGCCCTATAACCGGTAGAAGAGCCTTCTTAGCGGCAAAGCTAGCTACCCTGGAGAGAGCCCTAGAAGCCCTACGAGACCTCCCTAAGCAGCATAGCCTCCTTCTTCTTAGGGGAAGTATACAGCTTCTTCTAAGGCACCTACAGCGGCAGCTATGCCCTATAGGCCTTGATGACCTGTGGGGGGAAGCTGATACCCTTATAAAGGAGGCTATCCTAGCTATAGCAGCTAGATCCCCTAGTGAGATCCCTAAGGAGCCTAACCCGGCCCTTATAGCCCTACCTACCCGGGAGGGAGGTCTAGGAATTCCCCTACACAAGGAGCTAGCCCCACAGCTATATCAGGCAGCTATAGAAGCATCTCAACCTACCCTAGCTAGGATTAGGGCGGCAGCTACAGGGGATCCCCCCCCGATAGCCCCTATAGCCCCTAGAGGACCTACTGCTAAGGAAGTCCTTATAGAGGCTAATAAGGCGAAGCTAGGCTCCTTCCTACAGGACCTACCTACCCTATACCAGCAGGCTAGGGTAGAAAACGCTAGCTACCTAGGCCGTAAGTGGCTAGGAGTCTTGCCTACCAAGAAAACCCTATCCTTTGCAGACTCTGAGATCACCGAAGCCCTCCGAAGCCGGCTCTTTTACCCCGTTAAACCCCCTAGCCTACCCTGTAGCTCCTGTGGGGCTATAGTGGCTTTTCAGCACCAAGATACCTGTAAAGGCGCTATAAGAAGGTGGACAGCTAGGCACGATACCGTGGTTAGAGCCTTCTATAACGCCTTAGCTACAGAGCCTACCCTAGAGGTCCAGAAGGAACCCTTAGTGGATAAGGCTACTAGCTTACGGGCTGATATAGCGGTTACTATAGGGAATAGCCGCTACTTCTACGATGTTCAGATCGTAGCTATAGCTAAGGATTCAGCTAGGTCAGACCCTTACGAGACCCTTAGAGAGGCTGCAGAGGAAAAACGCCGGAAATACAGGACCCTAGGGGCCTTTTTTCAGCCTATTATTATCTCTTCAGGGGGCCTTATGGAGCTAGAGACCGCCAAGACCTACCGGAAATTACAGGACCTTGTAGGGCCTGTAGCAGCTGCACAGCTTGATTCCTCTATTGCTCTAGCTCTTACAAGGACCCGGGCTATCTCGGCTGCCTCTATTAGTAAGGAAGCCCCTAGAGGGATAGCTAGTTCCCTCTGGAACCCCTCTAGAAGAGACCCCTAAAGGCTTCCTATAGCCTATCTATCCCCTATAGCTACTACCTATAGTAGCTACTAACCTCCTTCTCTTACCTCCTTCCCTTACCTTATTTTTTACCTTATTTCCTTACCTACCTTTACTACTTACTTTCCTTACCTTATTCCTTTATCTATCCTAACTACTTACTTTCCTTACCCTATAGCTAGCTCTATTCCCCTTATTGTCTTACCCTATACTGCTTATAGCTCTATTTTCCTTATACTTCTTATTTCCCTTATTTTCCTTATTTTTCTTATTTTCCTATAGCTATAGTTATCTCTCCACTCTCTTATACTGTATATAGTACTTAGAAAAGCAACTGGGCAGATAGCTTAGATAGTTAATACCACCCTATCCTAACCCTAAAAAAAAATCAGCTGAAAGAGGATCAGTCACGTCCACAGCAGCAACCTGATCAAGTACATCGTCATCTTCAGGCAGAACTGACATCCGCTTCTGGCAGACAGCAATATCTCGGTAGCCCGGATGGCTACGGCGCAGGAAATCCAGCCACGCCTGGAGACAGCGACGGCGTACGCGGAACTGGCGTCTGAATTGGCGGTCAAGGTGGGCATGTTCGCTTGCATTCGGAGGGCGTAGCAGGATAACATCTAATTCAGAGGGTAGAAGCGGAAGTTGGCGATACACTTTGCCGACATCGCGGAGAAAGTGCACAATATGGCCACGATACTTGTATTGCTGGCCCCGGACCTGCATGACGTTCACAAGTACATGAACTCGAGCGATTAGCATCTCTTCTATTCTTGTCAACTGGGGGAGGAATGCGGGGACTGAGCCAAAATCCAATTGATTTTCGGCTGAAAAAAACAGAGGTTCATCCTCCTTTTTGTTCTTGTCCTTGGCCATGCAACGCTTGCAAACGCCGTCTTTCAAGCCCATGTCAAACCATGTCCCCTGACAACGGGCGCAGTGTTCCATCCGGTCGTTTTCCAGCTCCGTCCAGAACGCCTCCAGGAGGTCCTTATCTTTATCAGACAACGGGCAATGCGACAGATCACGCGCCCAGTCCGGGTCAGGAAGTTCAAAATCTCGATGTTCTGGGCGTTCGATGGCCGGCTGCTGCAGCTGTGCGGGCGGATGGGGATTTCTTCCCCCTCGAGTTGGCCTCGGGTAAATAAAAGGACTCGATACCGGAGATTCGATGGGCGTCCCGAGTCGTACGCCCTCTTGAGAAGCAGCCCACGGACCTGGTCGGAGAGTAATCGGCGCGTCCGTTCGTGTTGACGTGGTGATTGGTGTGCCCAGTTGCAAGTCTATCAATGGCAATCCTTCTCGAAATACTGGGGATAACTCAGCTTGTTCTGCCGTACGCTTAGAGGCGCCTAAGGCTCGTCGATTCCTACAGTCTAGACAGTCGGTCGTAGGTCTTCCACATGCGAGTGACGACTTTGTCTTCGAAATGAATTGATCTACTGGCTTCTCCTGCTTGCATTTCCTGCAAACGTTCATCGAAGGGATAGAATCAGCCATGACTGACTGTGTTGGATTGGAGGGGTCCAACGACGGGATGGAAAGGATGAGGGCGTCGTTGGCAGGTCGACAACACTGTCATCCAATCGTTGAGTGGAGACACACATCTGGCCAATCGGCGCCTAGTGGAGACACTCTTGGCCAATGGGAGTGGAGATTTGAAAGTTCAAGTTATCGTCGTAATAGAAGTCCTTCGGACTTAATAAAGATCGACCTTTCAGCACCCACCGCAAGGCGACGCACCGCTCAACTATCGCGAGTCACCATTGAGTGCGACAATAAGCAGACGATACGGCTAGTGAAGGAGGAACTTATCAAGCTACGGACGAAATTGCGGCACGTGGATATATACAATTACTGGTTAAGGCAGGAGATAACACAAGGAAGGATTGATGTAGTATACACATCGTCAGCACAGCTGTTAGCAGATGGGTTTACAAAGGCTCTGCCGGGGGATAAATTTGAACTCTTTATGCAGCGGCTACGGCTCGCTGACTTATCGGAGAAGCTCGTTATGACTAGAAGAAGGGAGCTAGAAGAGGAGCTATAGAAGGGTGCAGCATAACGGCGAGGCCCTCACGCTGAAGGGGCGTGTTGAATAGTAGGATGGCCGCACGGGGTATTATGTGACCTATCGGTCAGCTGTCGGCGACCCTAGGCCCATTCAGGAAAGCATAATAAGCAGACCCCTCTCCAAGGAAGGCGAGGGAGACAGTTCGACAATACACATACAATTAAGGACATCAAGGCGCACGCGATCCGTTCAACAAGTTTAAACTCAGCAACTCACAGAGTGCACCCGTTGACGATAACCTCAATTCCGTTCGTGATACTTTTATAACGGACGATTCAGATGACGCCGGTTTCGATGAGGAAGCCGTTGATACCGTTAATCTTACGCAACATAACGATGAAGACTCCGAGCTGCCTCCTCTCCCCCTTCATCAGTACCGCACTTCCACCCCGATTTCTCCTCTACGTAATATAGAATCATGAATCTATTTTACACGCAAAAACACACACAATCAGGCATCATCAACATTTTCTTCATTGGAAGGTGGATCAAGCAGATAGATCACAGGCGGCGGAGGAAGCGGGCTAGACAATCACTTGCTTAATTACACACTTACGCTCAGATTGCGGCCGCAACACCACCTGTTCCACGCATCACGCGATAAAATACTCTTCTTGTAGCTTCGCTATATCTGAAATATACCTAACCCCCCCCCCNNNCCCCCGGCAGTTTTTAATTGTTTGATGAACCTTGGATTGGATTTATGTTTGGGGCTCGTCACCCCACTTCTTATTCACTCACTTTAACTCATTACTGCATCATGACGGAGTCCAGTTACAGTACGAATATAGAAACTTTGCTAGCTTAGTTCTTAAAAGAAATCGGGGGCCTCAAGTCCTGGTGTACCCAGAGCTACGTAGCTAGCGAACTTGACGGATTCTGGCTTTTTGCCAATATTGTGCCGCTGCTCTGGCCCTGCTCTCCAGCCACAATTCTCATCGAGATAATATTAGCGTCACTACAATCATACCTTTAAAAGCTTACGAGCGTTATACACAGTCCCTCAAAGATCTATCCATAGGCGGCTTGGTATTTTGCACTAATAGCGTCGGTCTATGTGTTGAAATGGGAAGATTCATATTTCTTGATTCATTCAAAATATGCAGTAGGAGAACTACTGTTTATATACAGGCACCACCTCCGTGGAATGTTCCACCTTGTTCCACACCTTGCCACCGACTTGGTCGTCTCACATTTGTGATCTCCAACATTCCGATAATTAGTTATTACACAATTGCAATTTGAAGTTAGGCGATGAAATCCGTGGTGTTGGTGAGTGGTCAGGTGATTCCAGACTTTTGGCGTATGATTTTTAGTATAATATGTCAGAGAAGGCACCCTGTGCCAGAGGCTCGGAGATTTGCTCCCGAGACCTCCGAGAGAATCAGCTAATCAGAGGGCGCCACCTCCTCAGATAAAACAAGGGGGGATCACAGCTAGCCTCAAGATAGAAGTTACACACATCATCAGATCAATATACACGCTTCCTATTGCACATAATATTATATAAGTTCTGCTAAATGCTAATTAATAAACTTTACAATATCTTAATTCTTTACTTAAAATATTGAAGTGCTTTAATAAGTATTATTACATTATAACGTGCGTGATAAGCAAGTGCTCCAGACAAGCAAGTGCTCCACCAATCTTTACCTAGAGACTTTAAAAGAGTAATAAAAACACTACAATCTATCTAATTAATTAAAATTAATCACTATACTCTTCTCTATTAATCTCAATCACCTCTTGACAGGTCCTTGCATTATGCCCGGCCTTGCCGCATTTGCTACAATGCCGACCACCTGGTCGCTCTGACCTTACTCAACGGCTACTTCTCGAGGATTCGGCCACTACCTGCGTATCAACATCCATCTGATCAATTGCTTGTGATGCATCCTCTACAGTCGAAGGCCCTCCTCTCTGTACTCTAGTCCTTTTTCCCCTCCGGCGTCGCCCTACTGTCTTATTCTCTTGTTCAAGTTGTTGATTCCTATCCTCTAGTAAAGCTATCCTATGTAGAAGGATGCTCTGTCCTTTCTCAAAATACTTTACAGCTTGAATTATTGACTCAGGCGAGCTGCTCTTGTGATTTTTGATCCTTTCCTGCAGATACTTAGAGTGAGATTGGGTCTCTAGTATTGTCGTTGGGGTCCTTGAAGTCCAAGGGGTCGAAGGTTCAACAACCTCCTCGGGAGGCGTCGGGGTCCGTAGCTGCACATCAAGCTTTGAGATGACATTTTCTGGGTTGAAGGGAGCAAGCCCGGCTCCTCTGAAACCTCCCTTGATATTGCTTTCTGTAATAGCAGCTCGGTGGGCGGCATGAAAGGCAGGAAAGAACTCAGTCTTGGAGATATGGGTTATAGAGCATCTGATCAGACGCTCTATCTCTCGACCATATGCCTTTTTCAGCGGCCCAAAGCAGCCTACATCAAGAGGCTGAAGTAGATGAGAGGCATGAGCAGGCATACAGAGCGTAATGATCTTATTCTTCTTGCAATATTCCTCAAATTCGACGGAGTGGTGACTTTCGTGACCATCAAGGATCAAGAGGCGATAGCGACTGTTCGTTCGCTTAGATGTAGACCGATCAAAGTGCTTCAGCCAGTCAAGACCTAGCTGGTTGTTGGTCCATCCATTTTCGCTTACTGCAATAACCCAGTCGCTGGGGAGGTCGCATTCTCGGTACCAATTGGCAAGGTGATGTTGGCCTGCACCAATGATGAACGGCGGGATCGATTGACCTTCTGCATTAATCCCCTCGATTACAGTCATCCATTCACGATTTCCAGGCTGTACTTGTTTTGGTCTTCCTTGCCTATGCGAGCTTGTGACGACTGTTCCGGGCTCAATCATGCCCATCATAAAGCCGGTCTCATCAAAGTTCCAGATATCATCTGATCGGATACCGTATTTCGCGATTGTATCCTCTACAAGCCGAAACCAGCCACAAATAATAGTCGGGTCTTCGCATTTAGCTCTCTGATAGTCATACCTCCGGAATCGACGTGTCTTTAGTTCTAGTTGCCGCTTGACGAAGTTATGAGCCCAGCGCTTGCCGACGGGTGGCGCGTTGCGATTGGCAAGTAGAGAATTAGCTATATCTTCCACATATGATAGTCGCGAGGGAAATCCTCGCAAATCTAGGTCTAAAATGAATTGGACTACTATCTGCTCTTCCTGATTAGATAGTCGCCTTGTCTTTTGGATAGTATCGCGTCGCGATTGAATGCCGGATTGACGGCGACGTAAGGCAAAGCGGTCAACTTGATATATAGCTGCGGCCTTTCGAAGACTTAACTTTGGGTTATTCTGGAGGGCCTGAAGGGCAAGAATAATCTTAGCTTCATTTGAAGAGTGTGACATATTGGGTTGTTGAAAAATATCTAATTAAATGGTGATGATGTAGGTTGAGGGATTTTTGGAGCACTTGCTTGTCTGGAGCACTTGCTTATCACGCACGTTATTAATTAATTATGAATTGGATCTGTGTTAATAAATATGAGCGAATCTTGGCGTCATCAGTGGGTCCAGTATTTAGTAAGCAAGCTAACAGGAGCGGCAACTTGTCAGGTTCCCGCTTCTTCATCAGACTATCCCTGTCGACACATCTCCACCCTTTACTCCTATGTACAATGTCTGTATGACTGCCTGCAACGCTCCAGAATGCCGCCTCTGCCTGACAGTCAGACACAGCGTCTTTCGACCCCTCCGTCTTTACCTCAGAGAAAATCTGTCGCGTAAGACGCTATCCGTCGCGTAACAAATAACTTGCGCTGACCCACTTTCTAGTTGTCGACCCTGTCACGCCCGCAAAATTAAATGTTCGGGAACCAAACCATGCAACAACTGTAACCGCGCATCGGAATGCGTCTACCCAACAAGAGATCGTCAAGTCAAAGTACAACAAAGGTATAGTCAAACAGAGTGTCTGTCTATTGACGTGATTTGGCATTGTTCACCGAATGAGCAAAGATTTCGAGCTCAACACTGACCTTGCTCAGTTTCATCGATCGTCTCCTTCAAGAGAATGCAGAGCTACGGGCTAGACAGACCCAATCCGAGTCGCCGCAGGCTAGGAACGTAAACACACCCTGGCACCATAGTCCGACGCCCAACAACGATGGCAATACTACCCAGGATCAGATATTAGAGGAAAGTGATTGGTTCACACACACCAGGTCATCCGACACGCCCATCTGGATAGGCGAGATCTCGGACGCTGCATTTGCGACTCGCTTCCGCCAGTTTGCTTCGGCTTCTCAAATACCAAACCACATTCCTCGCACCCAGTTCACTTCCGAAGATACTCTTCGTGATCTGGCAGCCACAACTCCAATTTGGTTGCCATCTGCGCACTCCAGGTTTCTAGTCGAGACAAGCCTCGAGTTCTTACGGCACAATTATCATATAGTTCGACGGAGTGAGGTGCTTTCGGCCTTGGACTCGATCCCGTTTGGTCAACATAGCCTTGGTCCGCCTTCCAGCGTTGTAGCCAAGATCTGGGCTTTATTTGCAATCGGGGAACTTCGCTCGAGAAAATGTCTCAGTTCAAGCAATGGGCTCCCTGGCATGACACACTTTGCTATTGCCAGCGAGACAATTCGTCTGATTAACGAGCGACCACAGCTTGATATGATCGAGACGATTTTACTTCTAGTGAGTAATCTTGCACCGACTTTCTCTCTCTGACCTTGAATCCTCCCGCTGACAGCTAGAACTGGCTTTGTACTCACTCGAGGCAAACCGCCGTCATTCAGCATGCACTTATGTGGGTGCAGCCTTACGTCTTGCTACCATTATGGGCTTGCACATGAATATCGGCGATACCTACATACCTGATCCTGAACTCAGGGAACACCGCATACGCGTTTGGTGGTCTGTTTATATCCTCGATAGGCTTCTGTCCTCCAAGACTGGACTTCCACTATCGATATCGGATGATGACATCTCAGTAAATCTACCTTCGGACGTGTCCACTCTCAACTCGAAGGACTTTGGAGACCACTCTCGCTTTGTGGCCGTTTTGCGCCTCGCTAGAATTGCTGGAGACATCTCTAGGTCTCTTTATGTTCGGACTCCCCAACGGTGTACATTCCTCCAAAGGGTGGCAAAGATTCGAGAAGATCTTGAGTTGTGGCGAGGAGAACTACCTGAAAACATAAAGCTTAATTCTCATCATCAAAGTAACACCAGCCTCCACCCTCAGTCCAAAACCTCGACGCTGCAACTCGCGTATAATCAGGTAGGTTTTGTCATTAATAAAATGGCCCACATTGGACTGCTTTTGTAATTTCTTCTACTAAACTCTCATAGCTCTTGGTTCTAGCAACGAGACCAGTTCTCCTCTACATATTTCGCCGACACATAGGCAAAGCTATTACGACGTCTACTGATAGCCGTCTGCCCGAACAAGTTGGAGATGTTGCTGATGTATGTATTGGCGCTGCTAGGCAGTCTTGTCGAATATTACTGCAGTCCTGGGTAAATGGTGAATTCCACATATTCGACTACTCCTACGTACGGTACCTCTTCTCCTCGGCGATTATTTTGGCTATATCAAGCACGTTGGACCGGGAATCCTCTCCGAACGATAAGGATGAATTCAATCTCGCCATTAGCTTTCTACAACAGCTCGAACAAAACGGAAACCCTGCAGCTATGGAGTTCTATGCTCATATCGACGAGACCCGAAAAAGTCTGGAGACGCGACTTTCAGTCGATGACTGTTTGAACACGCTACCTACATGCGAAGATGGCGGATCGCAGCTCCCAACACAGGCTTTTCCCTCTTCCTTGGACGACCAGTCATTGACCACAGCGATTAGATCTACTGTCAGTGGACCTCATGGGGTAGATGAATCACCATTAACCGTTTCGTTTCTTGATGATTGGATTTATGATAATGCACTTCAACAACTGCGGTGGCAAGAGTAGTAGTACGATCGTGCTGGGCTTTCACCTTCCAAGGAGCAGAGTGACCTAGTTCCGACTTTCGGTTTGTCCTCATAAGAAAGGAATACTCTGCATCGTCGTTATCAAGATTTGCCTCATTGTCTTACAAAACGAAATCAGGTCAAGCCAGAAGGGCAACCGGCTCATTAATCTTGGGTTGAAGGCCCTTGAAATGTCAAAGCTCATCAGTAAACAACAAAACAAACGAATGTTATTTTGAGACTGCTTAACATACATACAGTTGCTTATCCTCTACGCTGTAGCGTGTGATATCCAAGCTTCTCTCTCGCCTCAGCAATGGTAGACCCTCCAGATATCATTTCCCTGATACCTTGCTCACTCTTTTCAATGCTTTGTGCGAGAGCAGCTACCTCACGAGCTCGTTCTCGTGGCACGATAACAACACCGTTGGCATCCGCGACAACGATATCGCGTGCGCTAACGCGTACGTTGCCTATGTTGATTGATTCGTTAACACCTGCCACTTCAACGCGATCTTTGCCTGTGCGCATCCACCGTCCAGCAGTGAAAATTGGGTAGTTATCGCTAATAGCACGATTAACATCCCGACAAACACCGTCTATGACAGTTCCTGCAAGGCCTCGGAGACCGGCATACTGCGTCATGATATCTCCCCAAACAGTGCAATCTGTACGACCATCATTGCTAATCACCACGAAATCGCTAGCAGCCACATCGTCAATGAAGTCACCCACGCTACCAGGTGGGTTACTTGCAGGCACGTAGCGTACTGTGAAAGCCGGTCCAACAGTAGTCTTCTTGTAGTTGGTTAAGGGCATAATGTTCAATGCTTGTCCTGGTATGCCAAGCTTATCGAGGGCGTCTGAGACCCCGGGAGTGTCGGACTCGGCAAATAGAGCAACCAATTCTTGATCTTCTGGAGAAGCCTGCTTGGGGTTCTTGTTGGGAGATTGAGGATTTTCTGACCGATCCGATGCACAAGTAGTTGCGATAGCCTCGAATTGTTTGTCATGCATGACTTCTGCCACAGACCGACCGGTTCGAACTTGTTGAACCATGCCCTGCTGACGGCGTTCGATGCGTTCGGCAAGTTCCAGCACCTTGTCGATACTACCGGCTTGCACAAAGACAGTCCCGCAGTTATCAGCAATAACATAATCATCCTGATTGACCTTCACACCCCGCATCTCAACTTGATTCCCAGAGTCAATTTGCACCAGCCTGTTTCGTGCACTGATCATTGTGACACCGCGACCAAAGACTGGATACCCAATCTCCTGACTCCCGTCAATGTCTCGGCTCATACCGTCAATGATAGATCCGCGAATCCCCTTGATCTTGGAAGCGTTAGCGATGATATCGCCCCAAGATGAGATGCCTTCGACCCCACCAGCAATGACAAGAACACGGTCATCTGTCGTGACCGAGTCTATTACAGGGGTGATGAGGTGTACAGTAGCTGGAGAACCATCCACTTTAGGGCCCAGCTGGATAGTACTGGCGCGACCGACAACCATAGGGCAGTTCCAAAGTGGTCGAAGGCCGTAGGTCGCACCTGGAAGGCTGAGGAAGTCCAAGGCATCAGACACTGTGTTGGTATCCAGTGCGGATAGACGTTCAAGGATGCTGTTTGCCATTGTAGAAGGCCAAATTCTGGGTTGGTCGAAGATAACGTGCAAAATATATGAGAGTGGTGATGAAAGCAGAAAAAAAGGAGAAGAACGACTGATTGAATCGCGCTGACAATCAAAAGCTCGACAATAGTGAAAGTACTGTCCGACCCTCTAATACTTCTATCCTAGTCGCAAGTCATCTAGAATCATCACGTGCATCGGCCAAAAACTCCAATGCCGGGCCAATCGGCATCTAATGATAACGCCGAGCACGGCGAAGTATCCAGCCCCCGACATATCGGTTGCTGACAAATTTCCCCGCCTCTCTCATGTTGAAGCCACTATCCATGCGGTTACGTTGACACATCATAACTTGCCTTCCGAGGATCAAGCCACCGGCATCTCTGAAGAACCCCGTGAGCTTCAAAAGTAGCACACTACCTTACGGCAACATGTGACATACGTTAACAGGAAGTTTGTACATGGCGACGTTTTCGCTGCACTTCCGCGTTGCAAAAAATGCCGGATGTATCTGGTTAATTATACAGTTCAATGTATACTGGTCTGGTGCCTTCACCAGGCAAGGCCACTGAGGGTAAAACTTGTCACATGAGGCCCATGAGGCAAACATGTCCAAGCACAATCTACTTGCACTGTGGAAAGACCTCACTCAGTGAATCTATGATCTCAAATCAGCAATGTCGTAGTTCTAATTATCTTGCGCTTCATATGGTGGGTGGTAAGCCATGTAGTGAATGTGAACACGAGACAGCTAAGAATAAGATCCTCCCCAGGAAAACCCAAAAGACGTGGCTTTGGACGCACATTCTATCTGTTCAAGGCCCGGCAAAGGTTGGCGAGGACCCTCAAGCTGTTTTCATTACATGGATTCAGCGCTGCAATCAATTCAAGTTCAAGTAACTCTAAGACCAAATACAGCAATATAATTGGAGAACTTGATCAAGTTCAATTCAAGTATCTCAAGTTATCCAATTAAAAAACCATATTCTTGCATGATGGATTAGAAAGGAAGATTAGAATCGGGAACAGAATTATATGAGTCGAATACTCTAGCTACAGTTCCCACCACATATACACATACTACCCCAAGAACTCTTGAATTACTCAATACCTAGGACAGAAAGAAAGGCCTCTGCAACATACTCCACATTGCTGCTTGTCACTGTTCGAACGCGTTAGCGTGATGCCCGTAGGTAAAGATGATAAGATATAGCTCACATCCAGTAACAGATAGTCTTCCGGAAGGAAGGAGGTAGATATGATGTTCGTCTTTGAGCATTGTAACTTCGGCTCTGGAGAGGCCCGTCATGGAGAACATGCCAATCTAGGACCCTAGTTAATATGACGCCACGATCCTATGCAAATAAGGAAACTTACGTCTGAAAGCAAGTGCTTCCAGGATCCCCGAACTCTTCTATGCACAAGTCCTTGGTACAAACTCGCGCGCATGGTCTTCATACGACTGCTCATCTGGACCAAGTCATCGAGCCACTGGTTGTAGAGAGTTTGGTCATCAAGAATCTCGGCAATAATCCTTGCTCCATATGAAGGGCAAGAGGTAATCTCAGCTCGAGAAAGTTGCACTAGCAAGGGCGCCGTCTTGGCTGCAGTCTCGGAATCAAGTGCGACCATGTGAAGAACTCCGACACGCTCACCATATAGACCGAAATTCTTTGAAAAGGACTGTGCAACTGCAAATTCCAGATCAGAGCGGCCGAAGAAATGAGCTATAGCCGAAGCATCCTGGTTGACATCTCCCGACGCGAAGCCTTGGCTTAAATGATATTAGAACTGATTGACTCTACCAAAGATCTGGTAGACTTACTATGCCATGTCAAAGATGGCGAACAATCCCAATTCTTTACAGAGGCCAGCAACGATCTCCCACTGCTCGCTTGTCAAGTCAGCCCCGGTAGGGTTATGCGCGCAGGCGTGAAGCAGGATGACATCCCCTTCATGTGCCTCATTACGCAAGACCTTTGCCATCGCCTCAAAATCCACCTTATGATTTACATCATCATAGTATGGATAGTATCGTTGCTCTATTGATGGGCCAGCGAGCTTCCAGATTTCGGTATGATTAATCCAACTCGGGTTTGAGATCCAGACAGTTCTGGGGTTGAGTTTGGTTGAGAGGAATTGAGCTGCTATGTGATTAGCACCGGTGCCCGATACGGTCTGTATCGCAGCAACACGAGTCAAATCTCGAGAGGCACCGAAAACCAACTTTTGCGACCCTTTCAGTAGCTCTGGATGACCGAGAAGAGGCAGATGCTCGTGGTCAAGATTCGGGTTCGCGTGAATGCGCTCTTTAGCCTGTGGAAAGTGAGTCAGTCTATCAAATCGTTGACATGAACTAAAAGTAGTATCGTACCTGAGAAACGGATGGCAAGATCCAAGGCTTTCCATTATCATCGCGATAGAAACCTGGGCATAAGTCGACTTTGCGATCATCTGTATCCGCTTTGAAAGTGGCCACGAGGGAAAAGGCCTCATCGGGCTTAGTAGGAGGAACACTAGCAAGTCGAGACATGATATTTGATGTGTTGTTCGGATGCACAAAGTATACAGATCTACAATGAGTAAATACTGAAGAAAACTAAGGAGAGCTCCAAGAGAGAAATATAGCAGTTAATGCAGCATGAGAGAAGGTTAGATGGCGAACCATTATTTCACCGACTGGTGGTTCGGCAACTAAATACAGGAGGTTATTGAGCTATTCGTACACTCCGACATACATGACACTAGCTGAATAAGCTCCAATTGCACAAGCAGAGACCCACCAGCGTGTCTCCTGATCACTACGGTTAGGCGCATTCATGAGTCGGCCAGCAAGCATTTTGCCGAGCCATCTGATTACCATGAGATGATCCTGTGGCGATAGGGAACAAAAGATTGCAGCTTAAGCACAAATACATTGCATTCATCACGTCCCACAGCTAAAGCATCGACAGCAACAACGCGGTCTTATCGAACACGAGATATCCTTACAGTATGTCATACACTTCGGCCCTTACCACCACCTTGCAGAACCCGCAATTGCGGCTTCTCAATCGGTTACGTATGAAGTCGAGACCAATAATGACTTTTATTGGTCTACCGTCCTTTCGCATGGCACAACTAGTAGCCTCAACCGGAATGGACGGCATCATCATTGACTGCGAGCACGGGCAAATTAGTGACGATGCCATGCACAACTCTGTCGCCGCTGTCGCATCCCAGGGCGTCTCTCCGCTTGTCCGCACTAGGATGACACACTCAGATCTTATCAAACGCGCTCTAGATGCTGGTGCCCATGGCATTGTTGTGCCTATGATCAATACCGCCGAGGATGCTAAGGCCGTTGTGCAAAATGCCAAGTTTCCCCCTCAAGGGATCAGGGGACAGGGCTCGGCGTTCCCCGGTTTTGCATTTGGAGTCGATACACCGACATATATAAACACGGCCAACGAGACAATTTTGACTTGTCTGCAAATTGAGTCCAAGCAGGGCGTTGAAAACGTCGACGCCATCTGCGCCGTCTCAGGCGTCGGTATGTAGAAACGGCCACAATCTTGCCTCTACCTTTTCTGACAATTACAAAGACATGATTTTCATAGGCCCCAACGACCTAGCCCTTTCAATTTTAGGTTACGTTCCCGCGAAAGGTGACGAACCGGAGTTCATCAACGCCATCGAGAAGATTGTGAATGCGGCTAGGAAACACGGTAAATGGGTTGGACGGTTGTCAAATGACGGAACTGCGGCTAAGAAGCATCTGGACACATTCGATACAGTTGCTCTCAGCTATGACGTTCGCGCAATTAAGAATTGGTATTCTGCGGAGCTCGAAGCTGCGCGCTCTCCATAAAACTATCAGCATAATAGTCAAACCCAGGGCTACTATTTTCTTTAATTCCACTATAAGTTTCAGATTAATGTTGTAAAGATGCTCGAAAAAAAATGTCTGCCAATATGTCTCACAAATTCCCAAACATCCACTAACTCCCTCAAGTAATAGCTTTACCTCTATAACATTTTTCGTGCGACCATCCTTTAGGTTTGGCTCAACATGACTCAGGCACGCCATTCCGTAATGACGTAATCAAGCCTGGTCTGCCGTCACGGCGAAAGTTTTTCTTACCGAAGTGGAAACACGGGACCATCTTTCACTCAATTATTCAGCATGATAACTACATAAACATGCAGGCGTCAAGACATGGTCAATCCATAACATTCTACTGTGGCTTTACATTGCATCAGCACTAATCTCTCGTTGGCCCTCCAAGGCTTGATTTACGCTCCACAAATGGCACAAACACCCAACCTACAGCCGGTCATACGGCAAACTATCGAGATTTTCATAGAAGGTGTGTCTGTCACCCTGTCTATTATTCGCCGGGATGGACCTCTGCCACCAATCTTCTTTTTGCATGGCTTTGGCGGCACAAAAGAAGACTATGTCGACATTGCACTCAATCCTCTCTTTGTTGGCCGACCTTTCCTCGCCTATGACGCTCCTGGTAGTGGAGAATCGACCATGTCCGACATGTCAAAGCTGTCGATGCCTCTACTTGCCTCGATAGCTGAGAAGGTTTTAGAATATTTCAACATTACCCATCATCACCTCGTCGGACACTCAATGGGAGGTCTTGTATCGAATTTACTGGCCCAAAGACAATCATCTTCAGTGTTGAGTTTTATCAACATCAAAGGAAACCTGGCACCCGAAGACTGTTTTCTGAGCCGACAAATTCTACATTTTCCTTCCGACGACCCGGACATGTTTGTCGAGGAGTTCATCAAACGAACTCGCACATCGCTGCTTTATAGCAACGGACTATACGCTGCTTCTTTTCGCGCAAAGGTGCAGCCGGCAGTGATTCGGCCCACTTTTGAATCTATGGTAGACTGTACCGATAACGGAAATCTATTAGAGGCCTTTGAAAGCTTCAAATTTCCCAGGATGTACATGTTTGGTGAGCAATACTCTTCCCTGTCGTATCTGCCACGGCTGGTCAATGCAGGAGTTGAGTTGGCCGAAATTGCCCACAGTGGCCACTTTGTCATGTACTCGAATCCTGTAGCAATGTGGGAACGGATTGGGCAGTTTTTGGGTCGAGTTGAGTACTGGAAAGGAGAAGATGTACCTTAGGCTCCTTAGTTACTTGAAATCTTTAGGTAAAACATGGGACTCAAATATGTGCCGCAAACAATCCTAGAATAAGGAATGAAGAGTGGAATAATGCTACTTCACATGGAAGACAGTTGGCTATGGCTACTTAGGGTTATTAAAGTTTCGGGCGCTAGTACTTGAATTGTTGAACTGGCAAAGCAGTTGACCCCCTATGAATGCGAGACATTTCGCCTCATAATAACAGTCTGGAACAATCTACAAGATTTTCTAAGGTATATCCGATCAACCTGTGAGCGGTATATGCAATCAAAGGGGGAAAAATGCGTAATTTGAAAAGGGCTATTCCCCAAAACTTCGCACAATTGAAAGGTTTCAGGTTGATTCGAGTGATCTAAAGAGAAATAGAGTGGCCACCCGCTTAATAACCTTTAACCTCCACCCTTTCATCTTCATCCGGGCACAGAAAACTCGCCATCCATCTCTACAGCCAGGTCAAACAGCTCAGCCCACTCCGCATCAGTGAATGGGGCAATCCCTTCGCCTTGAAACATGTTCAACGTAGAATCAAGGGCGTCAAGGTTACATTCTGTGACCGCTCTATCGCCAGTGGTCTGGTACCACCAGCATCGGTGTGACTCTGCTCTCTCGTAGCGTTCCGGGTGTTACTCGCAATGAGCTCGAGCACAGCCTCGGACATTTGAACGAACGCGTTCGCATGGCGCTGAACTGTCTGTCATTCAGCCGTGATATAGCCCAGCGCCTCACCGCATAGTTTGAGGGCCTTCACTATGATATCTAGCTCAGAGGGGAGCAGGCCAATGCCCTCGTTGTTTCGGCGTCGCTGCTCGGGTATATTGCCATAGGTCATAGACATATGCTAGTTTCTTAAACTTATTAGACTAGGAATCCCAATCCTCTGGAGATATATAGGTAATAGCCCTTCCAGCGTATTTTATCGATACCATGATAGAATGAACCAAAGATCGTATGCGTCTAGGTGCGAGGGTCGCTGAGATTTAATTAAGACTCTTAATTATTATATATTACGTGTATTCAATCTATTAATATAGATTTATATATTCATATTATATTATATCAAATTCTACCCCTTGAAGGTTTTACTATTTCAGTGCGTAATCTTGAAGTATCCCTGCTTGCACATGACACCCCAGCACCTGTTTAATAGTTTTCTTATGAGTCAGTGATGATGTCAGTCGTGGTGCTATGTGGAGAAAAACAGCACCACCCCCTCGTCGAAACTTTTGCGCGATTTAATGATAGAATCTTAGGATTGATCACTCCTCCAAAGCAGAAACGACAAAGCATATACGAACATAAGTCTACTGACCAACGATGGCAGGCACGGAAGCAGCTTACTTCATGACCGACAGAAGGATCAATACGATTTTCGAAGTCGATAACAATTACAACGAAGAACAGAGAGAAGCAGAAGCGCCTCAAGATGATATTGAATCTACCCTGAAACCATGGATTTGTGTTCTGGGCGCCTTCACGTTTGTGATACCCTCATTTGGTGAGTCTAACACTGATCGCGCTGCTGTGGCTGTAACCTCATTAATGAGTTCTAGGCTTTATGCAATCTGTTGGAACACTGCAATCCTACCTTCAACTTAATCAACTCAGCGAGTATTCTACGGGTGACATCGGCTGGATTACCGGGATGTATATGTTTCTCAGCTACTTTTTCACACTTCAGATCGGCCCTATTTGTGACCACTACGGGCCCATGGTTATTGGTTCCCTCGGCGTGGCTATCACGATTGCATCATTCCTTATTCTGGCAGAGTGTAATACCTACTGGCAGCTGATGCTATGTTTGGGAGTCCTTGGGAGCATGGGTGGTGCTACGATTGCTACCGTCGCTATGTCTGTCGTCGCCAAGCTCTTCAGTCGTCGTCGAGGCCTGGCCATGGGGATCACAGTGACAGGATCCTCGGTTGGTTCCATCCTTTTCCCCATATTGCTCCGATCAACATTCACAGACCTTGGATGGAGGTGGGCTATGAGAATATTGGCGTTAGTCATTGCAGGCATTATCGTTCCTGGACTTTTCTGCTTCATACCCTTCCAGCGGCTTGTCAAGGGCCTACCACATACCATGCCCCAAAGCCACGCCAAAGCCGCTATTAATTTTGCCGCCTTCCGTTCGTACCCTTTCACTTTTGTCACTGGAGGATCGTTTTTATTAGAGTTCGCTATATTTTCTATCGCTGGGCTCTTGCCGATTATCGCGACCAATACCGGCTTTAGCCCAGAAGATGGCTATACACTGCTGTCTATACTTGGAGTCGGCTCATGTGTCGGACGAATTCTTCCTGGCATATGCGGCGACCTGGTTGGACCTTTTAATACGATTCTGATCATGACAGCTATAACGCTATTGTTCATGACAACTTTGTTCATACCATTCGCCAGCAAGTCAGAATCTGTATTATATGCATTTTCCGCACTATGGGGATTTGGGTCAGGATCCTTCCTTTCTGTTAGTCCAGGTATATTTTCAACGTTACAGACTAGTTTCCATCCAAATTAACAAGATTTAGTATGCGTAGGGTTGACGTGTCAGGCAAAGGATTATGGGAGATTTTATGGTAAGAATTACTTAGTTAGGATATTAACTAATGCTAACTGAGTGACCATTAGGAACATGGACTTTTTCCATGAGCTTTTCAGTTCTCATAGCTATACCAGTAAGTGGTCTTTTACTAGACCACATGGGAACCCAAGCTTTGGCTGCGTTGTTGACTGCCATCGTGTTTCTTGGAGGTATTTGCTATGTAGCTGCACGCGCGTTCATGGTTGGGAAACTGCTTTCGCCTAAGATCAAAATGTAGTTAGATCGCTGCTGGGGAGGCAGAGCGACATCAGTTTTGTACTATATTGGTCATCACTGAGCATGCGAAATTAGCTGGGAAACGCGAATCCATTTGGGTCGAACGACGAGATGTTGCGAAGAACTCAAGAATGGCACTGTATGAAGTATCTGTGCTAACACCTCTGAAACAGTCGACCGCTTCGAGGTAACGAAAACATGTGTCCAAGACTCAGACCTAGCCGGCAATCAGCATGTTAAATGGAACTGCAACGAACAAGGAACGCTTCCTTCTGAATTAACTCATCAAACCATCGAGACGAAAAGTATGTTGAGGGAAAGCATATGACTTCTGTTTTTGAACAGAGAGGTACTACACTACTTGTAATGCTCGTCAAGTGTCTGGTCCGATTATGTGAGCGTCCGTGTTTTGGCCCCCCTAGCCCCGAATAGCGGAACAAAATAACATGCAAGGCTTCGAGCAAACCCTTATGTATGTAAATGTATTTTTCGTCCGGGGGGCTATCGGCCCCGAAAAGTCCCCTACTGGGGCACAAGACATGCTAAGCTAGGGGTCTCTATCTATGATCTAATTACATAATACTATTAGATAGGGAGAGGCTTAGTTATTCGCAATACGAAATTAGACTTCCCTATTAAGCATATTTTCTATAAAATATAATAATAAACTATACTATCTAGCATATTATCAGCAGAAATAGCATATTATATCAAGCCTATTACCGTAGTGCAGTACCTACTTTCCATGAGGATCTCTGATCCTGATGTCAAGAATTATTACGGCTCTACAGCATTATCGACTGCAGTAGCTAACGGCCACTATGAAGTCGTGGAGCTTCTAGTTGGTACTGGTGTTGGTACTCAGGAGCAGTTTCATGTTGGTCACAGTCTACTGTGGTGGGCATCTCGCACAGGAAAACCCCAGCTCATCAGGCTGTTATCACAACACATGGGACTAGACGAAACCTTTCCCCAGCACGATAGCTTCTCATCACAGGCCATTTTTGATACTGTATCTGCATGGTGTGATGTTTGTACACTAAGCATCCCGAGCAGCTCTATCTTTTATTCCTGTCAACAGTGTTATGGTTTTGCTTTATGTGGTATGTGTCACGATGATGGTTTTAGATGCCGTGATCAAGCGCATGCTTTAATTGTCCACCCTAACGTTATGCCCCGCGTCGTTTGGCAACCGACGAATTATTTTTGGTGAGAAATCAAACGGCGCTAGCACAACATAGGGCAACTAACGAACTAAATCTAGGGTAACTGACGAACTCTATTTTACTTGTAATAAGTAATTAAATTTATAAAAGAAAACTTATAGTGTAGTAAAGCTTAATTACAGGATAATAATAGAATACTAGATCTCTTGATTAAATGTTGTTAGTATAACTAATTGTTAGATCTAGGTGTAGAGTCTGGAATTAGCGCTATTAAACTAATAGGGGTTACCTATTTAGAGTACCTAATTAGGAGTATAGATTAAAAGTCTTTCTTTATAAGACTTTAGATAAGATTAGGTATAACGTACTAGATAAGCGAGTGTCACAGATAAGCGAATGTCACAAAAATCTTAACACTCTTTATTATTTCTAACATAAAACCACTATAACCTATCTAATTAAATAAAATTACTTACTATACTTATCTCTAGAGGCCTAAATATCCTCCTAATAGGTTCTTGCATTATAACCGGTCTTACTGTATACACTATATTGCTAAATACCTAGTCTAACTAACCTTCCTTGTCTACTACTGTCACGGTCGGGGCTCAGTATACAGATGGACAGGGAACGCTTCAGGCGGAATCGGATCTATTGCTACGGATAGGCACTGCAGGCAGGTCAGGCTCTATTAACAAGACGTAGCTCGAGGAGCTACGTTCAGGATCTAACTGTCGGTCAAACTAAAGTTACAGCGATAAGGCTTATCGCCACGTGACCTATCTTGCAGCTAGGTCTAGGGTAGGCAGGTCTGGTCTTGGGCTGTGACAACTACTTCTTAATAACTTAGCTACTATCTGCGTATTAATATCTATCTAATTAATTACTTGTAATACTTCCTATATAGTTATTAACCTTCCTTTCTGTAGTCTTATCCTTTTTACCCTCTGGTAATAGCTTAGTATCCTATTTACCTCTTTAAGATTCTAGACTTAATCTCTTAATAAGATAACCTTGTCACAGCCCAAGATCCAACCTGCCTACCCTAGACCCGACCGCAGGGAAGATCACGTGGCGATAAGCCTTATCGCTGTAACTTTAGTTTGACCGACAGTTAGATCCTGAACGTAGCTCCTTGAGCTACGTCTTGTCGATAGAGCCTGACCTGCCACAGCGCCTATCCGTAGCAATAGACCCTATTCCGCCTGAAGCGTTCCCCGTCTACCAGTATACTGAGCTCCGACCGTGACAAACCTTATATATAACTACTAATATTGCTTTTGTATTTAACTTAATAGCTTAAATTATTAACTTTAGGGAGCTACTTTTATATATAATAAATTATCTAGTAAGGTATTTAGATTAAGATTAAGCCTCTGTTGCTATCTTTAGGGTCTTTAAAACCTATAGACTAGGTGATTAACTTACCTTACCGGGAGGCATTGGGGTTTATAGCTATATATTAAGCTTTAAGATAACGGTTTCTGGGTTAAAAGGATAAAGTCTAGCTCCTTTAAAAGCCCCCTAGATATTACTTTCTGTAAAGGTAGCTTAAAAAGCAGTATAGATGTTGAACAGTAGGATGGCCGCACGGGGTATCATGTGACCTAATAGTCAGCTGTCGGCGACCCTAGACCCATTCAGGAACGCATAATAAGCAGACCCCTCTCCAAGGAAGGCGGGGGAGACAGTTCCACAATACACATGCAATTAAGGACATCAAGGCGCACGCGATCCGTTCAACACTTACAGAGCCGACCAAAATTACAGGCCGCCCAGCTTATTTGCACAAACTCTTTGGGCACGGACCGGGCTGTGGCTGGTGGGACCTTTACAGTGCATCATCTTGGCCAGCGCAGCCACAAATCCACTAGATACTAATGTACGTACAACGTATAAAGGGCCAGCAGCGATTAGGGTTGTACAGTATAGTTAAGCTACATGAACTGCACGGTTCTTCTTGTAGCCACAAACGTCTATTTTCCCCAATAGTAAGCGAGAACAACGACCATTTTTGAGCAGCGGAATAAGTCATCACAGTACTGATGCTGAGTACGTGCACTCAGATGAGTCACATCTGAAATGGGGGTCCATGCTCAGAGAGGTTGTTCAAAAAAGCTGGGCGGCCTGTGATTACGGCTGGGTCTGTAATAGACTTAGTAATTAGAATTTATTTAAGTAATTATTTATTATTAAAATATCTATAAAAAGGGTATTAAACTAAATATAACGTGGTTGATAAGCGAGCGTGATAGACAAGCTGTAACGGCTGCACCTAACCATTACGCCATGAGGCAAAAGATTGGCTAATAACTGCTATTGTAGCAATTACAGTGGTGCATACAGCTACTTATAGGAGCTTATGGTGAACCAAACCGTAACACGTGTGACGGTTGGTTCCCAACTGTGGATAAACTAAGCCGTGCTAGGTTTATTATTGGCAGATTGCGTAAGGCGTGGTGCTAAGCGTTGTCGAAGTGTCACGTCTCTTAATGGTAGAGTCAATGCGTGTTAGTTAGGCTTGATCAATGTAAAGAAGTTTTATTGATAGCTGGTGAGATTTAATCTATGAAAGTGCAAATAAATGTGGTCTATATACTGGTGGTTATGAGGTACTCAACGGTACTCTCCTAAGGACCGAGATATCAGTCTTTCGGTCCTGGACCGATGTCTTGATGCTTCGGTCCTGTCGTGGTTGGTCGAAGCTGGAGGACCGAAAAGGAATCCTTCGGTCCTTGTGTAATTAGTGAAAAGAGTGGGGGATTTTATGGGGTACACGTGACGTAACCCGAGGGTCGTAACAGTTAAGGGACTAGCTATTAACCTAATGTAAGCTCCTCGTTATAGCATCATGCCTTGCAATCCACCTTCTATTAGCACCCTTGCAGGTATCCTCGTGGCCTAAGGCTATGTTATGTTATTTTATGTTATGTATATTTTTCGTCCGGGGGGCCATCGGCCCCGAAAAGTCTCCTACTGGAGCACAGGACGTGCTGAGCTAAACTATTTACAGTCGCTGCCGTACTGATCCTCGGTCAGGTCATCTGCAAGGCCTCTTGCGTCGGAGCCGTATACATGCTCGAGCTTTTTCTCTACTCATCCCCCCAAAAGGCACCTCTCTACCCGTAGCTGGCCCTACAGCAGTTGTCGGTGAAGCACGTCCCACCGGACATCAATACAGTTGATCCTCGCAGAGCTTCCCTCCGGCAGCGTCTCCCATCTAGTTCATCCAGCATATCATCGGCACAAAGGCGCATTACTCTCAAGAGGGCATCCCGTCAGCGGGAACATATCCCTCTCCAGCCTAGAATTCTCTTGCATAGATAGATCAAGTAGCTTTCCATACCCTGGGGCAGGAAGTCCATGATCCCTAAGATCGCCAGTAGCTGCAACCCTAGGACTATGCATCCTTGGGGAAAACTCTACTCTTCTATTCCTAATTGTCGGGTACCCCTAATTGTCGCCTACCCCCTGGTTATTTCTCACGTGTGTGTTTATCTCCTGTCTATTCCCACATGACCATACTATGGTGACTTATGTTTTCTCATTTCGATCGACAGTCTGCGGGCGCATTACTTACGCGTGTAAACACGCACCATGAAGCTGGCGGCAGATCAGTATCGGCCATCGAGTCTTTACGTGCATGACCTCAAGACCACTCACTTGTAATATAGCAGATGGTCGCGACTTAATCAATGAAGGGAACTGGGAGCAAAATCACCGCATGGCTAGAAATCTAGATAATCTCAAGCTCAAGTTAAGCTTCTTCTTGTTGAAAAGTCCGAGTCCTATAGAGCCTGAACAAGAAACAAGTGCCCAATGCTTAAATATCAGTTCTTCCATCAAACTCTAAACTTTCTTGTTCTACGGAGTGGAATCGGATAGTGCCGTTTGTGCTCGGCATCGCTGAAACAGCCGTGCTGCCACATGAGACGACCATTGAGGCACATGCCTGGCCATTATATAGGCAATGACCCTAAAACATCGGTCAAGCAGTGTGCATCGATATCCTCTAACTCGGGTACTACATAACTATGTTGACCGGAGCAACCTCTCGTTCCCAAAGAAGTAATATCCAGACTGTCACGCACGACTTCAAACAGCCAACGCCAGCTTTTAATACCGTCGGTGAGCATTACCCAGTCAAGCTGAATTCGCCGAAGTGTTTTTTGGTGGCGTAGGAGGAAAAATGCTAAATCCATGCTGGCGCAATTGATGGACCTGAGTGATAACATCTCTAGGTTCGGTATGAGAAGAGTTGTGCAAAGCTCTGAGAATCGACCCATATCATCAGAATCATCGAATCCAAGACATAAATGGGAAAGACTGGGAAACGATTCGATAAACTGGACCAGCGATGGCGCCCACTTGGAGGTGTTCTCAAGCCCAGAATGTTTGTCTAGGACGAGATATAGGCGACAAATATGTTTCATAGGAGATCCAGAAAGGAGCGCAGATGACCTGATAAGCATACCAGGATGGATGCATCTGGCGTTGTTCATTTGGAATCCGGGGCTAATATCAAGTGTCTGAATATGTAGCTCAGTCATAGCTATTGCAGCGAGAGTAGCTTGTATCATGTGTTCAACCAGCTTTTCACTTGTTGACGATTTAAATGAAAGTGATTTTTGCGGATATATGCCGATGCGTTCTCGCAAATGCTCCAAACCCCAAGGGTTGCCATCAGTAAGACAAACGCTTTCGCAGCGTGTGAGGTTCTTCATAGCTTGCTTCAGAAGCGCAATGTCGTCCCCAGTTCGTAGTAGCTGCTCTTGATCTTCCAAGTATTCGCAGTAGGCTTTCTCATTGAGCCGACTCAAGCGGTCTTCCTTGATTGCTTCACTATCTTCCCTGCTGCCAATCTCACCGCATAGGATCTCGAAATACTTCAATGCTGCAATGGCTGGTTCTGTTACTCGAAGTTCGTCAAGGGGTTGAAAATGATTGGGGCATATCTCTAATATCCGAATTTTCCCACGAAGAGTGTGGTGCTCGGATATGTCGATGAGCGTTTGGAGGCTGCGACGTTCAAACATAACAGAACGCGTCTCGAAGTATTTGTGCTCGAAAAAATGGGCTGTTCCGTCCCTGATTTTCTTGCATGTTTGCCGGAAAGGAAGAAAATCGCTTGAAAGAAGTTCAGCCAGTATTTTGAGGACCACGGTCGGCAGTTGAGGGAGAGTAGCCATCAGAAAGGGTGGTTGTAAGAGTCTATGACATTATTTTGCGGCTAGTGTTGACACGAAGATGGCAGTCGTGTTACGATCCAACGGATAGATTAGTCACCCTGCATACGACCCCACATTTTTCTCCAACCACGTTGTCAGGACAGTCGACAACGATCAGTGCCAAGACTTCACGATCAGCACTGATCCAACGCAATCAGTACTGATCCGTCTGAATCAGCACTGATCCCAAGATAACCTCACTGATCACCTACCAGATACTCAACTATATATACATTCATTTAGCATTAGTTAGTACACTTAGCTCGACAGCTATCAATAAAGCATCTTTACCTGAATACGCCTAACCCGCTCTATTCACTATTAAGAGACGTGACACTTCGCTTTGCTCAGTATAACGCCCTACGACTCTGCCAAACATAAACCAGTACGGACTAGTTTACTTGCTTGGAAACCCAACCGTCACAGGACTAGTTTACTTGCTTGGAAACCCAACCGTCACACTTACCACTACTGCTTACCTGCTGTTTGCGAATTTACACGGGTTTACCTACCTACCTATTAAAAGCCTCTTTTTAACCCTAACCCTAACAGTAATCTCTCCTCCTAACCTTTATGTCTTATTCCGCTTACAGCAGACTAAACAACTTACCTAACTTACTCTCCTCCCTTAACCCTTAAATTCATTTCTTTTTTTACTTCTTATTAATTTCCCTCTTTCTTTAATCTTTCTATCTTCTTATTCTCTTATCTTCTTACTCTCTCGCTCTCTTACTTTCTTATTTTCCTCTTCTCTTACTATCTTACTCTCTTTTCTTCTTACTATTATATTTCTTACCTACTTACCTTTCTATCTTCTTGTCTTTCCCCTTACCTTATATCTATTAATTATTCTTGTTATCTCTTCTTACCCTATACCTCTTTATTTTTTTCTTCTTTCTCTCTCTCTCTCTCGCTATTAACCCCTCTTATAGTAATATATCCTTATTATAATCTCTAAAACTACCCTATAGCTACCTTTTATTCTTATATATCTCCCAAATAACTGCTTCCCATACAGCATGTGCATTCGTCCCCTTCATGCCGTGAAACCGCCTTTCAACCCCTAGCCAGCGATAAAATGCCTTCCTGTCCTCCATATCAACCCCAAACTTAGCCTTAACTATATCTTTGACTCGCCAGCTCCTCAAGCCCATCAACACCACCGGCAGTAGCTTATCCTTGTACACACACTTGCCCTCTTCATCCCGCGTTTCCTCACACCAGTCTAGTGGCAGCTTGCATATAAAGCAGCATGACAGCTCTTTGAACCTGATCGCCCTGCGTGCCGTATCGTACCCTTCCTCTACCACCGTCTCACACCACTGCCCGGCCTTCTTATGCCGCGGCTCATCTGGGACCTCCCCTAGCTCCAGTCCCTTCTGATGACGTCGGACGTGACACACCGGACACTCCTCTGCGACATCGTCTAGCCATCGGAAAAGCGTTCTGACCCGTGTGCCCTCTTCCTTACCGAATGCCTTCCAAATCCTCCCATTCTTCCTTATCTTGTCGCTCTCACTCTCGCTCTGACCCTCACTCTCGCCCTCCTTGCCTCGACTAATCTTACTATTAGTCTCTCCGTCAGTCTCTCCGTCAGTCTCTCCCTCACCCTTGCTCCCTCCCTCACTCTCTTCCTCACTCTCTTCCTCACTCTCTTCCTCACTCCCTCCATCACTTTCCCCTTCAATCACCTCCTCCTCGGCCCTACCTGCACCCTTACTACTGTTATCATCCCGTCGAAGCAGCTCACACCGATCACAAAGCGTAGCCCCATCTACATCCTCACACGTTTCGCCGGCTGCCCCGTCCATAAATGCCGATATTACGGCCCTTCGACATCCCGGCGTTGATACAAATGCCTCCATCTGTGCCTGATTGATATTATCCACAAAGCTCCGATGCTGATCCTCTTGTTGCGGCCGTCCATCGTGTATAATGACAGACCGCACCACCTCGCCTGCCCGACGCCCTCCTCGGCCAATCTGCTGCACAAAGTCAACGAGCCCGTATGGCTTCTCCATGTGAACCACGGCCACGATCCCCTCGATGTCGATGCCTGTCCCTAACCCGGTTGTTGCTGCGATCCATCGGCTTGTGTTGCGGCCATCTGCCCATGTCGTCCGCGCCTCGTGACGGTCCTGTTCGGTCATGCCGCTGTGATGAAACCCGCACCCGATCTCGTCAGCGATCGCCTCGCATTGACTCTTGGATCGGCAGTATATGACCCCCTTCTGACAGCCCGTCATGTCTTGATCCAGCTGCTTGATCACCTCGACCGTACGATCCTCGATAGCATTACGCCCGGGCTTGACCTGCTGAACCTCGTAGCGGCAGTTCAGCTTAACCGTCCGATCCCGCACTACGATTGCTGACCTTGCTAGCATCTCGCCGCGGAACCAGTCCTCTAGCACAACGGGCAGCGTTGCCGTGAGCAGCACCAACGGGCAGCCAAACCGGCGTAACCCTACGAGCTCGCCAAGCTTAGCCCGGTAGCCAATATCCATGATCACAGTGTGACATTCGTCTACGAATATCCGCTGCAGCAGCCCTGTGCATGACAGCCCGTCAACGTATCCGCAAAACTCGGCGCTCGATACGATATCGGCACTGACGACGATCAACCGTGCTGCCCTCGGCATGCCCTCTCGTCCCGAATTCATCGATGACCTATATCGGATGCAGTCGACCCCCATATCTGTTGCTCTCGTCACCAAGTCATCCATCAGTGCAACAAACGGCACAACCACGATGCTTGTGCCTGTATCCTGTATTACGGCCGGCAGTATGAATAATATGCTCTTGCCGGCCCCTGTCGGCAGCACGTTAATTGCCGTCTGATCTGCTTTGAGCGTCATGATCGATCGCATGCTCTCAGCTTGCTTGTCGGATCGCCAAGTCGCCTTCGGTCCAAGCAGCTTTCGTAGCCCGTCCCTCATCTCATCCTCTAGCTTCTTCCTTTTCTTCTCCCCCTTCTCCTCTCTCGTCTCCTTTATCTCCTTCCTCTTCTGAGCCGGTTCCTCCTCTTGAGTGATCTTTCTTCGCTTGCTGCTCCTAGTCATCTGGGTCCGACTATCGATCGACTGCTGCTGCTGCTGCTGCTGCTGCTGCTCGTCGGTCTTCTGACTATCCCGCTTGCGTTTCGGTGCCTTTGCCTCCTTCCCTTCTTCTGCATTGCTGCTTCCCTCTAAAAACTGATGCCACAGCTTGCTGATCTCCTTGAATGTTGCAATCATCTCCGGCTGCAGCTTACCCGGGAAGCCGATATGTACGGCGTAGTGCTGCCTTGCAATCCGTGTTCTGTGTGTTGACTGCAAATCCCACACGATATTCCAGCTTCCTCCACAGTCAACCGGCTTACCTGTGATCTGGTTGATCTCGATATTGTCATCTTCATCTTCATCATCCATCTTACCTTCTAGCTGCTTTATCACAAGCCCTCGAATCTTCCGTCCCATCTTGATTGCGATGACCTGGTATCGTCCTACCCCTAATTGAGCCCCCGTCCCGGCCTGCGTTACGCGGCCAAGCTGCCTGCTGAGCCGGTCGGTCTCCCATACCGACGAGCAGCTATCCCTCCACATATACTCTAGCTGCTCCCCACGCGGCTCGGCAAGTTGACACTCTCGTTGCAGCACCCTCTCCGTCGGAAGCAGCCATGCGATATATGCCACAATCATCCGCCTAATCCGGTCGGGGACGAATCGTGCTACCTTTCGCCCGTTGTCACGGATTGCCTTCATCTTATCTCGGTCAGTTACGATCATGACTTGCCCATCTAGTATGAATATGTTCCGCATCAGCTGCCACGAATCGCAGTGCCGCAGCGTTGTGATTTCGGGCCCCCTTCCTGGAAGCCCACCCCACGTATGTACGAGCACGAGCAGCGCCTCTCGCAGCAGCTTCAAGTCCCGAAGCCACCTCTTAACACGCTGTCGCTTCCATCGGACCCTTGTAGCATCCCATATCGATGCTTCCATCAGCCGCATCACCTTTGCCGGCCCGGCCTCCAGCCACTTGTTCTTCGGGTTGCTTGCAAATGACTGACCTGCCCCAAGCCGTATCATGTTATCGACGATTCGCCCCATATTGATCTTCTTGCTGACCGGCTGCCAGAACCCCCCGAATAGCTTATCTAGCAGCTTCTCTGCATCGGTAACCTCATCGCGTAGTGTACGGGTGAAATCCTTGACGCTGATATACTCGCCCATGTGAAATAAGCCCTCTCCATCCTCAGACCATCGTATTGACGGCTGTCCCCCCATCTTCTGCCGATACCCTTTCCCGTATGCCATCCATCCGATGATCGTGCTCATGACAGTGTGAGTGCCCATACACATCCACGATCTATGCTGCTCTTCAAATGCAAGTACGGCCTCGACCCCGACCTCATCCCGATCTAGCGGCTGATTTTCGAATACAGCCTCTAAAAAGAACAGCCGGGTCCACCACACTATAGCAGCTAGCAGACCGGTATACAAGTGCGGCTCTATATAGCCCATCGGGCGTGGCTTGATACCAAGTGCCGCACAGAAGCATAGTAGCGAATTCGTGTATACATTTCCACCAACGTGAGTTTTGATCGAAGCCACTATAAACCGGAAGACGGCTCGGTCTAGTGCATCCTGCAGCGGGCTAGTCAAACCTTCATCCACCTGCTCGCCGTTATCACTATTATCGTCGTCCTGATATTCGTCCTCGTCTCCGTCCTCGTCTCCGTCTTCGTCTCCGTCTTCGTCTTCATCTTCATCTTCGTCTTTGTCTTGATCCTTAGCTTGTCTCTCTCTGCCGCTGAAAAATCCGCTGTCGTGACTGCTTGGAACCCTATCACTCTCGAGCTCTTCGGCAATATCCCCCAATAAGCTCCACTGCTCATCCGTAAAGCGAACAGCCCAGCGTTCAAATGCTTCCTTCCGTCCGATGCGATATGCCTTCCAGCAGAAGCTTAAGTAACGGTGACCGACAGACTTGTATTGGCTCATCGATTCTTCCTTGCCTTTACGACCAAACGGCACACCGCTCGGGGTTACTGATGAAATGCTGTTAAGCCACTGCAACGTCTCGGTCGGCACGCTGTCAAGTCGCCAGCAGCAACGTTGAACTTCACGATCGAAGCTCTCTCCAAGCCGCCTAAGCAACAGTCGTTCACAAGCTGCCTCCTCATCTTCTTGCCTTCCAGCTGACCTGCCTATTACTTCCCTCGCTCGTAGCCACTGGGCTGCGTTGTGAATGTTGATCAAGTCCCGGGAGCCAAAGTGTCGTACCCAGCCTAGCCTCTTGACCCACGGCGAGTCACGGTCGATCTCTTCCTTCAAGTCACCCTTCCGTAGTCATACAGCATCTTCCTCTTCTAATCGAGCCTGACTTACAGCAATGAGTTCATCCATAGCGCTCTAACTTGTAGCATCAGCTGCATTAGCTGTATCGGACGGGCTGTTGCTATCACCATCATCTCGAACGATCCAGTAGCGCGCGTAATTCCTCCCCCCCATCCACGTCTGTAGCCGCACGTCGGTCCATCGCTCCTCTGCTGCTCCATGCTCCGACTCTCTCCAGTAGCGGACAATATTATCTCGTGCAATAGTAAGATATCGGCATGCATTGCAGCTGTATCCGTGTGAGATAGTAAGCTGATCAATTGCCTAACTGTTATCTTTGGGTATTGCAGCAAGCTTCTAGTTCAAGTGTACCATAGTAGTCTTTAATGTCCTTAAGCACTTGGCCCTTCAGTTAATGCTGCCGTCGGAAATGTAGCTCGATGCTGCTGCCGGGTCAGATAGCTGCTTGACAGAGCCGGCAAACCAGTATCTGATAGTCCTAATTGAGCTGTACGATATCCTCCATTGCTACTTGATATCGCCCCTCTGATCACGGTAATAGAAAGTAAAGAGAAAAGCAGTCTTGTTGTTTTTCTTTCCTGGTTAAAGTCCCCTTTCACCTGCGTTATGCTAACCCCGAATTGGCGCTAGCTAACCCCAAGTGTGGGGTTGGGGTTATTCTCACCCAATCAGCTACTCGTCTTGACATCTAACGATAAGTCGTAAAAGATTAAGCGAGATTATCTGCTTTAGTGGCCGATTATGGGTTAATCGCCTCTTAATAGTTCCTAGGGCGACCCCTGCGGAAGTCCTGCTTGTGGTAGAGGTCGGCTTTCGGAATTTTGGCCATTGATTACAATGGTTGCAGTTCGCTCTGAACAAAAGGCATCGATCCAGCGCAGGAGACCCTCCGAGATCCCTCTCGCCTTCATCCGCTGCAGCAACCTCTCTTTGCACACTCCATTGTATGCCCCTTTAACATCGAAACTGATGAGACTCACGACATGGCGTGAACGCCAAGCTGAGAAGATGTGTTCTTGTAGGAGTATAAGGGCTTGCTCTGCTGATCGCTGCTTCCGCGCACCGAAATGGTTGGTCGGAAGAAGTCCGTAAGTCTCTACCGCGTGGGAGATCCTCTCAGCAACTACCGACTCTAACACCTTACCCAGCGTAGCGAGAAGCGAGATCGGTCTCCATGCTTTCGCAATCGTGTAATCATCTTTACCTGGCTTCTTGAGTGGGATGATTCGAGCATGTCTCCACTGGTCTGGTATCACGCCTTCCTCCAGTGATGCCTGAAAGATGGCAAGGACGTCGTGTTTCACTGACGGCCAGACTTGCTTCCAGACGATCGCTGGTAGCCCATCTTCTCCTGGCGCCTTCCATGACTTTGTTGCCCAGAGTTGACGTTCCACTTCCTCCAAAGTCAGGTTTGGCATCGTTACTGGGGCTCTTTGTTGCCGTGATCCTTCGTCTTCGATATTGTCTGGCAATGGCGGGAAGAACTTTGTCAGTAGTTCTTCGGCTTGTTCTTTATGGCTAGTTGTTGCTGTTCCATCTGCTTTGATGAGCTGCGGTACTTTTCCAAAAGCTGCGTCATCCCCAGACTTCATGTACTTGGCTGCTTTCCAGATGTTGTCATTATCCGCTAGAAACTCCTTCCAGTGATTGTTCTTCCGTTGTCGAATAGCATCGTGGTATTGCTTGGCCGCTGCCTTTGCCGTGTCTTCGAGATCTGCAGTGTTCTGTCCCGCACGTCTTGCGGCTCGAGCTCGATTCCTCCAGTATGTGTATACATGCCGCAGCTGTGTAAGGTTATTGGTCCACCATCGTTTTGCGTATAGCGACGGTTTGGCTCTGGGCGTTAATGCCTGGACCGCATCCAGCACGGCCGACATCAACCTATCCGTTTTCCGCTGTACCGTGTTTCCCACTTGCCTAACTCTCAACGTGTCCACAATCCTGCTATTGATCTCCGTCCAGGGTGCATTCTTGAACAGAAGTCTTTCTTCCTGTTTCGGCGCCGGGACTGAAATGTCGAACACCGTCTCTATCGTGCGATGATCTGATCCGTGCTCCGTACCATGTATCGCGCATTTGATGTTTGCGTCTGCGAGCTCTTCGGAGGCTAGAACCAAGTCGATAGTCGTTTCATAATCTCCGCTCTGCCACGTCTTCGTGCCTCGGCGAAGGAGGCTTCTGAGCATGAAATCGTTTATCAAGTCGATGATCGGATCCGCCTCGCCCTGTCTCTCCACTGCTACATCGTCTCTGCCCCACATCTGGTCGTGGCGATTGAAATCACCAACAACCACTACATCTACCGCTCTTCCTGATCTCCGTCTTACTTCTTTAATAGCTGTACGAAGCTTAGCGCATATGTCCTGTAGAGCTTGGCCGTCTCCCCCCGGCACGTAGATAGACGCCGTGAAGATCAGACGATCTGGTAGCCGGATGACCGCTGCCGTTACGTCTGGGGAGTCTATTGGCACCTGCTCCGCCTCCACCTCCTTCTTCACCCAAAGCATACTCTGAATCACCTATTTACCTTCCCTCTCTGTCGTAGGTACCATCTTGACCCATTTGTGGTGCCCTATGGGTGTTGTTAATAGCCTACCCTGGATCCTCTGGGCTTGGGGTTCTTGGATGGCTAATATGGTTGCATCCTGAATGTCCTTGTCGTTTATTAAACTATTGTGTACTGGCCCTTGCTTTCTGACATTTAGTTGAAACAGTCGGAATGTGCTATTTATGCTGCGATGGATAGAGCTTCCGATAGTTTCTGCTGTATGACTTGTGGGGGCCGCCGCATGGGATACATTTCGGAATTGTTCCTGTGTATGCACTGTGATGATGACCTTCTTGCGCGCATCTGCCACAGACTTGTGGTCTGTCGCATTGGTAGGCTTTGTGGTTCGTGATCTGTTGGCAGTTGTAACATTGCTTGGGGTGGTTACGACGCTTAAATACCTTCGTGGTACCGGATTCTCCTCCAGCCACAAAGAATCCTTTGTTAATGAACTGCCTAGCTTCTGACCGTTTTTTGAGATATACGACTATCGAGCTGTATGCCTTGGGGACGTCTCTCTTGCTAAGCCATGCTACCTTTGCAACCTTGGTGTTATTTTCTCGGCTGAGCATCTCGGTGATCTCAGCTCGAACTTCGTTCCTCTCGTTAAGCACTGCAATACGGCTGACATTATCCACTCTGATAGGGTAGAGGTCATCTCGTAGGACGCGGGCTCCTGGGGCTAGTTTTGTTTCCGCTACGCGTTTCACAATCTTATGCTCGCTCTCGTCCCTGCAGGTGACCCTGACGCGGTGGGGATTCTTTGGGTCCTTAGTTACCGCTTGGCATCGCCACGTGGGATTGTCTAGTTCGGAGCGGACTACGTTCTCCACTGTTGCTCGGATTGTTCCGGTTGAGAGCCTAGCCTTATCTTCTCCTAGTCTTGAAACGTTAATCGTGCAGTAGAACACGTCTGTGGGGTTCGGAGGAGCGGCTAAGGTCCTTGAATCGTTGTTAAGTAAGAACGGCGTTAGTCGTGCGATGTCAGCATATGATCGTTGGGGTCCGTCCGTTGCGCTTGTGGCGATAGTTTCGAGCTGCTTGCGGGCCTGCTTCAGTTCCTTGGTCATCCGTTCCTTCATCTCGACCATCTGCTTGCCCATCTTGTGCATTGTCTCTTCCTGCTTTGCAACAGCTTCCTGCAGTTCCTTGGTCATTTCCATCTGTTCCTTTAGCGCTTCCTGCAATCTTTTGGTCTCCCTGCGCGACTCTGCTAGGAGATCCAGCGCCTTCTGCAGCATGGCCCTTCCATCGCTACTTCCGCTGCCGCTGCCGCTACTCTTTCGGGATTCGGTCGGTCGGTCAATCTGTTCTTCGGCCGGTATGTTTCGCGTCGTCTGTCGAGTGTTTCGTCGCGTTTCTATGGCCGTGTCTTCCAATTGTCGCGCGGTGTCTTGGACCTTGCTCGTAGGCTTTACTACCTGACTTGGGCGTTTTGGCGTCGAAAAAGGGGCGTCCTGCTCCACCACGATCTCGGCCCCCATTGGATCCGTCATGACGGTAGGCTTGCCAACCTCCATACACACTTCTCGGTCGGACCAACAGCAGCAATCTTCTGATTCCCTTGGGTGCGGTTAAAAATGCAGTGAATGATACACAGCTGCTATATCGGTGCTAGTCCCCTAGTCCTACAGTCCAAAATCAACTCTAGTAGAGTTGATTTTATTGACCCACTTTAAACCTAGTAGGATTGATTACTGCCAGGGTGTAGAGTTGATTTGACATTGTTCTATATACAGGAATAGTAGTGCTCATCAGAACAGGGGTTTATCCAGAACGCGACGCGTCCTGTCGCGTAAAGTGCGGCATAATCTCCATATTGACTCCAAAAACTCTCTGTAGTGTGATCCAATTCATCCTCACTTAATTGATTTGTGGTGGTTCACCAGTCTTTACAATGCTATGTCGTAGTTCACTGCTCATCAATACCAACGCGACCATTTCTCCGTCTTGACAGGACATTTTCGCTCCGCGTCCCTCGAAACTCCACACTGGAAACCTTGCTGCTCATCACTCAAAACTGCTGTTGATACAGCTCTTACTTGCTGCGCACATATTCAGTAAATCTTTATCGACCGATCAACCCTAATCAAGCATGTAGACCAGAAATGCGCCGCATTTCTTCCACGAAGGCCCGTGCCAACCATGTAGACAGCAGCGCTCTTAGACTTCAGAGCGCGTAGTAATATCCGTTGCGTCGATTAGGAGTAAGGAAGCAGCAATCAAGCTCTCTCTTTATTCTTGGCTAAATGTGACTTCATAAAGGGTATCTGACCCTCTTGCTGCCTTCTCAACTTTATCAATATGACAGGCCTCGCGATGTACACTGATGCTATTGTCACATTGCGGCCGATTCAGCTCCAAAAGCTCGAGAGTCTCGGCTTGTACTTCGCATTGTGGTGCCGTCGGATATGCCGGGCGATATTGGTTTGCGGTACAACGCCACACTGTTTGCAAACAATGATACGCCAAGAAGGATCGTTGTAAAAGAGATCTTCAAGTTCCATAGTGAAAGTCGTTTATAGTCCGCTAGCCTTTTGATGGCACGAGCTTTTAAAGATCGTTGGAGGAAACCTCGAATTGAAATTACAGCAAAGAGAGTAGATGATGTAAGAAGGCTGAAGTACGCGTTTACGCGTGTTTACACGCGTAAGTAATGCGCCCGCAGACTGTCGATCGAAATGAGAAAACATAATTCACCGTAGTATGGTCATATGGGAATAGATGGGAGATAAACAGGCACGTGAGAAGTAAACAGGGGTATGCGACAATTAGGGGGAGCACGACAATTAGGAATAGAAGAGTAGGGTATATTGATTAATCAAGGCGCGACTGAAAACAATAGCAAACCAGCTGAGGAGTGCTGTGTTATGTAGGATTGGCTGGTCTTTTACTGGACTGCAATGAATACTTCAATCGCAGACGAGGTTATTGACTGCAACCGTGATCCCATGTGTATTTGTGTAGACTGTATTATTATCTCCTGTCGAAACTCGTATTTCGATATTGCTTGATATCGTGCTTAACTCCCCAGATCTCCACTGACAAACACAACTAGCACAGCCGCATAACTATTCTCATTAGCCATAGCGTTCGTAGTCGAGGTCTTTTACTCACGCTGCTGTAGCTCCAAATACCTCTGCCCTTTTGGCGTTGGTCAACAAGCCAATACTTGCAGAGAACAAAACTGTAAATAGCGCAATCAGGCCAAGCTTCAAGTTATCCGAATTCGTGTTGTAGAGGACCAAAATAGCTCCGATCAAGAGCAGGGCTGCCAAGATGGTGCTCAGCCACGAGATAAAGGTCGATATTCTCTTTCCTGACGCATAGCTTATGGATGACCCTGCCGTAGCAACATGGGTATCTGGTTCCTATTTTATTATCAGCGATACCATCCCATGTATGATTCAATGTATTCACCTCGAATAGAAAGCCAAAATAGTCTTGCACAAACGTTGTCAATCGATCTGGTGGCTCTCGAGTATGTAGTACCAAGAGATCATCGGGGTCATCGTAAAGATTTGAACTGCGGCCGCCGAGCATAGGAAAATCCCTGCTTTCTTCCGGGCGTCCGTGGAAGAAGTGTATACGAAATGCCTTTAGCGTCCTTCTATCAGGCTGTGGTATTGTTGCCAGAGTACCCTCAAATAAAATGGCCTCCCCTGAGAAAGTATGAGCGTATATCAGTTATGGCACAGGGAGGCTCACTGTAGTCTTTCAAGGTGATTTGTATCTCCCGCAGAAGCTTCCTTCGGTCCGAGTTCTCCTCATTCTTCGCCTTATAGACTTCCCAATTTCTGAGCGTCTGTAATGACTCTCTGCTCGTTTGGTCTGCGTCGTCATAAGAGTCAAGCTTAGCCTCTAGCTCTGCTAGCTCGCTTTGCAGCACAAGTAAATTCCTCGCTGCCAGGCGATTAAATCTCTTAAATATCGCAGATGTGCCATCTCTATCGCTAGCAATGAAATGCGCAAGGGATGGGAAACCGTCAATGTATTGCTTTTGCCCCGCGCTACTCATCCTGAGCTGGTGATATGATTGCTGATGTAGGTTTGAAAGTATAAGTAACTTATGGAGGTATAGCGAATAGTGTTTCGTTATTAGGCTAAAATTTCTAGCTTTTCTCTGAGGCAATGGCGGTATTAATGATGTTGCAGGGCACTCGATGTATCAGCACTGTGAGGAATCAGGCTGTGGGTGTAACCGTAATTTACAATCAGGCTCACGTGTTCAGTCATGCAGGTGAGAAAAGCCTTGCAAACTGCCTTGCACATGTACTCTTCTGATTGGTACCTGAGATGTCACGGGCTCTACCTGTGTACCCCGTCTTGAAATTTCTGCCTCATTCAAAGTTGACGATACCGTAAACCCCAAGTCCATATCCCCAAAAGACTCGACCCATGAACTCTGACGACTACTACGATCCTGACGATGTCGTGCAGCGCAGTTCGCCGATGCTTCGGCCAGTGCAACCCAGGCTGAAACCAGACACACCTGATGGAACCGACGACGAAACAGACATCGAGGACGTGATTGACAATGTGAGCACATATCTACTCCAACGTGGAAGATACTAATAAGTCTTTACATACAGTCTATACCATGGAACCCAGCCCTCAGAAATAGAAAGCGACGGCGTTCAACCGACCGCGGTCTGCAGAACGACCGACCTAGGAACAAATGGAAGGATGCACTCCTTATTCATCAAATGGATCCACGCCAGGGCTGGGGTCTTGCCAACGCAGTTTCAAGAACCCTTGCACCGGCTGACGCCGTCACGGAGCCCGTTATGGATTCCCTAACAAACGCAACCCCAAATTCGCGGCGGCGAAAACGATTTGTCCTGCCTCTCCTTGTGGCTAGCCCAAAGATTTCTGCTGAAGGTATACTTACAGAAGTTGAAGCATGCCCTGACAGTGGTTCCGACGAAAACATCATTTCTCTAGGGTTAGTGAATCAATTGAAGGTTGAGATGCAAGCCATCCAAGCTGAGCCGAAGGAATTCTCTCTCGCCAACGGGAAGGTTGTTCAAGCACTAGGTTGCGTGCACATCGCATGTGGTTTCGCTGTCGGAACTCCCCTACCTACGCCATCGATTGAGTGTGTCTTCTACGTGTTCAACACCCTTGCCGTTCCAATGATCATGGGAATGGGGTTTCTCGTTGCCACCGAAACTCTGAGTAAGCATACAGATCGCCTTCTTGAACAGACGATATCTGGTATGCAAGCTCTGAGGGTAAACAGCGTGGGGAAGTCTAAACGAAGTGCTGCCTGTCGCCTTGACGATCTTGTTGGATACGCCACCGTGGATACAGGCTCGGACTTGAATTTCGTGCATCCCGGCGTTGTAGCGCAGGGTATGTTTACCGTTGAGCCAGCCGTCGAGTACTTGGAATTCGCAGACTGCAGCATCGGGTCCACGTCTGGCGTTTTTGAGGCGCAATTTTCTATCGGTATCGAAGACGATTCGAAAGAGTTCCAGTCACGGACACGATCCATAAACCTGGAATTCTACGTTCTCAATGATCTCAGCACAAATATTCTCATTGGTCAAGACACCGCCAATGACCTCGAAGTAATGACTGCGCACCTGGATTCACTCCTGGTCGAATCTGCAAATTCCGCAGTCCACATCATTCGCCACCAGGGAAAGCTTGAACAACGCGTCAAGAGAGGGCTAAAGCAAATTAAGAACATATTTACCAATTCTAGGACGGGTCCCAGTCAGTTCATCTCATATCACTGCAACTCACATCCCAGGCTTACAGCTGCAGGCACAGTAACCGAGCAAGAGACTCCAGTCACCTTTGAACTTCAACGGGAGAATGCAAAGTATGAAAGAGAGCGTATAACAGCCACTAGGCCATCTGAGTCGACTTTAGAAACGAGCATGAGGCTCTTGCCTGCTATAATAAGTGAGAGCTCTCCAAGATCCCCACCGGATGCATATCGCACTTTAAGCCCCGACGCTTCAGTTGACCTACTAAATATATCCTCTTCCCACGAATCTACAGGTTCGTCCTCAGTGGCAACACCATCTACTGACAATTCTTCGCCAACTGCGATGAATGATGAAACGCCAATCAATGGGTAGGTACCTTCGCTGCATAACGTTGAATCTCCACTAATTTTCTATGCAGTCATATGAGTGAAATGACACTTAGTCCTAATGGCAGGAGTCTCGACTGGATATGGCAGCCCGGTTCAGGCTCGTATATATGTACGCATCATGGGTGTAATGCCGCACCGTTTCAAACGCAATACCTTCTTAACTCTCACATGAACGTACATATATCCCGGAGGCGGTATAACTGCTCTATCCAGGGTTGTCCAAGGGGTGAAGGAGGGAAGGGCTTCAAAAGAAGGAATGAAATGATTCGCCATAGTCTATTACATGATCAGCCTGGCTATATATGCCCTTTCTGCCCGGACCGTGAGCATAGGTACCCAAGACCAGATAATTTGCAGCGGTAAGTTCAACGAACAGAAATCTTCCTTTTAGGAGGAAAGTCGACTGACAAGTGTATAGACATGTTCGTGTACATCATATTGATAAGGATAAAGACGATCCTCTTCTGCGAGATGCGCTATCGCAACACCCTATCAAGCTGAATAGAGGGAGGCGTAGACGAGAACCTCCTCAATAATAAACTTGTGATTTTAGGGTCAACCAACGTCGCAGTTCACACAATGATATTACCTATGATGGCCTCAAACACGCCCATTGTGTTACACGAATCAATCAATTCTTATAGCTAGTTCCTCTCTTCCTACCTTCCTCTCTATATCATTATTCCAGCTCCAGATTCAAGTGAAAAAGGACTTTTACACATCTTTATCGGGCCGTTACTCCTACTGTATGAAGGACTATCAGAATCCCGCCTTATGTAACGGTTGGAGTTTCCCGAGGGATAAACTAGTCCGTACTAGGTTTATGTTGGTAGGGTTGTAAGGTATAACACTGAGCGAGGCGAAGTGTCACGTTGCTTAATAGTGAATAGAGCGGGTTAGGCGTATTCAGATACAGACGGTTTTATTGATAGCGGGCGAGCTAAGTTCTATCTAATGCTAAGCGAATGTATATATACTTGAGTGTTTCTGGTTGAGGGTTAGGGTTACCTCTTTAATTATAGTAGAAAGTAAAGAGAGAAGTAGTCTTGTTGTTTTCCTCTGTTGATTGAAGTCCCCCCAAGCTGCCGCTAGCTAACCCCAAGTGTGGGGTTGGGGTTATTTTGACCAATCAGAAGCTCGATCCAACGTTACTCGATTCAAGTCCAAATTTTAAGCGAAATTCTCCATTTTGGTGGGCGATATCCGGCTAATCGTCTATGAATAATACAGGAATAAGATCAATTATCACATTTTATTATTCAAGCCTTCTTTTAATAGATAGTTCAATTTATTTGTTAAGACTTGATTTATTGCAGCGGCGGCAACATAACCATGATTTTCCATTACTGCGACATGGAGCTAGGATGACTATTCTACTGGCGGCTAGAAGATCTACACCGGGGCGGGCCGACCGAGACCAAAAGAATCTAGATTAGTATTGAGAGGTAGCTACTCACCTTGACTTTTCAGCTTCCCCACTGTTGATTCTTGGCGTCCGATCAGGCCATGACGCCTCATAATCGAGCTTGTTGCTTCTGTTAGCTCTGTAAGTCTTACGACCCCGCTCTGCTCGGCGGTAAAGTATCGACGGAATGGACATCTTCTCAGCCTCATGCAGCATAAACCAGTGATGACTGCAGAGATCCGGACAACCGCGACCTGTTGTTTGTTATCTGTGAAAGGTGAAAATATGCAGCCGTTTTCCTTTTCACACATATTGACAGGGTCATGCAGCCAACAGTTATATTCCAGTGTGATACCACAGTAGGTACGTTCTTTTCTCAACGTGGAGAAGGAAAGGGGACAACGCGGAAAGCACAGCCAGCGTAAAAAATTGCAATTATATAGGTTAGCATTAATTCCTTTTCGTAAGCATAATATATTTTATTTTATTTTCGTCGAAAGTTTAAGTATATCTCAGCGATCCTCGCTCCTCATTTGGTTTACTGTGTTATCCTCTCCCAAAATAACACGTTTCCGTTGGTCCGGTGATGCTGACACCCCGCTTTGAGCAGCGGTCAGTATTTTGCATTCCAGCCAATAATAACTTGCAGGTAGAAGGCCTCATTATGGATATGGCTTACTCTGAATCATTGGCTGCACCAATTAGTGAGCCACCCAATAATTTCCCTCCTACTGTGGCATCGGCAGGCTCGGTCGTCCGAGCTTGGTTAGTTTTCCTGTAGTCAGGCGGTGATCTTTTAATAATCGAGGAAGCAGAACTTACCCGAAAGCTAATTAGCCCCTGAGTTCTAAAGGTGAATCAGGATGACAATTTGCTGATATGGCTAAGCCGTGGAGTAGAATACCTATTATTCTCTTTTTTGTAACTTGTCTCTATCAAGCTGTCCTAATTTCAATATTCTTCATTAGGGTTAAAATTAATCCCTGCAAGCGATAAACTCTAAAAACATCACTTAGGTAGACTGCAAAGAAAATACAGGAATAGGGTAAAAAAATCAATTCTACTACAATTGATATTGTCATTAACTACTAGGCTACCTCTAGAGTTCAGACAACAGTTGCTGGGTGTCCTCCCAAGCATTCTCGCGAGAACCCAACCTCAGCCTCTCACCAGTCCCAACATAATCTTCGCTTGGTCTTCCTTCCATATTCATCGAAATCAATTGTTCCGCTTCGCTTCAGACAAAGTGAAGGGACAATGTCACCTGGCGGTGGATCTTCGTCGCGTAGGGCTCGATCAATCAGATGTTGATACTTGTCCAGTGGCCACGATGCCTTGTGGGCGCATACCAAGATCTTTTTCAGCAATTTGGCGAGAAAGAGACGCTGTGGCTTCTGTTCAAAGGAATCAACTAGATCCAGCTTTGCCTCGAGGCGGCCAAAGATAACCTCGTGGTGTCCCTGGGCAGGTTCCGCGGCAGTTGTACGCGTGAAGGAATCAAACTCAGCAAAGTCGATGATGGAGAATTCAACGAGAGTCTGGTCCAAGCCAGAGGGTCGAGATTCATTACGAGAATTCTCACTGCTGTCAAAAGCAGCCCCTCCTTTGATGAACGAGTTCAGTGCTTGGAAGTACATTTCTTCAGCTCGGTCGTGCCATTCCATGTCGAAAGCAGCGGCCACGAATAAAGTGAAGGCAGGGGCAATGTTACCAGAGACCGACCAGATCCTAGCCTAGGGATTGGCACCAAAATCCAGGAATACCTGTACCAGCCCCTGTTCGATCGCGTCTTGGAACTTGGGGCCGGCTCTTGTCCATCGCGTTGGAGATCCTTTTGGAAGAACCTCCGATAAGAACTTCTTCCATATCGTGATCATGTGCATCGAGCCCACGGTCAGTTCGTTAGGGCTCGGCCCAGCCTTTTGAGCACGTACTCGAGCTTTTGACGACTTTCAATTGGCCATATTGTGTGTGACAGAGTTGGAGTTCATAGCACCATGGATATTGCTGACTGGCTGAAGATGGAGAGAAAGCTTGGTTCTGCCATAAGCTTCCTGGAAAGATAACCCATCAAAGGCAGGTCAAGGGCAATTATCCGAATCAGTGCAGAAACGTGTTCAGATGTCTCCACATGATGCCCAACTAGTGTTGGTTTGATAGCCCTGGCCATGTCGGCCAGTCTAAGGTCCATCTCATCAACAAGCGAGTCCAAGGCCGTTTTGGGAACTTCATCGACCAGTTCAAGGTATGAAGCATATGAGGGCTGTGCGAACTCCCAGGTAGAGCGGGCTTTCGCAGAAAGCGAGATCCTGTAGCCCGCTCTCTTCAAACAGCATAAAGTTTCCGCCTTCAAGATTGGATAGCTTGAGCCACGCTACATAGGCTTTTAGTATCGACAATCCAGTATTGAAATATCTTGGACGTTTTGATTCGAGAAAATCTGACATTTCTCGAGTCCTGAGAAACTCCCCTACTGTCCGATGGGGGAACTGAATCTTTCCCAGTTGCTCCTCCAGAAGTCCACGACATCATCCCCTGAGTCGACGGACAATTTGTTTTTGTCGCGCTCTTAACTGATTCTGGTGGCCATCTGTATTCATATCGTTTTCCAGGTCCAAGGGATGTCGGAAGTAGTCTGGATCTTCGTACTCGTCGCCAATAAAGCTGTATATCATGGAATCCAGCGGTTCTTTTGCATAGAGTGCCACTTGGAGTGCGCCCGCCATTTTCTCATGGTAGAAGCTTGAAACAGACTCCAAAATCTGCTTGAAGAATGCTTCTAACTCCGTCGGTAAGCTCAAAAGCCTCTTCTCCAGGTCAGTGAAGCTATCATCATTGGCCAGACCCTCTCTGAGGTGCCTTGTCACGAGGAAAACCCAAAGAAAGACCCCTTGGGCTCTCGTCACAACAGTTCTAGCTAGGGAGCCGGCTTTCTTTGTCTGTGATTCCAGTGACTTCCAGCGTGGGTGCCTATGAAGCCTATATTGAGTGTAGAGCAATATGTCATCCCATGTTAGCTCATGAATGAAGATTCTTGACGCTGGATCTTGGCCAAAGGCGTCGTTGAACTCATTCCATGGCCTGCTCGACAAGCAGATCTTGATATCTCGACTCGAGATTGTCGTGAGATATTCGCAGAAATCGCTGTGGTCGCCGTTGGCGCTGTCGTATTCGTCCAGTCCGTCAATGAAGAAGCAGAACCTGAAAGTTCTGTCGGGCTGCTCCGAGATTCGCGATAGAGTAGCTCGTAGCTCACTCTCTGTCCATTTGTCGCCATGTGGTACCTCTCCTGACCATCTAGAAGGACAAACACTCTGAATCAACTGTGGACAACATCTAAACACATCGTACAGAAGCGTCTGTAGAAGCCCGACCAGTGACTTCTGCATCTTGGACCCTGAGCTCCAGAAGTAGCAACTGGAAACAATGACTCGACGTGGATGAGCCCATCGTGAAAGTGCTTCCACTGTCCTCTGGTGATCTGCAACAAACTTCATAAAGGTCGACTTGCCCGACCCAGGCTTCCCGGAAACCCAGAATACTCCGCTGCCGTGCTCAAGCCACTTTAGAAGCTTTGTCTGAGACTCTCGCTGCTTTATACTTAGGTGCGTTTCCTGATCACTTGGGGGTGTAAAGACCCATCGGAAGGTTTCATGGTGCGCGTCACAGATGGTGTTGTAACGGAATTGTCTCGTCTTGAAGCTCAGTGATCGTATGATATCAAGCTCCTTGCGCACCCTGGCCTCAGACAGCGAAGACTGGCGCATCATTTTCTCCAGAGTGTCGATCTCATCTTTGAACGCTTCGGCACTCGGAGGGAATTTTCTCCCTTTTTCGATATTTCTCAGTGTGTTTTGCATGACCGAGAGCTGCTCCGAGTATCTCGCGCCTAAAAGTTGACTCTCGCTCCGTAGCGCAGCCAACTCTCGAGAATGCTGAATGTGGTAGATACTACGACACGTTAGAATTTTACATGTATGTGGGCAACGTGGTCGTTACAGACTTGGATATGCGCGCCATGGTGGCAATCAAAATAGCCTGAGACCGCTTGAGCCTCTCGTCTACTCTCTGGATTTCATCCTTCTTCCAGATCATTTTGATTGCCACTTTAAAGCTTTTGGTTAAAGATCCGACACCACTCTCTAGCTTTAGCTTTGAGAGGAGGGAGAGAATGAGGGCGGAGTCCTGTTCGCAACTCTTGACGACATCCTGAAGAGTAGAGTACACGTGTTGCAATTCCGGCAAGGTATTGCCCATGCGTAATTCGACTTCACTTGTACCATCAAGAACGTCTGTATGACCTCCTTGCACAAATGAATTGAAGGTGGGTGCAGCATGATATGTGTCGGTGGTTGTTGTTTGAGAACTTGTTGCGGCTTGATCTCTGGACACTTTCTGGGATGCTTGGTTCAGATTCTGGCAAAGTCTTTTTAGCTGGGAATAAACAGTGCCCAAGTTGGAGATGTATGCGGAGGCGTCGCTTGCTGAGTCGTAGATGTCTGCGGTGGCGGATATCAATTGTGAGGTAAAGGTAACAAACTGGGCACTAGCACTCGCGATGCCAAGAGCCGAAACGGGGTCCATGGCGAATTAAAGCCTGGTATGGGACGAAATATTCAACAAAGGCGGACAAAGCTGGGCTCCTGGATGGGTATTATGAGCCACGGTAAAAACCGGAGAAGACGCATTTTCAAGCCGACAGTCTGCCTTGCCAATGTCCATGTGTGCGATATCCCTCCTTCAAAATCCATTGGAGCTGATTGATGCATTGCCCAACGGCCACCTGCAGGTCGAATGCAGCCCGTCGCCTGCCTGTCACATTATAGGTACTCAGCCACTGTCTCAGCCAATCACCTCATAACGGCAAAATTGGTAGTACCAAAAATGTGCCTGTAGTAGCAAAACAGCCGGTTTTGACAGGCCGGCTTCGCGGCTGCTGGGTCTCCCCTTGACGATACTAACATTCTTGTAGAGTAAACCAGCTTGAGAGGGTGCCGGACGCGGCGTCTGCTCAAAGTGAAGTCGTAACGATTCCAGTTTCTCGCGATCATTGGGGCGTGGGACAAGCAAAGTACGGTTGACCTGGTAGTTCAACACCGTGGCCAGGCAGCCTCGCCGTTACCTACCTCTCAAACATCAAGCATTGGCCTGAAGGCGCAGTCTGTTAGCTAGCCAAGCCCGATTTTTGCAGTGGCTGAGACTCATCTGATGCCTCCCATCCCCATGGCGACCTTCGACTGCAGCAGTGAGGGGACCAATAAGTGGTTATAGTGAACTTTAGGCTACTGGAGTGGGGCATTAGGCGGACATGTCGCAAAGTCCGCCCTGGGGGTTAGGGTTAATATATAATAGTAAAGACTCTTTCCTCCGCATCTCACTAACCCCAAGCTGACCCCAAGTGTGGGGTTGGGGCTATTTTCAGCCAATTAGCTACTCGTCTCAGCATCTAACGATTAAGCGTAAAAGATTAAGCGAGATTATCCATTTTGGTGGCCGATTGTTGATGAATCGCCTCTTAATAGTTCCTAGGCCTACCCTATACCTTACTTACTATTTTCTTTACACTTTCGTTTTATTCCTCCTAACCTTTTAGTTTTTAACCCTATATACCTATATTAAAATATCCAGTTAATTAATCTACTTATACTCCCTCCCCCTCTTCTACTTCTGCCATATATGAGAAAACTCTCCACATGTTAAATGCCTGTAACCCTCCCCAATCAATACGTCTACCCATCCATTTCCATAAATCCTTTTCCTTAAACCCCTGATCCGCTGAATTACCTTTCCCACCCGTAAACCCGACTCTGAAAAATAACTCCCGCGCCTCGTCTGGCGACAATGTGTAAACATATGAGATCGTCGATACCATAACACCCTGGTATCGACACTCAACGTCCTCAATCTTTCGCCATCCGCCCTCCACCGCATTCTCCTCCCATCCGTTGCATAATTCTTGCGGAAGAAAGCAGCCAAAGCAGCCACCGAACTTTTCCAATCCCCCCTCCCTCAAGCACGCCTGCATCCGGAGTCCCATGTCAAAAATCTTCCTCGGCAAATCACCACCTGTCCGCGCCATGCTGCAGTCTATCCCCGTGTGATCTGGATTGGAATCGGCCATGCCAAGTGGATAACAGAACATACACCCTCCGAGCAGACGTTCCTGTAACCTTTCCCGGAATAGCTCGACCTCTCTAGCCTCACTAATAGCTCTGCTTGCGACCCGGCTTCGAATCTGCTGCACACCAATCTCTTGCGCCCTCAACCCTATTTCTTCATCTTCCTCGCTCATCTCCAAATCGTCCGGTTCCACCATCGCGTGAGCAGCTTGACATACGTCGCACTGCTCCTCGCCTTCCTCGCACCTGTCCCGATCGCCACGGCCGTCCATCTCTGAATCCAGAATAACCCGTCTGCACACCTCCCCATTTACAAAATCATCTACCGCCCCACGACCCCCAAGACCCATTAATATCCTTCTTTGCCCTTCGGCAGCAACTCGGACTACAATTGCCTCGCTTCGCTTGCCGTCCCTTCCTGCTCGTCCACTTTGCTGCGCGTAATCTGCCATCTCAAATGGCATCTCCACATGCATTACCACCCGGATATCTGGAACGTCGATGCCCAGCCCGAGTGCATTAGTGGCCACAATCACCCGTCCTCCGCCATATCGCTCTCGCTCCAGTCCACTGATCCAAGCTCGCAGTCTCTCTGCTTTTCCGTCTCGCGTATCGACATCTCGGTGATAAGCATCGCAGTTCAGTTCAGTGGCAAGAGCATCGGTTGCCACCACAGTATTGCAGTATACAATTATTTTTGCCGGCCATGGATACTCCTCGAGTTTCCGGTCCAGTACCTCCCGAACCTTTGTTGTCACCGCTTCTGTCGCTTGCTCTGGGGTCGTTGCTGTCAGCGTTTGCACACTATACACGACATTGGCGCGAGTTGTACTGGTTCTGGTCATGGTCACATCCTCTGATCGAGCGTTGATAAGCTCAAAGAACTCTGCCTCCTTACTTGGTGGCAATGTTGCCGTTAGATATACCATCTGTACCCCAACCAGTGCTAGACGACCCAACTCTCTTAGCTTCGGTCGAAAGTCCCGCGTGCCCTCTAGTATCGTATGTGCTTCGTCAAATACAAAGCCGTCAAGCTGCGCCATCACCCGAAGTCCTTCCACGTAATCATGGAACCGCTTGGTCATTGCGGACTCGGGCGTGACAAAAACAAGTGATGCCGGCCCTGGGGACTGGTCACTACGCCACTCGGTACATGGTATCTTCATCTTCCGACACCGTTCTATCAAGTCACCCTGTAGCGATACCAGTGGAACTACCACGACAGTCACGCCACCTGGACAGCTTGCTGCCGGCAACATAAAGCTCAAGCTCTTTCCACCTCCTGTCCCCATTACGACGACGATGGGGCTCTTGTTCATCATGATTGCCTGGATCGCCTCCCGTTGAACACCCCGGAATGCAGCTTGATCTCCATACAAGTAGACGAGTTCACGGTCGATGTTGATCCGGCGACGCGACTTCCATCTCTCCAACTGCAGTTTCCGAAGCGCTTCGTCGCAGACGGATGCCTTCTTTCGCTTGCGGCCTGGCGTGAGAACCTCACCAAAGCCTCCCATTGCAGACGGAAAGCCTAGTAATCGGTGCCATTCCTCACTAATGTACCGGAAGTTGACGCGGCGTTCATTCGTTTCAAATGCTCCTTCTGTAATCAACCGTCCGTATATCAAGCCTGCGGTCTTGGACCCGTGACCCGCCTGCAAGTCGTATGGGCTATCCTCATCGTCATCACTTTCGCTGCCGCTGTCATCCGAGTCTACCTCGTGCAGTAGCCTCGTGTGTGCTGTAGATGCGTTTCGAAAGTACCGTCGACCGATTGCCGTAGAGATATGTCTCCAGCTGCTGATGTTTAACTTTTGCCCACAAGCCAGAGCACTGAGCCTTCTGATGTTGCGTGACAAGCGCGGAGATGTCCAATGTTCCCCGGGGCCTAGTGACCAACCATTCTCTTGCGCACCCTCCCCGACCTGGCTTGTCTGATTTTGGCTGGGGTCTATTGCCCCGTCTGCCTGTTCACTGTCCTGACTCCTCTCGCTCTCCTGAGTGCCTTCTGTCGCCCACAACCCAGCATCAAAGCTAGATTTGTTCCATATATTGGCCTGAATATCTTCCCAGAATGGCAGAACGAGCCACAAGTAGTATGTCAGTAGAGTGCCAACCTCCCGCGGCAAGAAGCGATGGATGATCTTGAGCCTCCCAGTCGTCGTGAAGCCTTTGTGCGCCCCTGTGACAATCATGATGAGTCCACGATCACACAGAATATTACGTATGCCTCCGTTACTTGTGTTGCAATGCCTGACGACAAGAAGTTCCCATGCTCGCAGTGGAAATCCGCTACTCATATGCGCGAGAACCGCTAGCAGCTCCAATGCTTTCTCCACCTTGAGACCATATCGATATGCTAGCCTGGAGTTCAACTCCATACTGCCATCATTCATCGACTTAACCCACTTGGCTCTTAAGCCATTGTTTTGTAAGATCTTCTTGATGACCCAACCTCTGCTAGCACCTCCATCGTGCTGGAATAATTTATCGATGAACGAATGCCCGACTGTTTCGTCAGCCGCATTGTCCAATAGCTCATCCCACGGGATCTCGGGCAATCCAAGTTCGGCGGGAGACTGCTCAGAGAACTCCGTGAAGAATAACAAGTCCTTGTAGAGTACAGTCTCCAACTGTTGGACCGCCAATCTCATCATGGCCTGCACGTCAAGAACGCTGAGACGAGTACCCTTATAGATAAGCTCCTCTCTGCTGTTATCCCAGCTCACTGAGCCATGTGCTGCTGTGTTGTTTTGTGCAGCCATGCCGAAATTTCGGAGCCGGATGATAAATTGCGTCGGCGTCGTTTCCCAGCCCTCCCCTCCGCCTACCATAAACCGTCGAGTCATCTCGGATATCAGTGAGAAATGGCTTGGGCTATTCTCTTCGGCTTCTTCTTGACTCTGGCCTTGTTGTGTCTTTTGCTTGATAGCTTTGGTTCGTTGGTCCACGGTGTATTTGATAATGCAGAGACGAGAAATGGCCATGATGGCAGAAAGCTTTGGCGTGAAACTTCCATACCCCTCCCAAGTACCATCTGCTCGCACGCTAAGAACAGTTAAGAAGCTGACAAGAACGCTGTCATACTCCGTGTCCTTCGTGAAATGGTCAAGAACAGAGATGTATAACTCGAGAACGGTAGTCTCCAACAAGTCAAGAAGTCTGGCGACCTCGGGTGCTTCTGGGTCACCACTGTGCTCTTTCCAAGCCTCGGTCAAGTCATCTGCGTGTTCCATCATAACATCGTAAGCACTCTGTTGCCGTATACTGAGTTTGAACGGTGGCCGATCTGCCTTATCCTTGAAAGACATGCATCGAACGATGTAAGCGAGTAACTGCTTGATAACAAGTGCATACCTCCTCTGTGTCTCGGGCTTAAACCGGAAATGGAATGGCTTCGTCCTCTCTTTCGCCAGTTCCTTGCGATTTACCTCAAATAGAGCATTCCAAGATATAACATTCGGAGTAATAACAGCCCTGGCATGGTTAATCAGCCGATCAAATGCGATATGCACAAAGCGCAGTTGAGCGTCGTCTGACCTGACCGGATCGTCCGGATCTGTTTCGTATTCCATGGCGATTAAGTCTCTTAAGAAGTCCTTTTTCCCACTAAAGTCCTTTAGATGGAGAGCAGAACCCAGCCGACGAAGCCACGGGTTCGGTGCAGTGACATCATTCTCCGCATCAATACGCTCCGCCTCTCGGCTTCGAATATCTTTGCCCTTGCTTTGGAATGCGTCGATGGCTTGCTGAAGTCTGACTTGTGACTCACGGTCTTGAACCCTTGATTGTTCGAGATTCAGTCCCCTTGCCACTTCGAATAGCTCACTTCCCAGCCCCCTAAGGAACAGCCGCTGATAGTAGACCCCCGTCCTCCATGGACTATTGCTCCTCTCCTCCTCTGCCACAGCAGCTGAGCGACGCCCGCCTTTGAGGTCTAAGCTCCAATGATGCTTGACCCCGAGATGTTCTCGAATTCGCCTCAGATCTTTGCCCACGTATAGGCAATCGGGCTGGCAAGTACTATGCTCCGGGACAAACTCGCACCGAATACCTCCTGTACCTGGCGGCCCTAAAGCTGTAATTGGCGGTGCATTGTCGGGCCTGGGTGGTAGATTATTGTGAACCTCTTGCTGACTCTCAAAGATTTTGTGCTTAGATGCCCATTCTTGTGCATCCTTGATCACATCGATAGTAAGATGATGTGGTTCATTACGAAGATGTACCCTGATTTGTCTTCGTGTAACCATAGTCCGGCATGAGCGGCAGCAGAGAAGCTGTAGTTCTGGATTATATATAAAGTACTCCATTGTAAAAAAACTTGAAAAGATTAAAGTCTTACTTTACACTCTAAGTTCTATTGTCTATAGCGCAGAATTAAATACTTTCCTTAAACCCCTTTATTTGATATCGGCAGTTCCAGCTGAATGTGACCTGAATGTGATAAGACGCTGCTGAACTCTATAAGTGAAGAACACACTCTGATTCGTCGTGGCGGTCTCATCCATGTTCACAAACCCTGTCGCCCAACAACCATCAAAGAAAATAATCTGAAAGTGAATACGCAGTGCAATGATAGAAATTATATATTCATATATTAATATTGGTATGAATCAACTCGCAATTATTTACTTCATATTCTTACTTACTTTTAACTTACCCTGATGACTATAGCGCCAAGAAGACTAATCGTCGGTAGACGTTCATTTTAATCGTCGCGCGGCCCATGTCCTGCTAGCGCCACGAAATTTCCCATACAAACTTAATCGTCGGTTGCCAGCCGACGCAAACAATAATTGTCAGGACCCCTCCTGTTTTCCCTAGCTTTTCGACCTACCCTGGAGGCCCTGGCTAAGAAGCTCCCCACAGCTACCTTAGTCGCCTACCTCGATGACCTTTATATCCTAAACAAGGCACCTACAGGAGCCTTACAGGCAGCCAAGGAAGTTCTGCAGGGCTCTCCAGTGAAATTAAACCCTACCAAGAGCAAGGAGTGGCCTATAAGGGTTATACAGCAACAAGGCCTACCAGTCCTAGGGACCTATATAGGCTATATAGCAGGCAGAAGGGCCTTCTTGGCGGAGAAGCTAGCTACCCTGGAGAGAGCCCTAGTAGCCCTACGGGACCTCCCTAAACAACATAGCCTCCTTCTTCTTAGGGGAAGTATACAGCTCCTCCTGAGACACCTACAGCGGCAGCTATGCCCTATAGGCCTCGATGACCTGTGGGAAGAAGCTGATACCCTGATAAGGGAAGCTATCCTAGCTATTGCGGCTAGATCCCCCAGCGAAATCCCTAAAGAGCCTAATCTAGCTCTTATAGCCCTACCTACCCGAGAGGGAGGCCTAGGAATTCCTTTACACAAGGAACTAGCCTCACAGCTATACCAGGCAGCTATGGAGGCCTCTCAACCCACCCTGGAAAGGATCAGGGCTAGAGCCACAGGGGATCCTCCCCCTAGAGCCCCTATAGCCCCTAGGGGACCTACTGCTAAAGAGGTCCTTATGGAGGCTAACAAGGTCAGGCTCGAGGCCTTTTTGGAGGACCTTCCTACCTTGTATCAGCAGGCTAGGCTGGAAAATGCTAGCTATCTAGGCCGTAAGTGGCTTGGAGTCTTGCCTACGAAGAAAAACCTATCCTTTGCAGACTCCGAGATCACTGAAGCCCTCAGAAGCCGGCTCTTTTACCCTGTTAAGCCCCCCAGCCTACCCTGTAGCTCCTGTGGAGCTATAGCGGCCTTCCAGCATGAAGACACCTGTAGAGGCGCTACGAGAAGGTGGATCGCAAGGCATGATACCGCCGTAAGAGCCTTCTATAGAGCCTTGGCCAGCGAGCCCTCCCTGGAGGTCCAGAAGGAACCCTTAGTGGATAAGGCAACCAGTCTGCGGGCTGATATAGCGGTCACTGTAGGAAATAGCCGCTATTACTACGATATTCAGATCGTGGCTATTGCCAAGGATTCAGCTAGATCTGACCCCTACGAGACCCTTCGGGAGGCTGCAGAGGAGAAACGACGAAAATACAGGACCCTAGGGGCCTTCTTTCAGCCTATTATTATCTCCGCAGGGGGCCTTATGGAGCTGGAGACCGCCAAGACCTACCGAAAGTTACAGGACCTTATCGGCCCTATAGCAGCAGCACAGCTCGATTCCTCTATCGGTCTCGCTCTTACAAGGACCCGGGCTATCTCAGCAGCCTCTATCAGCAGGGAAGCCCCTAGAGGGATAGCTAGTTCCCTCTGGAATCCCTCTAGAAGGGACCCTCAAGGCCTATCTTAGCCTTATTCTTTCCTCTAAGCTATTACCTATAATAGCTATTTATCCCCTATAACCTTCCTTATCTTCTTATTTTCTTATTTTTCCTCTCTCTCTTTTCTTTATTTTATTTCTAGACCTTATTACTTTACTTTCTTTATTTATAGCTAGCTTTATTTTCTTCCTTTTTTATACCTTATACCAGTTATAGCCTTATTTTCTTTTCCTCTCCTTATATTTCCTTATAGCTATAGTTATTTCCTTTCCTTATACTGTATATAGTCCCTAGAAAAGCAACTAGGCAGATAGCTTAGATAGTTAATACCACCCTAATCTAACCCTAACCCTTCACTTAGGTACTAGCTACCCTAAACCTGAATGACGTTAAGGGCGTCGGAATAGGCTTAGCTTAGCTAAAAAGCGAGCATGTGTCCATGGTTGGTCTCAGCGACAGTTAAATATTTTGGGCAGCCTTCAGCTGCCTTCAGGGCTGTCCGGTTCGGGGCGTGGAATCCCACTTTGCCACACCATCGGACCTGCAGCTTAAGTGCACGCCGCTGTGCGAGGACGGAAGTGGTCGAGAAAGCGGGATGGGAGATGACGCTCTGCAGGCCGTGACAAGTACGACCCCCAACACCTCTGGTATGGAAGCTGGCTCTTCGCTTCCCAAGTTCAGGGGTTTGCTGCAAGTCACTCACTGCCATCACAAGCGCCAATGGCTTGCGGGGTCAAGTCAGACACGGCATCTTTCTAGTGCTGTCCCACCGAGCATCCAGCCGATACGATGCGGGAAAGCTTGCGCGAATTGCGAGAATGAAATGAGTTTCCGAAAGAGAAGATGGATGGCGGATGCAGAGTCAACGCACCAACGTCTCTGCGGAACTCATAGATTCGGGAAGCGCGACGGCGGGGCCCCATCTGCGGTAGACAATCGAATGCAAACAGAGGTTGTGGCGTGGCCATGCTTGAGCAGCTGAGGGTACGTACGAGTACTTCGGTCCTTCAGAACTGGATGTGGGCGCGATGGGGGCCGGGCCGCTGCGTGCCGAATTTAGGCCATTTTCACAACGCTCCAACGAATGCGCTTAAAACCCACCGACGCGGTCTAGCTTCTTTCGTACGCGACATTCAAATCTGGGGCAGAGCTGATGCGTGGCCCCGGAGTCCCCGTGAGTCTCTATTCCCGGCAAGTCGGATCGCTCAGAAGCATCTCAACTTGGCAAAACCTGATTGGTAAGTCGCTGAGGCGAGTTATCGTGGCTGCCGCACTGTAAACAGCTTGCATTTCGACGCTCACAAATTGCATCCATTGTACACAAGTAATGCAGTGCTGCTCTTGAACTGGCTGGCTTGATATTAATGGGAAACAGGTGGCACGTCCTTACGGCTATTGGTGGCTACATTGCCGTCGCAGTCATTGACCTACTAACTTCAGAAGAGGCATCTTCGGAGCTAATTGATTACTGTCGTGCAGTTGAAGGGCCAAAGTGTTGGAACAGGGAATGGACACAACAGTCTACTTTTACTTTAGTGGAGCTACCCAACGCATCTGCGACGCGCCGTGCCTCATTTCAATGGTACGGGGGGGCCTTGATGATGGAGGAAAGGTCTCCACATGGCAGGATCCAACAAATAGCTGTGCACAGATAAAGTCACGTGCTTGCTTGTTGTTCCCTCTTCGCTCGCTCGCTTGCTTCGCCTTGCACTTTCCACTTCTGACACGGCAGAGCCCTGCGATGAACCTCGCGCAGCTATCCCTTTATTCAGCAATCCTATTGGACTTACAAGCTGCACCTGGCTACAGGGGTCCTTTTCAGCTACTGACGCCTCCCCGCACGAGAAATCCCGCAAAGATGTTGCTGCTCAAGTTGTCAATGATGACAATCGATCGTCGTCCCGACTCATGGATCAGAGGAGAAACCGCCTCGCTGATACCGTCACAACGCACAACAAGGCCAAGGTGTTCCCTTCATAGTCAAGATGGCGCCTCGCTGGTTTGAGAAAGTCGAATCCAAGGCCAAAAGGCTGTTGCAGGTCGCTCCCCAAGAATCCGTCTCGGCTCCTTCACCAACATCTTCGCCGACAGCGTCTCAGCCTGCATCTGAACCAACAACTCAACCAACATTTCAGCCAACGCCTTCTCCACCCACCTCGACCGATTCCGAAACCTCGCCGCTGCCGAGTCTACAAGAGCAACTTTGGAATCAGGCCTACGACGAGCTCAAAGCGAGCGAGCCCAAATTAGTCGAAGCGTACGAGAAGATCCTATCAGTTGGACTTCACCGAAACGACCCGAGCTCTGTTACTTGCGAATCAACGGAAAACGAGATAGAGGGGGCTCGTGAGACAAGATGCCGCCAAATGCAGCAGCTGGTCAAGGCTGGACTGGACCGGACGCAGAAGCAAGCGTCCATCAAACAAGGAATCAATGAAGGCTTGCAAGCAGTGCAAGTCGTAAGGGGGATAGTAGATAAGGCGGTACAGGCCGCACCGGAAGCCGCTATCGCCTGGGTCGGCGTCTGCCTTGGACTAGAGGTATGTGTGATCGGCTTTCTCAACCGAAGAGAGAACGGTGGATGATCCCCCACTGACTGTTGACAGGTCTTTTCGAACCCCGTCACCGAGGCACGCGACAACCGCGAAGGTATCGCCTACGTCCTGTCGAGAATGGAGTGGTACTGGAACCTGGTGTCCCTGCTTCTCGACGAGAACAAGGCCGAACAATCATCCGCAGGACTACGAGTCCAACTAGAGAAGCACATCGTGCAGCTCTACGAGAAGCTCCTCGCGTATCAGATCAAGAGTGTCTGTCTTTACCACCGGAACTGGGCTGCCGTCATCGGAAGGGATCTGCTCAAAATCGACGACTGGGCTGGCCAGCTCAGCGGGATCAAGGAAGCCGAGGCTGCCGTGCAAAGAGACATGGAACAATACAATACCGAAGAGAGCAAGACACAATTTCGGAAACTCACCGACACCGCAACTGCTCTAGAGGAGAATCTCCAAGACATCCATTCAGCCATCCAGGACCAGACACGGCAGCAGGAGAAGAGACACCAGGACGACAGGGACAAGCAATGCCTGAAAGACCTGCGCGAGACTGACCCCCGCGACGACAAGACGCGCATCCAAGAGACGAAGGGCGGCCTGCTCAGGGACTCTTACCGCTGGATCCTCGACAATGACGACTTCCGGCGGTGGCGTGATGATCCGCAAAGCCAGCTACTCTGGATCAAAGGCGATCCTGGCAAGGGCAAGACAATGCTGCTGTGCGGCATCATCGATGAGCTAGGGAAGGAACCCGACAAACACCTGTCCTACTTCTTCTGCCAGGCCACCGAGACACGACTGAGCAATGCGACGGCCGTGCTGCGCGGTCTGATCTACCTTCTCGTCGACCAACAGCCGTCGCTCATCTCGCATGTTCGGGAGAAGCACGATCATGCGGGTAAGCAGCTTTTTGAGGATGGGAATGCCTGGGAAGCCTTATCTAAGATCCTCACGGCCATGTTTAATGACCCGAGCGTGGATGGTGCGATCCTGATTGTTGATGCCCTCGACGAATGCAAGACAAATCGCCATCAGCTTCTCGACTTCATCACTAAACCTTCCCGCGTCAAGTGGATCGTCTCTAGCCGTAACTGGCCAGACATTGAGGAGAAACTGGACAATGCAAAGCAGAAAGTCAGGCTGCGCCTTGAGTTGAACAAGGACTCAATCTCCAAGGCTGTCAATACCTACATCGGACACAAGGTGAATCGACTGGCAGGTCTTAAGAAATACGACAAGGAAACAAGGGACGCTGTTCAACGTCACTTGGTTGGCAATGCCGATGGCACCTTTCTCTGGGTGGCCTTGGTCTGTCAAGAGCTAGCAGATCCCAAGGTCCGAAAACGACATACGCTCGACACATTGAAGTCATTCCCCCCAGGTCTTGATCCTCTCTATAAGCGAATGGTGGAACATATCAGCGATTCGAAAGATGCAGATCGTTGCAAAGAGATCCTCGCTCTTGCTTCGGTCGTATACCGACCCATCACCCTAGACGAGTTAAAGGCTCTTGCCAAGTCGCTCGAAGATCTCGACCAGGATGAGTTGGAAGAAATCATCGGTTCCTGTGGTTCTTTTCTGACTCTTCGAAACGGCATCATCTACTTTGTGCATCAATCAGCCAAGGATTTCCTACTCAGCAAGGCATCTGACCAAATTCTTCCTTCAGGCGCCGCGCACCAGCACCATGCCATCTTCTCGAGGTCGCTGGCGGCTTTCTCGCAGACTCTCGAACGTGACGTTTACGAACTGGGTTTCCCAGGATTTCCCATCGATCAGGTCTCGCCGCCCGACCCTGACCCATTGGCTTCGATACGATATTCCTGTGTCTTCTGGGTTGACCATCTCCACGACTCGGATTCTACAGAGATCAACAGTATCCTACGGGATAACGGCGATGTCGATGGATTCATCCGAGAAAAGTACCTTTATTGGCTAGAATCTCTTAGCCTCTTGCGCAGCATGTCAGAGGGAGTAAAGGCGGTACACAAGCTCGAGGGTTTAGTGGTGAGTTGCTCTAGGCATATACTAGAAGTGGTCTGACAATGATATAGAGAAACGTGGGAGCGCAGCAACTAACAAAACTACTTCAAGACGCGCGCCGTTTCATCCTTTCCAATAGGCGGCCAATCGAGATTGCTCCATTGCAGGCCTATGCGTCCGCACTCGTATTCAGTCCCAAACATAGTCTTATTAGAGAGCTCTATAAGATAGAAGAGCCGGATTGGATGGCATTGAAGCCAAGAATCGAAGCGGATTGGAGCGCGTGCGTGCAGACGCTCGAGGGCCATGGCGATCGGGTGAACTCGGTGGTGTTCACGGCGGACGGCCAGTGTCTCGTGTCGGGCTCGGCCGATAGGACAGTTAAGATCTGGGACGCCGCGACGGGCGCGTGCATACAGACGCTCGAGGGCTATGGCGATCTTGTGTTCTCGGCGGACGGCCAGTATTTCGCGTCGGGCTCAGGGGATGGGACGGTTAAGATCTGGGACGCGGCGACGGGCGCGTGTGTGCAGACGCTTAAGGGCCATGGCGATCTAGTGACGTCAGTGGTATTCTCAGCGGACGGCCAGCGTCTCGCGTCGGGCTCAGAAGACGAGACAGTCAAGATCTGGGACGCCGCGACGGGCGCATGCATGCAGACACTCGAGGGCTATGGCGATCTTGTATTCTCGGCGGACGGCCAGTATTTCGCGTCGGGCTCGGGGGATGGGACGGTTAAGATCTGGGATACGGCGACGGGCGCGTATGTGCAGACGCTCAAGGGCCATGGCGATCTAGTGACGTCAGTGGTATTCTCAGCGGACGGCCAGCGTCTCGCGTCGGGCTCATACGACGACACGGTTAAGATCTGGGACGCGGCGACGGGCGCGTGCTTACAGACGCTCGAGGGCCATGGCGATTACGTGGAGCCGGTGGTATTCTCAGCGGACGTCCAGTATCTCGCGTTAGGCTCATACGACAACACAATCAAGATCTGCGACGCAACGACGGGTGCATACATACAGACGCTCGAGGGCCATGGCGGTCAAGTGAGGTCGGTGGTATTCTCGGCAGACGGCCAGCGTCTCGCGTCGGGCTCGGCCGATAGGACAGTTAAGATCTGGGACGTGGCGACGGGTGCGTGCATGCAGACGCTCAAGGGCCATGGCAATGAGGTGAGGTCGGTGGTGTTCTCGGCAGACGGCCAGTATCTCGCGTCGGGCTCGGAGGATAGGACAGTTAAGATCTGGGACGCGGCTACGGGTGCATACATACAGACGCTCGAGGGCCATGGTGATCAGGTGGAGTCAGTGGTATTCTCGGCGGACGGCCAGCGTCTCACGTCAGGCTCGGGGGATAGGACTGTCAAGATCTGGGATGCGGCGACGGGCGCGTGCATACAGACGCTCGAGGATTATAGCGATCCTATGTTCTCGGCGGACGGCCAGTATTTCGCGTCAGGCTCATACGACAACACAATCAAGATCTGGGACGCAACGACGGGTGCATATATACAGACGCTCGAGGGCCATGGCGGTCAAGTGAGGTCAGTGGTATTCTCGGCAGACGGCCAGCGTCTCGCGTCGGGCTCGGCCGATAGGACAGTTAAGATCTGGGACGTGGCGACGGGTGCGTACGTACAGACGCTCAAGGGCCATGGTGGTCGGGTGAACTCGGTGGTGTTCTCGGCAGATGGCCAGTATCTCGCGTCAGGCTCGGAGGATGGGACTGTTAAGATCTGGGACGCGGCGACGGGCACGTGCATACAGACGCTCAAGGGCCATGGCGATCAGGTGAACTCGGTGGTATTCTCGGCAGACGGCCAGCGTCTCGCGTCAGGCTCATGGGATGGGACTGTCAAGACCTGGGACGCGGCGACAGGCGCGTGCGAGCAGACGCTCGAGGGCTATGGCTATAGCTATGGCTATGGCTCTGGCTATCAGGCGAACTCGATGGTGTTCTCGGCAGACGGCCAGTATCTCGCGTCGGCGTCGGACTCCTGGTATGGGACTGTTGAGATCTGCGACGCGGTGACGGGTGCGTGCGTACAGACGCTCGAGGGCCATGGCGGTCGAGTGAACTCGGTGGTATTCTCGGCAGACGGCCAGTATCTCGCGTCGGGCTCGGCCGATAGGACAGTTAAGATCTGGGACGTGGCGACGGGTGCGTGCATACAGACGCTCAAGGGCCATCGCGATCAAGTGAACTCGATGATATTCTCGGCAGACGGCCTGTATCTCGCGTCAGGCTCATACGACAAGACAATCAAGATCTGGGACGCGGCGACGGGCGCGTGCGTGCAGATACTCGAGGGCTGTGGTGATTGGGTGGAGACAGTGGTGTTCTCAGTAGACGGCCAGTATCTCGCGTCAGGCTCGGATTATGGGACGGTTAAGATCTGGGACACGGCGACGGGCGCGTGCATGCAGACACTCGAGGGCTATGGCAATCTTGTGTTCTCGGCGGACGGCCAGTATTTTGCGTCGGGCTCGGGGAATGGGACGGTTAAGATCTGGGACACGGCGACGGGCGCGTATATACAGACGCTCGGGGGCCATGGCGATCAGGTGAGGTCAGTGGTGTTCTCGGCGGACGGCCAGTGTCTCGCGTCGGGCTCGGAGGATGGGACTGTTAAGATCTGGGACGCGGCAACGGGCACATGCATACAGACGCTCGAGGGCCATGGCGGTCAAGTGAGGTCGGTGGTATTCTCGGCAGACGGCCAGTATCTCGCGTCGGGCTCAAAAGACGAGACAATCAAGATCTGGGATGCGGCGACAGGCGCGTGCTTACAGACGCTCGAGGGCCATGGCGGTCAGGTGAACTCGGTGGTATTCTCGGCAGACGGCCAGTGTCTCGCGTCGGGCTCAAAAGACGAGACAATTAAGATCTGGGACGCGGCGACGGGCGCATGCGAGCAGACGCTCGAGGGCCATGGCGGTCAGGTGAACTCGGTGGTATTCTCGGCAGACGGCCAGTGTCTCGCGTCGGGCTCAGAAGACGAGACAATTAAGATCTGGGACGCGGCGACGGGCACGTGCGTGCAGACGCTCGAGGGCTATGGCGGTCTAGGGGAAAGGGTGGCGTTCTCAGCGGACGGCCAATATTTCGCGTCGGGCTCAAAAGACGATACAGTCAAGATCTGGGACGCGGCGACGGGCGCATGCGTGCAGACACTCGAGGGCTATGGTAGTTGGGTAAAGTCGGTGGTATTCTCGGCGGATAGCCAGCGTCTCACGTTAGGCTCAGTCGATGGGATAATTAAGATCTGGGACGCGGTGACGGGCGCGTGCGAGCAGACGCTCGAGGGCCATGGCGGTCGGGTGAGCTCGGTGGTGTTCTCAGCGGATGGCCAGCGTCTCGCGTCAGGCTCGTGGGATGGGACGGTCAAGATCTGGGACGCGGCGACGGGCGCCTGCTTACAGACACTCGACGTTGGGAGCGTACATCAAATTGCATTTGATCCAACGACAAACACTCTCCTCTCTACCGATATTGGACTTCTCAACTTAGATCACCTGGCGCCTGCCATCGATGCTCAGTCGACTGAACTAACCTTACGGGGTGTTCGCCATTCTGGTTGGGGTATAAGCACCGACGGTGTATGGATTGTTAAAGATGGAAAGGAGATGCTTTGGCTACCTCCGGACTATCGAGGGGCTAAGGCCGCTATTGTTAGATCAACGGTCGCTATCGGTTGTCGTTCAGGTCGTGTGTCGGTGATGAAATTCTCTTAGACCGGAGGCAAGCAGCGACCTATGAAATTGATTCTGTTTGATTTGGAAGCAGGAGGCCATTTGGTATAGGAAAAAGCTAGCGTCATTTCTTTCTCTTTAATTTTCTTTTCACTTTGATCTCGGAGGGTAATAGGGGTCGAAATTTTTTTATTCAATGGGCTGTGGCGTTCGTTTGGCCAATGCTTTATTTTTATGATAGAGGCTCGTAGCTGCGGATAGATACATCTTGCTTGTTGGATGGCCCCTATTTTCTTGCTGTCCGGCGCGGAGGCCGGCTCGGTATTGGATGTACCCACAATTCCTTGCATGACATGCTCGAATTAACTTTTATCTACCTATAAAGACGCGGTTCTTCTCCATGTATCGACTGTGATGCTGTCTTATTGCTGAGGGTACCAATCAACCGTGCCCCTTCAACCTCGCCATTAAAAACTTCAGCAATGCCTAGGAGCCTCCGTTTTGAGAATTTTTTAGCATATGGGTACGTACCTGCACCAGACCTTCCTAACATAAACCCAGCACGACCGGTTTATCACTTGGGAACCTTATGATCGTCACAGGAGTAGTTTATCAGGGTGTTTATTACACCTATCGATATCCTATTCGGCTAAACGAAATAGCATCTACTATCTAGGTACGGACTGCGGTCTCATATATAGAACCGAGGCATACGCCCTCCAGATCACCCGACGAACAACTCCAAGCAATCGTGCACGCAGACGTCCTAGAATATCAAGGAACAATGTATTTTGTAGCGCTCCTTAGCTCGTTTAAGGTATTTCCCACCCATCTCAAAGTCCCCCGACCCTGAAGAGCATGATGATATCAAGTTCTCCTACGACACTTGAGTTTCGTACAGTAGTGCACTTGCAGACTCGAGCCACCTCATTCGGGGAAACGTCGAGCAAAACGCCGACGAATCTCCGCCCACCCAAGCTGCTCCTCTTCCTTCAGTTGTATAAGGAAGTTATCTTCATCGTCTGAATACTTTGCCCGTCTTGCTGGAGCTCGCTTGGTTGTTTTCTTCGTCGCGACCGAGCGGGTTGAATGGGGGCTTACACTGGTGGCATGCGGATGATTTGCGCAAAGGGGCCACTCAAATTGGAATTGAAACGTAGTCTTTCCATTTTCGGTAATGCGTTTCATTGAAACATTCTCGAGCGGCCATTCCTGAAACCGAGCAAGAAACGCACTGGCCTCAGGCGGAACAGATCTTGCTTGCGATGGTGTTGGGCTCAGCACGCCGAGTGCCGACGTGTCACGCTCCCTCAATGAGTGTGCGACAGCTCTCGTGGATCGCCTCCTTCGGCGAGAATCCCAGGCACTGATGGCCGCATTGCGGACCGAATAGGAAGGGGACTTGGAGACCTTGCGACACTTACGACCTTGGTGTACATCGTCGAAATCATCGTCCTCTGAGCCAGAATCCTCACTATCCGGAAGTGAAGGAGAGTTCTCTTCACGGAGTTGAGATTCTAGCCCGTTGAGGTCGTCCTCGCTCCCTGAACCCTCCTCACTGTCTGCATCACCGCCCTTTGACTACATCGTTTTATGCTTCTGTAAGGATTTGTGACGGAAACGACCAAGAGACGGCGACGGGGAAGTCACTTGGCTTTCAGATGGCGATCCGGATCCAGCCTCCGTGACTTCGGACTCGGCATCGCTGGGCGCGCAGCTTGCATCATCCAAGCCTTGTCCTTGATGCGGTTCGAGTGAGGGCCTTGCGGGAGATGGGGTGCGGATTTCAGGAATGGCGTCGTCCCACGAATTGCCGGCGCGTACTTCGCTTTCCTGAGGTGGCGCCTGGACCACTTCGACGAGGCTGGTAGTCCGCGGAGACTGTGTGCAAGTTGAGGGGGGATCCGGATGACCCTGGGTGTCATGACAATCGCCATGGTCCAAGACAGCATCGACCATCATATTGCCCTGTCCACTGACTGGTACGGGCCGAAGTTGTTGCCCGTCTGCCGCAACTGGGTATGGCTGGCTTTCAGGGCTAGTAGGAGGGGTTGTAAAATCGACCGCTTGACAAGCGAACGACATATCTCCAGTGAGTATGTGATCTATCTGACATGAAGATTGCTGGCTCGGTTCAGCATCAGCAAGCTGAGAGACTTGCGTCTCATTCGGCCAAGCTGGGGCAGCTTCCGCTTGAGCTGGGGATCCTGTTGACGCAGTGACCACGCCAATGGCAGCTTCTGATTCAGTTGCGCAAAATTTGGCGGTAGTGAGATCTATACGCCGGTTGTTAGAACCTTTCACCGAAGAGGAGCGCTACAGCGTCGAAGACTTACCCAAATAGTCCGGGAAGCTGGCACGAGTTGCATAAGATTGCGAACTGTCGAGTTCTTGGCTCTCATCATTTTCATCTTCGGTATCAGAATCGACATCAGAGGGAATACAAATCGCTGTGTCCCTAGATTTTCCTAGAGCCGAAAGCGCCTTCTTGTCATGCAGAGATGTCGTGTCTGGCTGAGAGGCAGGAGGAGTGAGGCTTTGGCACAGCTTCCGCTGCTCAGAGTCAAAATTTGTCGAGGCCATGCTTGTGTTGCAGTGTGCGGGGAGGAAAAGAGACAAGGGGTGGTATTCGCGGTATGGCCAAGGCGAAGCTGGGCGGGCAATGACCGACTTATATGCTCGCAGCTGAATCATGCGGCCACACAAGTTTCAACCGCTGGCAGGAGCCCAGCCCGGTGTCTTCCTTCTGTCTCCCCGAGTTCTCCAAGATAATGGCCGGGTCGGATGGTGGAGGTAGACACGTAACCGCTTCTCCTTCGTGCCAATCACTTCACTGCCGGGTCACACCGAGGCAGTAGTGCTGAACAGATGACCCCCCCTATTTCATCTTCTCAGATATCGTCAGGGATCCATGCCACTCGCTGGCAAGGCAGACTTCTCGGGAGATACCATATGAGGCAGGTCTTGATGGCTGTTGGGCTGTTCGCACACGACGCGTCATTTCCAGTTGGTCAGATAGCATCGAGTAGGAAGTTCCCGGCAGCACTAGCTCTTCCGTCTGACCATGATGGAGCTCAACGCCGCGCCTGCACATGTTGGTCATCCGCAGCCACGAAACTTGTTGAGCCATTCGGAGGACGCAAGAGCACCAGATGCTGTCATAAACGCCTCATGAACCACACAGCAGTGAGGCAACCGAGGTTGATATGCGTGCAACACCAACAACTCACCGGAGTAGGCCCGTCCCCGTCTCCTCCTCTTCGCCCAATCATCCCTCTCGAGATGGCACCATCCTCCATCATGCATTCAGGGGCGAAGAGGGGATCGATGAGCCACTGCGGCATTTCTGCCATTGGCTGGGCGTCTGTTGGAGGCCTCACGAAGACAAGCATCGCCGTGAGACGCGCTGCGCTGCTGTGAGGAAGTCCGGCGAGAGGAACGCCTCTAGGCTGTCAGGCGTTATTAGACTCCGTGAGAGAAAGACGGGAAGGAAACTCGTACGGAACGCAGAGCGAGAGCTAGAAATAGTATCAGGGAATAGGATAAGCATGGATCATAGAATTCTTCTCATGCTGTCCAAGATCTAACACTAAAGACGAGGGCAAATGTCACCGTGGTCGATCGATTCCCGCAGCAGGAGAGCTTCATCTCAATGCAGAACGATGACGCGGCAGGAGGGGGAAGGAGGGAGGGGACCGGGAACTGAAGGCAGCGATGGCCGCCAAAGAGGTGATACGGTGGATACGAACGGGCAGGGGATGGGAGGAAGCAGAGGTCAAAGATACATGTTCACGAGGCTCGAGGAGGTTGCTGTCTTATATACAGTGAGTCACGTGATATGCGGTCGGACTGGTGTGCGGCGGGCGCCTTGCCCGAATGGGCGGTGCCGCTAAACTGGAGGCAGCAGCAGCGCATCCGCGTTTACATAATAAATAAAATAATAATAACCTAAATATAAGCTACGTATTATAATTTCTTTTATAAAGTAAATATATTACTAGTTATAATATAACTATAAGATAAGACTTACTATAAAAACTAATAAATGACTTTGAAAAATACCTTTTCTTTTTTCTAATCTTTTACTTTAATAATTTGAAAAATAGCGAGTTATCTAGATCCTGAGATTTTATTTTCAACTACTTCTTAGACTAGATATAATACAGTAGTGCACTGTCTAACTAACCTGGCATACTACCCAACTGATCATAATTACTAAATTTCAAGGGCAAGTAACTAAGGAGTTGCGCTGCTTTTAAAGAGATTCTAGGCGGCTCGCGCTACCACTGCCTCGGTTGTATATAGAGGCTATTGTTATCGTATAGCCTTCACACTTCTTGGAGAGGCAGTCGACAACGATTAATAAAGACCGTTCTTAGCTGCTAGCTCTCCATCTACAACATATACCATCTTGCCCCTGATATCTTTACCAGATATGATAGCCTGGTGTGCCTCTACAGCTTGGTCCAATCGATGCAGCTTGACAATTTCAGGGCTCAATTTTCCCGCTTGGACCTTGTCCACAATTGCCCTAAAATCGTCAACAAAGAGATCTTTTAACTCGCTGTTGTCAGGTGGCACGACGCTGAAGAAGCTCGATCGGGGCGGCATCCGCGAAGAAAGAAGTTGAAATAGTTGTTGGGGCGTATGACGGAGGCCGTTGCCGCTTTCCTGAATTCCGTCCATGACTCCGACGGAGATCACTTGGCCAACATGTTTCTTGGTGGCATGATGGCTTCGCTGTAGGCTCTCCTCGCTACCGACAGCATCGTAAGCCACATCTACGCCCTCGCCATTGGTTAACGAGCGGACCTGATCCACGAGATCTGAGGCGTAGCGGTCAATGGGAATGACACCGAGAGACTTGACGTATTCGAACTTTGGCGGCGAGCATGTCCCAATCATCTTCAAGTCCATATCGAATGCACGGACCAGTTGTGCCACGGCTGTACCGACACCGCCGCTAACAGAGCCAATGAGGATAGCGTCACCGGGCTTAAGCTCGACGCCGCTGCGTCTTAGCATGCCCCAGGCCGTCATATAGTTGAGAGGTAAGGCGCATATCTTAACTGGGTCGTCCTGAGAGTCGATGCGTATGAGTTCGGTAGAAGAGATGATGATGTGGGTTGCATGGGCACCAAGTATACACATCGAGGCGACTCGGTCCCCAATGGCGAGGCTACCCAAGGAAATCGCTGAGGGACCCAGACGAACAACTTCGCCAACGAAGTCATAGCCTGGCGTAAACCCGGGTTTGGCACAACGAGGGTCAGGGTAGCCGCCCACGCGCTGTATGTTATCAACGCCAGCAATGCCGGCGGTGATAATTCGCACTAGGACCTCATCGGCCAAAAGCTCGCGATCGATATCCTGGGATTCCCACTTGAGGACCGATGGACCACCGAACTTGGTGACGACCCACCGTCCAGGTTGATCAGGAGTCAGGCTGGTATTGCGCGACATTTTGAAATAATTCCTGATCGGGACCGATAATAGTAGGCAGGCTGGATGATAGTTGAAGTCTTAAGAAATTATAATAAGGGAAGAAACCTTAGTTACATATCTTGACGTGGAGGCACTAATTTAAATTATCGGGCGTCGGAGTTAACGGATACAGCGATCGATGCAAGCTTAAAGGTTATAGAAGGGTTAGCGTAGTATACCAACCACAAAACTGTAGCTATTAGTCAATAGCCTCTGAGTTGTTTGTAAGCGTCTGCCCTGGGTATCGCGACGAAGAATCACCCTAGCCACAGCAGCTAACAATAATCGGTTGATGAAGGCAGGCTTTATGGGGCTCAGTGGGTGACCAGGTCGGAAAGCCTGCTAGACTACGGATACCTTAGTGATATTTGGGGTTAGACTACATCCGTGATCCCTTCAAAGTGAAGATGAGGTGTGAAAGCATTGGGAAAAAAGGAGTCGTGGTCAAGGGATGTAGGGCATGTAGGTACAAGAGGCTTCAAGGAATTGTGTAACGAGGCAGGGTTGCTGAGTTGCTCATGTAACCCCTGCCAGTCATGAGGAAATGTCCTCCTTTTCGGCGGCTGTGTGGCTCGACATAGCAGCCTCCAGCTAACAGCAACTACCTGTGAATGCTACAAATTAACGGGCTACACCGTCGGAGACGATCAATGCCAAAAGATACAGACACAACAAAAAACCATCGTGATTACAATGTGAAGGTCATCGGAAAATACTGATTACTAATCACCACAAAGCCCAACAAAGACGCCTCAGATATACTTGGTTTGGCTTCGCAATGACAGAAAAGGGAGATTAGCGTGTATAGACACAACCGTGACCCTCTGATAATATTATTTTCTCGCCTGTACAGTGACCAAATGTCAAGGCATGTCTCAGCTTTTCAGAGAGCCTACGTTGGGTTGTATTGGAAGAATATGACGGTCCAAGATGTACCGTGCATAGATAGTTTTGATTACTATTCTTTCCGACATTTGGAGGGTCCCCATTATTTTGCTTACATGAGCAACCCACTTTTATGGCTAGTACGTATACACAATCATGGCTTGATTATCATCGGTTTCACACAGAGACCTGCTCAAGACCAAGGACAGAGCGTCTGAGGTTGATGACCAGCAAATCCGAGACGGAGTATCCGTAAGTGCGGTCAAGTTTGGCACTTTCTACGCCTCAGCCCAGCAGTTGGTATTTTACAAGTGGTCGTAGAGTTGCGGAGTTGCTGAGTTGTCAAGATACTTACACCGAGTTTCCCAACGACTTCCGTGAATGATTCTTCATAAATTTCGTTACCAGCCTCGAGGAAGGTGACGCTACAAAACTTACTTGGATTCTCACACTATATTATATTCCTTCAGTTGGACAGTGCTTGGAGACATATTTCAGACCGCTCCTGTCGGCCTGTCGTGTCTGATGCGGTCTCACAAGACGGTTTGTGACCATTGGCCCGGGAAGGGTTTGGGGATTAGCCTAATGGGAATCTATTTCCACTAGTCCAGCCTTGTACACAGATCTCATCTCAAATTACCAGAAACAGATAGTAAAAAGCTCGCCTCAAATTTTCAAAAGCAGATAGTGAACAAGATTACTAAGCTGTCCACTTCTGACTTCCGCAGCGGCGCAGACCTCAATATCAGTAATCGCGCCGGTTTTAGCGTCCAGTTCTATTATATATGACGCCACAACAAGCGGGAAGATTACTAAAGGAAACAACAGCAAACGTCGGCTATCCCCGTGGCGGCTTCTACTCTTCTCCAATACCCTGACTTGCGTCCAACACCTATCCGCGCCCCTCTCCGCCTTGGAAGGCTCTTCCTGCATGCTATTACTGGCCACTGGTCTAGGTACTATTAAGAGACGATACAACAGTAATCGTCTAGTAAATCAAATAATTTTGCTAAATTTTAGACTTAAATCAGCTAGGCTTAGGCTAAGCTACAGATTAGCTAAAAATAACCCTAACTCTATACTTAGGGTTAGCTAGCGCTAACTTAGGGTTAGCACTACACAGAGGAAAGGGGACTTTAATTAATAGAGAAAAACATTAAAACTACTTCTCTCTTAACTTTCTATTACAAAGATTAAAGGGGCAATATTAAGCAGTAATAGAAAATACTATAACGTACACGATAAGCGTGCGGGACAGATAAGTGCGCGGGACAAAAATTTCAACCTTCCTAAGGCAAATTGTAATAAAAGCACAACACATTATCTGATCAATTAAAATCAATTACTATATTAATTCTCAGTGGTCTGAATACCCTCCTGACAGGTTCTTGCATTATGACCGGTCTTGCCGCATACACCACAACGCCGGCCACCTGGTCGCTCTGACCTTCCTCGACCACCACTTCTTGATGATTCGCCTATTATCTGCGTATCTACATCTGCCTGATTAATTATCTCTTGGGCTTCCCCTATAGTCATATTCCCTCTTCTCTGTAGGCGTGTTCTTTTTGCCCTACGCCGCCGGCTAAGCATCTCATTTGCCTGACGAAGTTGCCAGATCTCAGCCTCTTGTAAGGCTATCTTATGTAGAATAATGCTCTGCCCTTTCTCAAATACTTCACAGCTTCAATTATTGACTCAGGGGAGCTGCTCTTGTGGTTTCTGATCCTTCCTTGCAGATACTTAGAGTGAGACTGGGTCTCTAGTATTGTCTTTGGGGTCCTTGCAGCCCAAGGGGTCGATGGTATCGTGACCTCTACGGGAGGCGTCGGAGTCCGTAGCTGCACATCAAGCTTCGAGATGACATTTTCTGGGTCAAAGGGAGCAAGCCCAGCTCCTCTAAAACCTCCCTTGATATTTTTCTCGGTTATAGTAGCTTGGAAGGCAACATAAAACGCCAAGAAGAAGTCAGTCTTCTCGATGTGGGTTACATTCCTTTTAATCAGTTGCTCTATTTCTCGACCATATGCCTTTTTCAGCGGCCCAAAACACCCGACGTCAAGGGGCTGAAGTAGGTGTGATGAATGAGGCGGCATACAGAGTGTAATAATGTTGTTCTCCTCACAATATATCTGGAAATCGGCTGACCGATGACTTTCATGACCATCGAGGATCAAAAGACGATAGGCACCGACTGATCGGTCAGTTGTAGCCCGATTAAAGTGCTTTAGCCAGTCGAGGCCCGTCTCGTTATCTGTCCAGCCATTTTTGGTTGTGGCAATAACCCAGGTGGCCGGGATGTTGCTTTCTTCATACCAGTTTTGAAGGTGAAATTCGCCTGCAACCACAATGAATGGATCAATCGCCTGGCCTTCTGCATTAATCGCTTGGATCACCGTAGCCCATTCTCGATCTCCAGGCTGGACTGATTTTGGATTTCCACGCCTCTCTGAGCTGGTAATAACTATACCAGGCTCAATCTTACCCGTCGTAAAGCCAGTCTCGTCAAAGTTCCAGATATCATCTGATCGGATGCCGTACTTGGCGATTATGTTCTTTACAAGCCTGAACCAATTGCGAATAATAGTCGGATCTTCGCATTTAGCCCTCTTATAGTCATATCTTCGTCGAAAACGCGTCTTGAGCTCTGGTTGCCGCTTAGTAAAATTAATAGCCCAGCGCTTGCCAACTGGTGACGCGTCGCAGTCAGCAAGTAGTCGATTTGCCATTTCTTCAACATCACGATGCCGGGGAGAGAATCCTCGCGAATCTAGGTCAAGGATATACTGAACTATAACCTCTTCCTCTAGATTACTTAGTTTCCGAGAGCTCGGGATATAATCCTCACGAGCCTGCCTACCCTGAGATCGGTAGTGGAGGGTCTGGAAGTGGACGTTATAGAGCTTTGCAGCTCGTCGCAGACTTAATTCTAGGTCCGCCTGATAGGCCTGAAGTGCAAGATTAATATTAGCTTCATTAGAAGATTGCGCCATGTTATTTGGTTGAGAATTAATTGATCTGATAGTAATGATATAAGGTGAGGGATTTTTGTCCCGCGCACTTATCTGTCCCGCACGCTTATCGTGTACGTTATAATAAGGATTTTTCCTACTGATATGCCGTATGCTGCTTTCCAGACTACTTTTACCGAAAGCAATATCCGGGGAGGTTTTAGAGGAGCTGAGCTTGCTCCTTTTGACCCGGAAAATGTGATCTCAAAGCTTGATGTGCAGCTACAGACTCCAACGCCTCCCGAGGAGGGTACCAGCCAGTCTCAACCTTGGACTCCAAAGACACCAAAAACACTAATAGAGGCCCAGTCTCATTCTAAATACCTTAAAGGACGAATCAGAAGGCATCATAGCAGCTCTCCAGAGCCAATTATTGAAGCTATAAAGCATTTTGAGAAAGGAATAAGTATAGTTATGCATCGGCAAGCCTTACAAGAGGCGAGGTTAAAGGCCGTTGAGCAAGCAAATGAGATACTAAGCCGGTGCCGCAGACAAAAAAGGACTAGACTACAGAAAGGAAGGGTAATAACAGTACAGGATGCATCGCAAGCAATTGATCAGATGGATGTTGATACGCAGGTAGCGGCCGAATCGTCGAGAAGTGGTGGTCAAGGAAGGTCGGCGCGACCGGTTGTTCGGCGTTGTGGTGTATGCGGCAAGGCCGGGCAAAATGCGAGGACCTGTCAGGTGGTTATTGAGCCCTCTGGGGAAGAGTATGGTGAGTAGTTTTAATTGATTAGATGGTTTGTGGTGTTTTAATTATGATTCCTAGCTAAGAGGCTAAGAAAAGTGCGTCGCTCACTTATCTGCGTCGCTCACTTATCACGCACGTTAGGTATTTTCTGAGTTCTAGTGAATTAGAAGAGGTGCTGAGCCTTGCATTTAATTCAAGCTAGTCTCCTGTCCAGGTTCCGGTTCTAGATGGAAGATCAGGGGCGTTCCGCAATGCAAACCAGCTGCCACAGGTCTCACAAGGCAATTCTTAGGATACAGACGAGGTAGAGTTGACCTAATACAGTATCAAGCATGAATCCTGGTTACAGTAGCCTAGTGAGCCGTCGAGGCTATTAATTAACTGCAGATATCTATTCGAGGCCATGACGAGGAGTATATATTTTTTCGCTTATAACAGGATGAAGCACGAAGCCACAAGGCCACTCTTGCACTGATCCTCCCGAGCGTCGTTTCCCCAATACCCTAGTCCGTCCCCGCTCGATTGTCACCATGCCGTTTCTGACGGCAACTCTGTTTCACCCGCAAATGAGAATAACCATTCCGTAAACAGTCTGGCTTGCAGCACGTATTCTATTCTGTGGCGTTCAGCACTCCGTGATGACAGATTTGTCACGTAAGCAGCGACTTCTTAAGCATGCAGCAGTTATTTGGTCAAGGGCGACGATGGATGTAATGGAGTGAGCTCCAACTAATACAAGATTCATTTTTCCCCGCTGTACCTCCTGAACTCACAGAAAAGCATGGCAATGTTACTATTATCCGATCAACTCCTACCAAGCTGGCAGACACCCTTGCGAGCAGACCGCAAACCATTTAGCAAGGATCAACATGTACAACAGACACGCGGTTGGATTAACCTACCAATCGGGCATGGTTCACTCCCACTTGCAAGGTGCCAGATACCTGTAATACGTAATACATGCATGTAGGGCCCTATAAGAAACAATCGTTCAGTCTTACGCCACAACTGAACCTGAGGGAATTATGACTAAGAAATACTGCATTTTGATGTCCAAAACAGCATCAATTTTGCAGGGCGTCAAAGTGCAAGAATGGCTGCATGATGTGCCGTCGAATTACGGAGTTGCATAAATGAGACAACAACGCTAATATTTGTGAATCAAGGGAAATCAGCTTGAACGAACGTACGGCAGGGCTGATTAGACTGTGATATATTGCGTGGTTGAGAACTAATTGATTAGATAAAAAGTGAGGTGTATGAGGGATTTTGTCCTACATGCTCATCGTGGACGGTATAAAATCTAGAAAAAGCTCTTAATGCAAATTCATATATAATTGATGTTGTTTTGAGATTTTAGCTATTTTAGACTTAGTTTGGATTTTTAGGAATTCTTTAAAAATTCGGATTCAAGGTGGAAATTTGAGTGCGGCGTATACTTGGATGCGGCGCATACTTATCATGTACATTATATCAATACTGATCAATAAAAATATTTGTCCGCCTGGATTTCCATCTATTCCAACCTTGGGCCTTCGGCGACCCCTATCCTTGGCAAAGTAGATTCCTATCGCTCGACTCCGAGGAGAACAGATTCACCTAACCAAGTCGAACGCTTGGCCGGTTGGTGGATAAAACGAAAGCAGACGGAAGAAAACTAAATAATGCCTCAGACTTTCATTGTATCCAAGAAGTTGAGATTAGAAAGCCCAAAGATCAATCCCGCCATGCTGTGCCTCTTAGAGCTGATTCTAGGGCCTAAAGCAGCTGCAAATCTCCGGCACCCAGGGAAAAAAGATGACTATTAGTCACCTTGGCTCAGACGAGTGAGAACGTGGAAGTAGTCTTTCACTGACTCTATTAAAGCTGAATCAGCTTGAGGGAATCGGGCATTGACCGACGCGTGATGGGATATTCCTATTCGGCCTCTGAGCAGTTGGCTGAGTTGTCCCAAAATCGCAAGAGCGGAGGAGTCTACGAACCCTATCAGCAACATGAATCTCGAGTTACCCTGCGGGGTGTTTGGCTGGCGCAACCCACATGAGGGTTAGACTGGTCGTAGGGGCTTGGAGCGTTGAAGTCCATGGGCGGCATGTAGCCATAAGTCGCATAAGGGGTCAGCTCGTCGTCGCTGAGACATGATTCCCGCTTGGTGGTATCGCTAAAATGCGTCATTGGGGAAAGCATCATGGGCACGGCGGAAGTATTCAGGTAGCTGGGGTAGGCATCAGTAGTAGCCATGGCCAAGGATGTCTCAGGGGAATCGTAGGGAGCGACGAACATCTCATCAGGAGTCGGATAAGTCGAGTAGGTGAACTGGGAAAAGCTGTTGGAGCGAGCCCGGTCGTCGTGGGTGCCAGGGAACAAGAGATCATCAGTTGGCTCCCCGAGAGGAATAAACTGGCTCTGGGAGACGACTGACTTAGCGGAGGTAACGGGCTGCGACTTTTGGGACTTGAAGGATCGCTTCGACTTGGTGGTCTCCTGGGCCTGCTTATCGGACCCGGCAGGTTCAGAAGAGCTAGCACGGCGCTCGAGGTCCTCGAGGCGTTGCTTGAGCTTCTTGCCTATAAGCGGGCATTTATGTCAGCTATGGTTGGGAATCAGCTTTGGAATCCTCGGGAGCCCAGTCCGGTGGAAGTCAGCCTCTCCGAGTTAGCGGAGAGAACGTACGGTAGTTGCGCTGAGCAATGCGGTTCTGTATCCGTCGGCGCTCAGCAGTGTCAGAGATCTTGGTCCAGTCCTCATCAGGGTCAGCAGATGCACTACTAGTACTCGAGTAGCGTCTGCGTGGAGGAGCTTCCGCGTAGGCGGGTAGTGACATGAACATGGAAATTGTGAAAGTGGTTATAGCTGGATGAGTAGAGGGTTTGAGTCGGTGTGTCGTCATGACCTAGTAATGAGCGGACGAGATGGGCGAGAATACACGGGCTTATATGCCAACGCACATGGGGACGATATGGGTGAACGAGTAATAAACAGCACCGGCCAAAGAGCACCTTTAATACAGCCAGACGTCGTTACTACTGCCAATAGTTTGCTTGTTTGCTGGGATATTAGGGCTACGGTAAGAGACGGAGGAGATGGCGGTGACAAAGATGGGATCGAAGCTCCAGTCTATAGACACGGTCGGGGCTCTCCCCAAAACTGTCTGTCGTTTCATTGCGGGCGGTACGAGTCACGAAGAGGCGCTCGATCTCCGGGAATGCTCATAACCGAAGGACAAGAGACTGAACAACCCCGCGAGAGAAAGAGACAAGAGGCATAACGGACTCGGATGGCAGAAGTGCTGCCCAGTGCGGCTCAACATCGGACGACATGTGCCCGGGGTATATTGGAGGGGCGTATGATATGCAGAAGCGGGGATGAAGTTCTTTTCATCGGTCAACTGGACCTGTGATAAAGCAATACTGTGGGAGTTGAAGGCGTTATTAAATGGCTCAAGTTACATGTGTCAGAGAGGAGCACAGTTCCTTACACAGTATCCATATCGTAGCCACCAGCAGATCGGACAATCTTAGTCATACGGTCTCAACAGCCTGCAACGGGTAAATTCCCCGAACCCCTCCTCAAGCTGATGACTACACATCTAAACTACCGCGCAGCTTAACTTTTGGCGCATCGTGTAGCGCGAGTCAGTATCACATAGGCGAAGCATGTGCTTGGAATGTTCTTCGAAGGCGCTAGCTCGTAGCCTTACTATTCTTCTAGCAAAGTGTTACAGCCAGCTATGCTAGCGCCTCCTCAAGCTAACGACTACAAACCTAAACTACCCCGCAGCTTAACTTTTAGCGCATCATATGGCGCGAGTCAGTATCACATAGGCGAAGCATGTGCTTGGAACATTAGCATTCGGGACTGAAAAGATGTGAGGCTAGCGGTAATAAGGCGAAAGCAGCCATGGTGGAAGATTACGAAGTGGTGATCTCCTGCGTGCTCAGTAATAGGCACTAAGCAGCGGGCGAGCCGTGGTATAAAGGTAAAGAAGGGGCGATGGAGAGGGTGGGTGAGCCCATTCACCGGTCCCAGACACCCTTCTGTGCTCTAATAGACCGTAAAGTCAGGTGGGTTAATACTCGGTGACTCATAGATCTTGCTTGTTATATTCCAGGAGTAATTGCGGCCTCATAAAGTCTCGACATACACGCAGATCCATGAGGAGGCAGAAGCCATTAGATTCACGGGTACGCATGGATCAACTTTTCGTTTTACTATTGTATCGCAGCTACGCGACGAAAAGTCCGATAGACAAAGCTCCATGCATGCGCTCGTTAATCAGCGAGACAAGGAACGCTTTTAAGCCGAGTACAGTTCGGCTCACATAGCCGGACGCTATTTTGTTAGCTCGTCCGGATTCTTTAGCCTGCGTTCAGGCCTACCCCGACATACTATTACTAGATCCCACGTAATTACAAGACAAATAAGCATGGCATGCAGCTCCTTGGTATGACTAGAATCGATGTTTGCTAACGACCCTTTTTGCACAGCCTTTGCATTCCTCCGTGGCGAGACGGAGGATGACATATTTAGGCAATAGACCCGCTGAAGTTGTTACACGAACAAAATAGCGCGGCAAATTGTTGTATCGCCTGCATGAATACTGGTGTGAACGCTGCCCTTTCCCCTTCCTTAATGCTTCGTCCGTAGTATGCGAAGAAAGTGGTGCTTGGTTAATGCCACACCGCCTTCTCTCGTAAGCCACAACCAGCTATCAACGGCCAAGCAACAAGCAGTACTACAAACAACACCAGTCGGGCTGACTTCTACTAGTTTTGGCACCCCATCATGGGCTCAATGAACGAGAGAGCGTTTAGGAAACGTACTGCTTAACCAGCTTTCAGACTGGAGATCTAATCAAGCGCTACAGCAAATTCAGGTTCTAGTTGAATTTTCGGGGTAGCTATATATCCCAGTACGTAGCTGGGTATCATATAAAGCCATGAGAAAAGATAAATAGTAGCGGAAGCTGTTGACCAGAGACCCCCTCCCACAACATGTACTAGGTGGTATTCTTTATCACGCCGGTTGCCTTGTCTGAACACTTTGAAGCCCCTATACAAGCATATCAGAGATATTTTGCTTAAGCACTTTCACCTGCATTGATATCTAGAGTGTGACACCAGTTGACCACATTTAGAGCCTCGTCAGAGTATTGACCCGCCGTTTCAAATTCCAAAATTGCAAAACTAAGTCCTAGAGGGGTAGTTACGCAATTTCTTGTACACGTACGTACGTATGTACTGTATTTTAGCTGCTGTACATACAAATATGTACCATACAAATTTCCCCCTTCCTTTTTAGGTAATACTGGTAACTTAGTAGGCTTCTCACGGTCCTCGTCATCTGCCATTCTGGCCTCAAACCTCTGATTCCACCTCAGTGCCAACCCCTAATATATCACCCGTCGACTGTAATACACCCTCCCACTCAAAATCTCCACTGGTGGAGGCCATCACACCATCCATCCAGACCTTCTTGCCCTGCGCATTCACCAAGAACTCGAGATATGAATCTTCGAGTTCTAGCCAGTCCTTCTCCTCAAGATCCGCCCAGCGCTTTTTATGGGCGTACTCCTGATCCTTAAGGCGATCTAATACGCGGTCGTTCATAAAAATGAAGGCCTGCATGTCAGCGTGCATGGGCGTAAGGCGATTTCGAGCTTTCGTGTGTATGAAACTAATAGCAGAGAAACTTCGTTCTGATGGCACAGAGTTCGCAAGCGTGTTCATTACCTTCACGGGTACTCTAGCCAGAATCGAGCCCTGGTTGAGGAGGCACTGCCACGCCATTGCTGGCTTGAAGCCATCATCGTATACAGCGCTGTGCTTATTAAACAAGCCGTTTGGGCCGCCTGTACGCATTCGGAAGTGTGTGAATTCGGAAAGGGCACGGTGATATTCGTCGTCGTTTTTCCGCTGTTTCTGCAAATACTCGTGTACGCGCGCAAAGACGCTAGGCGGCAGTTTCGAATTGGGACCTATTGTATCAGGCCGGAGGGCATCGGCGATCCAATGTATATCGTATGTTTGCTTATCGAGCCGGGCTTTGAATAAAGCGTCAATGTCGTCCCACGGAATATCAGGAAACTGATCAGCCTCTCCCATCTCAGACCATTTGCTTTTGATTTGCAGCCAGTGATTTACAACGTGTGCGATTCCCGCCCCATCAGCCTCGGAAGCGTGTTGAAATTCGTTCACGGGTTTTAGCATAGCGATCGCAGCCTCCAGTTCTAGCCAGAAGTTGTTGTCTTTGATGATTCGAACCGCTTCGGGCAGGAGAACGGGGCAATCTTGAGATCGCAGCTCATCCCGTACATCTTTTCGAATAGACCAGTCTCTGGCAGGGTCACGAGAACGGAGGAGGGAGAAGAAAGAATTGTCCTGAGAACCCCAGCGTGTAATTATACTATTCGGAACGAGCTAGTTAGTATATCGATTTCTCAGTCACAGCTAACGATTTACCGGTACCTTCTGATCAGCGCGCGAGTTACACCGTTCCACCTTGTGCGTTGGCACATTCTCAATCTTTGCAATTGTAATTTAGACCGTGAGAAGAACTTGAGAAGGGTGCTGACGTTATTACAGAGATCCTCAAAGAATGGAAGAAGAAGGATATCTTTAATTAGAAGCTGAAGGCCGTGAGAATCGCATAGAGAGAAGTTGATATGTGAGAGCTCTGGGAATCTCCCTAGCAAGCCGTGTACAGAGCGCATCGTGTTTTCAGTATCTGTACAGATAGAATTGGTTCTGGAGAGATCACCGCCGCACAGTTGCTGCATTTCTCCCCATATCAGCTTCACCCAATTCTCTGCTGTGTGCTTTTTGTCTCCCGTGTCAAACGTTTTCCAGTAGAAGGCTGGGCCGTCTGGTAGCTGTACCGAGATATTAACGATTCTGTGACCCGAGACATTATCTGAAGCGTTAAATATAATGTTGAACCATTCTAAGCTGGTAATGCGTTTAAAAACCTCGTCATAGAGTTCCTGATAGAAGTCGGGAAGAATTCTCGTAATGGCGGCGCGGCTAGGAGGCTTCCAGCCAGGCTTAATGCGAGTGAAGAAATAACGCCAAAGGCGGCTCTCGAAGAGGCTGAATGGCCGACTGCCGGCGATTACAGCAGCGGCGGCATCATAGGCGTAACTGTGACTATCGTCCTGCGAGATATGCTGAATTCCGACCTCTGTTATCTTCTTTTGTATGGCTTCTGAATATGAGGGAAGATAGCCAGCGTTGTCTTGAGCTTGACACTCTTGTCGCTGCTTGGCTTGCCATTTCTCACACGCAGCGAGATGCTCTTTCGGCCTCCCAACAGAGGTCGCTGCAAAATCCTTTTGGCAGTGACGGCATCTGTATCGCTTGCTTTTCTTGGAGTTAGAGCGGCCGAGGTCGATAAACTGTCGCCAAACGAAGGCAGCGTTAGCTTGGGTGGGCGCCACCTTTTTGGCGATACCTTCAACCGGGAGAGAATGGCAGAGTGTGTTTAGCTGCTCAGCCAACAGAGTTTTTGTACAGCTCCCCATATTTGTACAATATGACCCATAAATTCCCCTATTAGGAGTATTTTGGACCCCATTGTACGTACATAGTACGTGTACGTACTTTTTCTTTCTGTACGTACTTTTTCTTTCTGTACGTACGTACGTACAACACGGTTGTTCATACTGTACAACATCACTAAATCGTATGGCAGAATCCAGTTGGAGGATGGCCAAAGGATCCGAAGCAGCGAAGTGTTGGGCAGTACACGCAGGCTGCTTTCGAACAAGACGCGCAGGGAACTGTTCTTCATATGGCTATTGCGCTGGGCTGGACTGAGGAAGAAGTCACTGTATTCATCTCGCATTTTAGACGTGAGATTCGATCACCCAAGATTCACTCGTATTTCCGGCAGAAGGTTGTTTGGGGACGGAAGCCTCTTTAAGGCTGGACCGTTGGGCTTGGTGATTATCTTGAGGTCATTTAAACTTCCTCTCCATATTGATTGAGAAGGAAATAAATATTCTGTTGCTATGTATCAGTCTATAACTAGAAGGAAGGCATCCAATCCAAATTAGGAGCTCACAGGTTATCACTCAAATCAATGTCCGTAAAGAAGCCTCATCACCAGGCGCCAAAAGCTGAACGGATCCCTCGAGTCTCGCTGTGGTTCTCTGCTATAACTTGCTGCTGACGCTAATTTGCCTTTCTCGCAGTCTGCAAGAACTGTTATAACTCGACTTTCGTCTCCGTAGCCCCCTCAACTAGCGCCTCATGTGAGACAAGAATCCCGAAAGCCGGTGTAACACCAGATAACTCGGAGACGAAACTCAAGTATATCAAAGTCTCTTTCCATTCCCTGAGTTCAGCTGATGCTAATAATCGGTCAGCTAACAGAGACTAGGCTTCATTCCTTTATCATACTATAGTATAATCCTATATGTCAACGATGGAAGAATATTGCATATGTAGAGTTAGGTAGCTTTACATGGGAGTTTAAAGAATTGTAATAATTAATTTCGTCTATTAAAAATGCAGCAGCAGCCAACCACGTTATACATTCCCAGTGTCACCCATATTATAAGCAATTGCACTTTATAGAGCGAGCTTACAATCCAGAACCGGAGTTGAATGTCCTGTATGCCCTATCATACCCTGCCGCAGCCCGATCGTCAACCCTCCCATAATCAGCAGGTAACTCAACCAGATTCTGCGCATGCATCTCATGTGTCCTCTCGTCATGCAACTCATATCTCGTCTCTTCATTAGGTTTCCCCGCGTCGCTATCCGTCAATCGCTGCGAAGACTTTCTATTTTTCCTTCGTAGCACAAGCCGGGCGACAAGTCCTATTGCTCCGAGCCCGCCAATGACAGATCCAACTGTGATCCCGGCCTTGGCACTAGTGCTGAGGGAGCTTGTGGACTGGGTTGTGGACTGGGTTGTGGACTGGGTTGTGGACTGGGTTGTGGACGGGGTTGTCGACGAGGGCAGTCTGCTTCTCTGTGGCCTTTCTTGCCACAGTTCCAGCATGTTGGGGGTGGTCTGTTTGACCTAGTGGTTCCGATAGTCATTGGTCCAGCTTGAGTGCCGTAGGAAGTGTCGGTTTGTCGTGGCCTTCCTTGGTTGGCGTTGTTTTTGCCCTGTTGGTTCTTGTTCCAATTGGGTCGGTACGAGTTTCCGTTTCTGGTTGCCTGTTTTTCCTTCCTTCGTTCATATTGCTTGGTGTCGATGTCTACCACAATGTTGGCGAGATCGTTTAGTGTTTTCGGCTTGGGTCTGATGTTGACTAATGCGTCCTTGACTTCTTCCTTCAGGCCTAGGTACACTTGATCCATGTGGGCCGATTCGTTCCAGTCGAGTTTGGCTGCCTGGTAACGGTATTCCGACAGGTACGCCGCTGCGGATCCTGTTTGTCGTAGGTTCCGAATTTTGCTTTCTGCTTCTCGTCTCTCGTTTGCTAGCCCAAATGCGTGGATGAGTTCTTGTTCGAAGTTCTCGTATTTGTCATAAACTAGTCTGGTCATGTCTTTTCGTTCGTGCCTGGGATTGTTGACGTAGTCTCGAACGATCGGTTCCATGAGTCTCTGCGCCTTGCCTTTGAGAAGGCTCATAGCGTGTCGAGTTTTCATTTCGTCCGTACTGAATTGGACGGGGTAGTACAGTTGGTAACTGCGGAGGGCCGTGAGGAATCCTTGGAGATGTTCGGCATTTCCGTCATACGAGTCAGGCTGCCTGGGTCGTAGGATTTCTCCGGGGTCTTTTCCTGTTGCGACGAGGGTGGCAGTGTGTTCGATGTGCTCCTTGTACAGGCGTTGGGTTTTCTCCGCTTCTTCGCCAAGTCCTTTGGCGATGCTGGTGAGGTTCCCAACCTGTTCTTCGAGCCTTTCGATTTTGCCCTGGGATATGGTAGCGTTGCGTCTAGCACTGTTGAGGAGTTCGTCGTGCTGTTCTCTCAGGTGTTTAAGTCTTCGTCTGAGTTTCTTGACCTCATCTTTATGGCTTTTGGGATGCATGGGTGGAGCGACAATTTCTCCTTCTTCATCGTCGTCCGTATTCATGGGCATGTCTAAGCGTTCCTGGGACAGGGGCTGAGGAGTCTCAGCGACTGACGGCTGTCCAGTCTCAGCGGTATTGGGGCGGTTTGGGGTAACGGGCGCCATTGCGTAAGTATTGCTCAGTGTTAACGCGGTACGGTCTGAACAAGAGCTATCAACGTGTGACGGTTGTGGTTCCCAAGGGATAAACTAGTCCGTACTAGGTTTATGTTGGCAGATGCGTAGGGCGTTGTGATACTGAGCGTAGCGAAGTGTCACGTCTCTTAATAGTCAATAGAGCGGGTAAGGCGTATTCAGGTAAAGATGTTTTATTGATAGCTGTCGAGCTAAGTGTACTAACTAATGCTAAGTGAATGTATATATATACTCAAGGGATCCTTAGGGGATCGCTTGGGTCTAGGGATCGCGGTGATCCTGGATTACAGGTGCTCTTGGAGCGTGGTGATCCCGTGTAAGCGTGATCCACTTGTGATTGGTCTGGTGAACTCGGGAAGCGAGTTCACGATTAAGTGGGTCAAGTTGCATGGAATTTGTGGGGTACACGTGACGTAACCGCTAGGGTCGTAACATAAGAGGCCTAAAAGAGAGGTAGAAATGAGAAATAACCTAAAGAGGTATAAAATAAAGACCTATAGGTAGGTCTAGGTAAATAGACCTATAAGAGGTATATAGCTAGGAAAAGGGGCTAAAAAGGTAAGGTAAGGTTTAAGAAGCCTTAGGAAGACCTTCTAGAGGTATTCCAAATAGACCGAGCTAGATCCCTAGGGGTATCTCGCGCTATAGAAGCCGCTGAGGTAGCCCTAGTACAGGTTAAGGCGAGACCTATAGCCTGATCTAACTGGCTAGCTGCCCAGGGGCCTATAAGGTCCTATAGCTTCTGGTAGGTCTTGGCGGTCTCTAGGTCCATATGTGACGGTTGGGTTTTCCAAGGGATAAACTAGTCCGTTCTAAGTTTATGTTGGCAGAGTCGTAGGGCGTGTGATACTGAGCGATTGCGAAGTGTCACGTCTCTTAATAGTGAATAAGGCGGGTCAGGCGTATTCAGGTAAAGATATTTAATTGATAGCTGTCGAGCTAAGTGTACTAACTAGTGCTAAGTGAATATATATATACTAATGTCTACTATATTGGGAGCGACGATGAGTTAGGTCGTCGTCGGTCCTGGAGCGACGCGGTCCTGGAGCGCCGTCGGTCCATGTAAGTGTCGGTCCATCGTTGATTAGCCGATCTTGCGGTACGATGTGGGGAAGTGAAAAGTGAAAAAGTGGGGTACACGTGACGTAACCGCTCAGGTCGTAACACCATAAGGCTACCTGCAGAGATAATTAGAGGGTGAAAGAAGGCACCTAGGCACCTGTATTTCCTCTTTTTCTCTTCTGCAGCCTCTCGGAGAGTGCTATAAGGGTCTTCCTTGGCTGAATCCTTTGAAATAGCCACAATTTGAATATCATAGAAGTGGCAGCTAGTTCCAAGGGTAATCGCTAGGTCGGCCTGCAACCTAGTCTCCTTCTGGACTAGTAGCTCTTGCTCGGCCTCTAGGGTAGGCTAGCTGCTTAGGGCTTTATAAAAGGCTCTAGTTACGGCTTCATGCCGGGCTATCTACCTTTTATTAGCGCCCTTACAGGTATCCTCATGACCAAAGGCAGGAATACAGCCACAGTGGGTACAGGGTAGGCTAGTTGGCTTGATTGGGTAGAATAGCCGGCTGCGGAGGGCTTCAGTGATCTCAGTATCTGCAAAAGATAGGTCTTTTCGGGTAGGCAAGACACTAAGTGTTACAATCCCAGCGGTTACGTTACGTATACCCCACAAATTTCCTCCAACCAACACCAAGCTCACCTACACCAGAGTGAGCCTTATAAATTTACTCCTGCACGTATAAGACTTACCCTATAGCTTACCTCTTACATCGTAAGCCTTTCTGTGACGGTTGTGATTCCCAAGGGATAAACTAGTCCGTACTAGGTTTATGTTGGCAGATACGTAGGGCGTTGTGATACTGAGCGTAGCGAAGTGTCACGTCTCTTAATAGTGAATAGAGCGGGTAAGGCATATTCAGGTAAAGATGTTTTATTAATAGCTGGTGAGCTAAGTTCTATCTAGTGCTAAGTGAATGTATATATACATGAGGGTTCACTTATACGGTAGTGAGCCTTGGGGAAAGGCTTACGATGTAAGAGGTGAGCTACAGGGTAAGTCTTACACGTGCAGGAGTAAACTTGTGAGGCTCACTCTGGTGTGGGTGAGCTTAGTGTTAGTTGGAGGAAGTTTGTGGGGTACACGTGACGTAACCGCTGGGATCGTAACACATACCGTATATCACTATTCACATATAATTCCTTAGGTATATAATTAGGCAACCGGTCTAATCTCTCCTTTCACCTCCTGTATATTATCATTCACCTTATAGCCGCCTAACTATAAATATATCTCCTCCCCCCCCTTCCCTCTTCCCTTAATCTACTAGTCTAAGAGAAGGTAATCCCTTATTACGCTATAAGGCACCTGCACGGCACTGTCAATACACATCCACGGAGCGGCGGCAGTGAATCATCAGGCTAGGAGCCAGTGAATCATGGTTAACCTCGCTCCAGACTCGGCTATAAATACCCTTCCCCCACCACTTCCTACGTCTTCATTCCCTTCCTCTTCCACATCACTTCAAGCTACAAAATCAAGCAAGATGTCTTCAGACTGGCTGCCTTGCGACTGTCTCGTCAAACTCCAATGCGACGAGGAGATTAATGTGGTTCATGGCTATGAGGTAAGTATCTCTATGTCCCTCCCTAAGTATCGAGACCGTTACTGACTATGAAATTAGACTATAGGAGATGCGAAGGAGGAGCCTTGCCTTGAGTGTGCTCTACTTATCGCCCTCCAAGGTGATGACCTCGACAAGGCCGACATCTGCCTTGAGTATGGTGGTATATTATTCTATTAATCTGATCAAGTAATATCACTATCGCTAACAGCTATTCCTTTTTCCAGGCAGCCCTAATCGATGTGTGCATTGCGTCGCGCAAGGCAATATTTGCTCACCTGTATGTCTTTATAGTTATCCCCAGCGTTTTCTTAGTATTTCCCTTTACTAATCCTTTACTTCTCTTTTCCTAGATCCGATGTGAACGCCTACGTATCGACGTTTTAGCTATGATGGTGGTTTGCCGTCTCTATTTTTATCATGGCGGTGCTGAAACCCCTGACCTTGTTAGTGCCTTTCCCTGCTAGCTATTTTCCATCCTCGATATTAACACCCTTTAAGTTCAAAATCGTCAACGAACATCAAGATAAGGTACTAGAGTCTTATGACCTGAGCGAGGATAAAAATCATGTATCGGCCCCAGTTAGTGCCTTATAAAGAAAAGGCAGGAGAGAGAGAGGGGAGGGGGAGGGTTAACAGTAGAGAGACTCGTACGAATACAGTACTATCGGATTAACTACCTGCACATTACATAAAGAAAGACCGCTAGAACTATATACTTATGAGCCGGAATTACTGCTACTAATATAGCCAGTCCGCTTCTAAAATCCTGGCAGTTATTCTTAACTACCTGGTTATATAGTAATCGCCTCTAATAATAAAGTTTTAGCGATATAACCTAACCTTTCTAGCCTCTAGCTATACTATTCTTTAATAAAGAGTTGCTTTTTCTTAAATAAGTTAAATAGAGGTACTTATTTTAGCTTGGAATATAAGGTAACCCTTCCTACCTACGTTTTTTTCTTTTTATCTTTTTCCTTCTTATCTTCTCCTCCTCTTGCCTTATTACCCAAAGGGACCATCTGATCTAATACTATACTCTTTATCTATAGCCTACTAAGAACCATTAAACCATGGATTCCTTTTACTATCACCCCTCTTTAAAAGTACTAATCTGCAAAACTTATCATAAAGCAGAATTAGGGAATAATATACGCTAATACCTTAGCAATTTCCCTCACGATCTCTAATAAAGTGCTATACGAGCAGAGAAGGCATATATAAAGGCACTATAACTAGATTATATATAAAACCAGAAGGACCTTTCTAGACTACCATCCCTAATCCCCCTCGGGCCACCTATCTAAGAGCTCGGCAGCCTATACCCTAATGGATTTAAATGCACCTTCGAGCCGACCTGTCCATAGGTCTGTGCCTCTTAGCGTGAAATAAACCGTCACCTGCGGGAGATTCATCACGATGCATACCATACCGGCAAGAGAGGCAGACCGGCAAAGGGAAAAGCAGCACCGTCTAGCCCACACTTCCGAATATAGGTCTATTATTAATGCCTATTAAGATAAGGACCTTATAGCGAGTATTTCGAGGTTAATCTATTTATATAGCCCGAGTAACTATCTGATTAGGAAGAGGGCTTCATACAGTACTTTATAATATGCTACCAAACCCGCTAGAAAGAAGCAGACACGATAGAGTAACCTAACTAGTTTCTATAGCCTTCCCTATAGGTCGATAGGATAGGCTTAGCTACGTACCTAAAGGACTTTACCGATAATAAGGTCTTTCTATATAGTCTTATTTCTCTTAATATTTAAATAGATGACCTACTTAATAACGAATATAACAATAATAACAATTAACTCCTCTATGTATTGATCTTTAGGGTATTTAATTAGCTAGTATGGGAGATTAGGGGTTTAATATATCGCCAGGGAATCCCCTTTATGGCAAGACTTGATGTCGCGTGAGTCTCGTACTATATTATAGCCTCTAAACCCTTTACGTTTAGCCATAAGGCAGAGACTAAGAGACGGTATATTAATATAGCCAAGTAGCTTATTATATATACCCTTCGCTGCCTTAACTATGACGATCTAGATAATAGGCCACCCTTCGTGCTTATAGCCCAGCTAAAGCTTATATATCAGGCTATAAAGGATTGCACTAAAGCTACTATTAAATAGTAGATGTCCATTAAGGGGGATTTATCTGATCAGGTGGTAACCGACCTGATAGAGAGGCTAAAGGAGGCTATACTTAGCCTTTTTATCGCTATCCTTAGCCAGCCAATCAAAGACTCGGAGTATAATAGCATTCTGGTCTCTTTCCTTGCCGTGTTAAGTATTGCACCTGATGGGTCTTGGCACAGCTTTGACACATTCACACCCTGGCTTTCCGGTATCGTGTCAGTATCTCGTCTGTTTATCCTAAGAGAGGCCTATCAGATCAGACAGTCCGAGATCAAAGCGAATATCGAATTAGGCTCTTCTCTCGAAAACGCAACAGCGGCTTCTACCGGCATCCCCAGGCACGTCCAGAAGCTGACAGGCAAACTTTTAGTGAACGACACACCGAGGTCTGAGTCTATGCCAATGCAGTATGTCTTCCGGCTCCGTAATTATGGAATTACGGCAAAAAGCAATACTGCATCTCCCGGCCTCATCAGCTGGAAGGGTTCCAACCTCTTCTTCAAAGGTACTCAGCTCTCCCTTTCCTCGCTGACCATACTCCTGCAGCCCACCATTATAAATGCACGCCGCATTCTCTATCAGGACCTTCTATTTCAGCCATTTAACCCGGCGGACGATACCCAGCCAGCTACCGTTCCTCCCATCCCGTGGGCCAAGTTACAGTCTCACGTCAGCCAAGACCAAGCAGGCTTTTCCATTGCCGATGGCCTATTTACTGCTGTACAGGGTAGCGAGAACTGGCTGTTATCCACCATTACAGGTCGTCCCGATCTAAAGGCCAAGTGGTATCCCTCCTCGACCGGCACCTCTCTCGCTCCTAACGTCAGAGTGTTATCCAGCTACCTCAAACTAGTGGATCAGTTACTCGAGCACCTCCTCTTCCTCATACACCTCACCGCCGGCCTCCCAGCTCGATCCACCGAGATCCTCACCCTGAGGCATACCAATACCGCTGCCGGTGGACTTCGAAACATTTTTATCGACCAGGACCTCGTGGTGATCGTTATCGGCATCCACAAGACTCTCACCAAGACACAGTGGCTTAAAATCGTCCATCGATTTCTACCGGAAGAGGTTAGAACCATACTGATATATTACCTCTGGCTTATCGTCCCGTTCAGCACCGCCTCGCTGCTAAACCTGCCTTGCAACCAAGACTGCATCCGATCACCCTTCTTATGGTTAACATCTGGCTTGGGCGAATCCGAAGAGTTCTTCAAGGCGAAGCAGGTCCGATCATCTGATCGGTTACTAGACAGCTTCAGGGTGAGGGCGGGCTTTCCAGTCATGAAGGAAAAGGTGCCCCCCACCCGAGAAGATGACGATACCCTGACCATCCAGGCCGTCGACGGAAGACGTGTCAACCCTTCCACCAAGCCGTTCACTCCTACAAGAATGACCCGGATCATCGGCCGGTTCGGCAACACAGCAGGCATCGATTCTCTCGGCATAAGCTCCTGGCGCCACATCGCAGTAGCCATCGGCCGACGGTTTATATGTGACACGTCCATCATCAGCCAGGGCCTCTTCTCTGACGCTACCGGGGAGGACAGTGACAGCGACGCATCCGATCGGGAGGTGCACGGTGAGAAGGAAACGACTATGACCCTGCAGACCGGCCACACGGCCCGGACGAATGCGATGGTCTACGGCTGAGGCATCAACGAGCACAGCTTCGAGACGTCCAGCCGCCACTCAGCCTTCCGCGAGCTTAGTAGGGAGTGGCACTTCCTCCTCGGCATGCCTTCCGCGCTCCGGACGGTGGCCGCATTCATGGCCAAGGGCAGGAAGAGAACAGGCACCGCACTCGACCTCGATCGGTTTGAGCAGCTTCAGAAGGGCAGATTCAAGCAGCTTCCGGCCATCCATCTACAGTCAGAGCTCAGCAGACTCTTAGGCAGCCAGTCTTCCTTCAGGCATGGCCAGCAAGAGGTCCTATCATGCATCATGCGACAGGAACATCCTGTAGTCGCCGTCATGCCAACCAGCGGCGGCAAAAGTCTGCTCTTCTAGCTCCCTGCCGCCGCCCACCCCTCCGGAGTCACGATCGTGGTGGTGCCGCTGGTCTCCCTCCAGGGCGATCTGCTCGAGCAGACCAGGAAGATGAACATACCGGCCGCCCAGTGGAAATCTGATCAGATGGTCGGCGATGCGAGACTGGTGTTTGTGACACCCGAGACCCTCTTCACGAAGCACTTTCAAGCGTATCTGGACATCCTATACTCTCAAGCCTTGCTCGACCGTATCGTCATCGACGAGTGTCACACCATCTTGGAAGGAAACCTAGGTTTCAGGCCGAAATTGAGAGAGCTTGGTCTTCTAGGCAGGCGAGACGTCCAACTGGTATTCCTCACAGCCACCCTGCCCGTCACGGAGGAGTCACGCTTCTTCAAGCTCATCTACAGCTCGCCCGAGGCCGCCAAGTTCATCCGGCTGCCCACCACCCAGCCAAACATCAGCTACTCGGTCAGGACGTTTGGTCTTGAAGGCGCTAATGATATCGCCACCCTCAAGGTTATAGCCGTCCGGGAAGTAGTTGATCAGGTACTTGCACGTCACGGCGGCGCCTCAAAGGCCATCGTTTACTGCTCAACAAGGTCAGAGACCCGATCCCTCGTCGACGGTCTCGGATGTGACGCCTACTACAGTGATATCGGCACGGATGCCGAAAAGGCGAGCCGTTTACGCAGCTGGATGCACGACCCACGACCCGAGATGTATCAGAACGGCCGGGTGATTGTTGCAACGAATGCCCTCGGTCTCGGCATTAACATACCCGACATCCGACTCGTTCTTCACCTTGATATGCCAAGACGGATCGGCGACTACGGCCAGCAGAGTGGTCGTGCAGGAAGAGATGGCCTGCCCAGCGAGGCCGTCATCCTCAGACCAGAACGGCCACGGCAGAGGCAACTATCTGATCAGATGGGGGCCGACACGAAGCTTGACCCCAGCTGCCGTGAGTTCCTCCGTGGCGGTCAATGCCGACGTGTGGCCCTTGATCGAGCTCTGGATGGCCGTCAGGACAGGCAGGCATGCGAAGACGGAGAGGAAAGGTGTGACTTTTGCCGAGCCAATCTGCCAGCATCAACAGACACGCCGCCAGGTCCGACCTCCTCTGGCCAGGAGGACTGCGAGACGCAAGACTTACGCCTACGCCAACTCACTACAAGCCTTGTGCGTAGTACGGTCTCCTGGCAGGCAAGGGAGGATAAAGCCGAATTGGACATATTCAGATCTCTCTTATCCTCCGAACTCAGGAAAGGCTGTCTCTTCTGCCGACTGTTACAGGTTGAAGTATCTGATCACGTGCCGTTGGCCTGCACCTATGTCAAGAAAAGTGCCAGAGATGATCTCAAGGCCTGTTTCCGCCAGGTTAATTCCCTCCAGCACTACTTCAAACAGAAGAAAGTAATTGCCAAGTACGGGGCCTGCTTCTCTTGCTTTGTGCCACAGGAGCTATGCAATACCTGGGAGGAAGATCTAGACGGTAACTGGGAAAGGGTCCCTGGGCAGATATGTCACTTTCGGGGCATTATCCTCTCTGCTTTTATCATTGCTTTCCAGTAGAAGACGAGCAGGGTGGAACAGACACTCCGTGATGAGGGTTTCCAAGATACGATCCCACCGCCTCTAGCCCATGGAAGTGATCAGGAGAAGCTACGGGCGTGGCTGGGCGAGAGGGTCAGTTGGGCCAAGGTCAGTTCAATCCGGGTATGTCGTGTTTTTGGGAAGCTAGGTAAGATCCTCCAAAGCCTATAGAGGAGAGTGCAGTTCTCGAGGGAGAGAGATAGGGACAAGACAGTAAACAATCAGATAGTTTCCATCAAGAATCCATCAAGATCATACCGTAAATAATAGAATTTCCATCATAAAGAGAAAACACCAAGACTCCATCTCAGACCATTTCCCAAAGAGAATAATAGGAATAATATACCAAAAAGATTGTAGGTAAGGGTTCCTGGTATCAGAACTATCAGATCAGTTACCTGGCCATGCTTGACCACCGTGTGCTGTCCGTGTTGGCTCCGACGGAATTATTTCACCACGCCGTCAGAGAGAGAAACGGGGAAATCCCTACACCTACAGCCACATCTTAGGAGAGGCAGTGATTCATATTCAATTCTCGCCCAGCCAAACCTCGCACCTGCCTACCTATAAATACCCCTCCCTCCCGCCTCTCTGACCTCTTTCTTCTTTTTCCTCCTTCATCCTTCCACACCACACTTCCACACATCGCCGTGGTCGTCCTGCCCTGCCTTCTCCCCTGCTAACCTTTATTAATTCAACCAATCAATTAATCAAGATGCAGCCTGCCGCGATACCCTCCATTATCATTTCTAATCAACTAGCTTGCCATATATGATATTCTATCTTATATAATATCCTTTAACCTCTCGAATATCCAGGAAGCTATACTTCTAGTGACCGAGGAGGGGGGCATTTTATTCTTAAGGTTTTTACTTCTTATCTACGATATTACATTATATCGTGGGCGATATAATAATCCCGAGCTATAAGGAAATCACCAAGTAAATCTTAAATCTAGGACGAAAGCATTACTTACTTTAAGGGTAAATATCGAGCTTGCTTGAGGCGAAACTCTTATAGTAGCTAGCACTCTAGGCATTTAAGATCTATCAGACCAGAGACACTTTATTCGACTTGTCGATTTATACTATAAATCTATAATACTCTTTGCCTATCGTATTATATACCACAATAAGAGCAACTATGGCCTATAATTTATAGAAGATATATTCTCGACTCTAGCTTCGATTAAGAGGCCCGAGAGAATATATTATAACCTGCCTTGGCCTTTATTCAATGCAGGGATAGAATATCACGGGGACCCTAAGAACTAAAGATGTATCGCCCTTCACTTTAAAGGCATTTATAAAGCAACGGGCTTGATCTATTATTAGGAACTAGTTGAGTTTCTCACGTCGTTCTGGGCCGGCGAAGAGTTAGATTGGCAAGCTGGGGCTGGCCAGTGGGAGGCGATGGGGTTACGCATCCTTGCTGTTTAAAAAACCTCGTGTTTAACAGAACGTGGCTATGAGAATGTGTATCTACTTCTATGACTTAAGAATATCCGGCCACCTGCCAGATTGTTGCCAAATGATGTGGGCGACTTCGATCTAACATAGCTCAATAAGCACTTTTCCAAATATGCTAAAACTAAGAAGATGGTATACCTGTCACTTTAAGACTTATTTCAGGAGACTTTGAGTTTATTAAGGCATGATGGTCGTTTTCTGTTCCGCTGCGATTACCTCGAGTCCCGATACGCCGCCCCTACCTCCCGATCGCTTTCGATAACTAAATTTTAAGCCAAGTTTTGTTGCTAGGTGGTGTCGATGCCTTTGTACTTGGAGTGTTTGATACTTTATTGTGTGACTTTACTAATGCTGGGCTGAATGACTGTTGGAAGAGTGACTACAGTTTCGTCCTAGAAGACCCAATCTCTTTGAGACTATGTGAGGCATTCTGCTGTATCTGATGTTTCGGTTGGATACTCCGCTAATTCTTTTTTTTTTTTTTTTTTACCTTAATGCGAGACTACATATTCGCTTCTATCTCAAGCTTCTTCATTTCTCTTTCTTGTCGTTCTCTTTCCTTCTTTCCTTCCCGCTGCCTTTTTCTATCTTATACCTGTTGGTTTTGCCCTTTACTCCTTTTTGCTGTAGGGCTTTTGTTGTTCTCCTCTGGAGAGCCTCCTCTTCCTTCTTCACCTCCATTTTAACTTTCTTCTAGCGATCTTCAGCGATCTTTTGCGGGCTATACGCCTGGGCTGAATGAGGATCTACACGATTAAGGATATGGTCTTCAAGGACTTTACCGCGCTGCATGCACTCTCTGCACGGATAATTGTCACACGGAGGCCTCGTCTTTTATCCCTGAATAGTTCAATTTCGGCCTGAAGGTCTTCAAAGGTTCTCTTAAGCTCTCAGGCCCCTGTGTCAGAGCTGGCTAAGGATAGCTTCACCGCATGATTTATAGGTTGTCGTAATTCTCGCGCAGAAGGTTCTTCTCAAGCAATAGAACCGTCTAAACCACTTTAAACCTCTGAGTCATCGTAAGAATTCTTCGAAACATGAGATGGAATGACGTCGGGTGGAAAGGCTTGAAACCCGTTCGCCTCCACCAACTGGCGATTTTCTCCGGACTGAAAGAACCTTCTAATGCACGCCAAAACAGAACCTAACGCTTGCCTTTTGATAGTCTAATCAAATTTTGCATCTTTGAAGTCCATTGAACAATTGAATAAGAGGCTATTGAGAAGCGGCCGACAAGCTAGGCGCCTAGCGGTTGCAGCCGGTAAGTAGAATGAGGTGGGAATACCGCAAGGATGACCCGATGTGCGTCGCCTCAGCCCGAAAACCTCATGTTGAAGTGCCTAGAGTACCCATCGGTGATGAGAAGGCGATACTCGCGCCTCTTTCGTGCTTTTTCCAGAGTAGCTTAACTATCACAACAACTTTAACAAGCAGTATCTCAAACGAAATCACTCTTTTGGCCCAGAGGTAAGTGAATATCGCAAATTTAATTATGAACTTAGTCCGGAGCAAAGAACAGCAATAATGGCGGAGCTGCTAGCCGGCAAGTCTCTGAGGGAAGTTGCGGATAACTTCAGCACCACTCAAAGTACGACGGTATCTCGAAGACCACAAAACGCTGGGAATAACACGACAACCTCAGATCATAACCGCGAAAAGGGCGCGCTAGGAAGCTCATGCCTTTGCAGATTGTACTAATCAATTCCTATATAAACCGGCACTGTCATACTAGCTGGAATAATATCTTACTTGAACTAGATTTAGAAGTCTCTATCCGTACATTAAAACGCCGTTTACAGAGTCATTGGCAGCGCAAATGGCGCTCCAAGAGACGAGTACAGTTATCAGAGGAGGGTGCAAGAGAAAGGCTAATATACTGCCGCCTTTAGCTTCGCCATCTCGACGATTATATACATACAAGTCAATTAAAAGCGAAGCTTTCACCATCAACTTTTCCCCTCAGATTTATTCCAGCGATCATGTTACTATACAGAATGCCCCGAATAACCCTGAAGGCTGGGTCTTTCACCGATCGGATGAGAGGTATACATAATATTAAACAACAGTCTCGGGACTTTCCTTTGATATATAATTCAAGTTTAATATAATAATTCCTTATGCTTTAATTGCATTATAAAGTTAGGCGTTGAAATCAATGGTGTTCAGGGTGGCGATCAATTCAATCTAGGGTATCCATTGAGTTGAAGCAGGGGTGGCACGGTCCCCTCGTTGATCTTTTGTCCACTGGATAGATATGTGATTGAATTGAATTAATCGCCAGCTAGATGGTGTTGTTAGTGGGGCAGGTGATTCTAGACTTTTGACCCGTAATTTTAGTAACAAATCTTCTGCCTGTTTTTCCAGAAGACAAGATTTATATAATGAATCGGCACCTGTGTCTAGCGCTCTGCTTGCCGTGGTGGTGGCCACGCAAGGCAATTCGGTCATATTCGAGCTTTTAAGCGGTAGCCGCATAACTAATAGACTCTGGGGTTCTCAGAAGCTCTGGCTCTTTACCGATTACTGTCATGTGTTGGGTTATAAGAATTGAGGTTAAGAATGATCATCGGGATGTGTCGGGCACATCGTCGGATTCAGCGGATTACGTCCTATGAATTTTCTCGCCAAGACTTCCCGATTAAGCTTAGCAGGAACCCTATATTTTTTACTTATCATGTCAGGCAGATCCCTATTCCAAAGGCTGGGATAACAGTTCTGCCTATCTTACCATTACATTTCTCACAATGGGTTTTTTCCCCCTTCAAATATCACTTTTTGTGTGTCACTTCTGTACATAAAAAATCCTAAAGTACTATTTACTACCATGGTTGTGACCTCAAATGTTCTGCTTATTGGAGGTATGGGGCTTGGCGTCATTGCCGCTTTGAGCCTTGAGGCCAGCTGCAGAGCTCAAATTACAGTTGTTCTCCGTTCAAACTACAAACTTGTCAAGCAAAACGGCTACGATATTAAGTCATGCGATCACGGAAAAATGGAGGGTTGGAGCCCAACCAAAAGTAAGGTTTACTCACAGCTTGTTATTCCTGCTACTTACATCCGCCCTGTAGTTGTGCACCAAGTTCCCCATGTATCTTCGAACGATCGGCCCTATGATTATATCGTTATTACGACTAAAAACATACTTAATACCGGTCCAGGCATGGCAGAATTGATTATACCAGCAGTTTCTTTCGGCAAAACAGTTATCGTTCTTATCCAAAATGGGCTAAACATCGAGAGACCATATTTAGAACGGTATCCATATAACATCATTTTATCAGGCATCAGTTTTGCTGGTTCTCAAGAGATTAAACCTGGCGTTATCGAACACTGCTACCATGATAATCTGCTCGTAAGCGCGTTTCGGACTCAAAATGTCGATATTACACGGGAGCAGGAAGCTGCCAAGAGTTTTGTGTCACTATACGCAGCTTCAGGAAAGGCGTCATGCTTCCACACTGCCGAGACTATATCACGAAGATGGGAAAAGCTGGTCTACAACGCTATCATAAATCCACTCTGTGCCATTACCAATCTAGACTCCGGATATCTAAGACAAAGCGGCTCGGCAATGGTAAAGATTATTCGAGATGCCATGGAGGAGGTCATAGCCGCTGCAGCAGCAGCTGGGTACACTCTGCCTCCAGATACAGCTCAGGAGTTGCTCAAGGACGATCCCATAGAAAGTCACTTTGAGCCGAGCACGCTCCAAGATATTAGGAAGGTATGTGAGAGTGCTACAAGCTTTACATCACCATGATTAACGATTGGTTGGTTCTAGGGAAACTCGATTGAATATGAATATTTGGTTGGGGAGCCGATGCGTGAAGGACTTCATCTCGGCGTCCCAATGCCAACCATCTCAATGATTTATGCAATGTGCCAGGCCGTACAAAATAGAGTGAGAGCAATTAAATAAATAGTGAGAAATAACATATAGAATGTTTTCTAACACTATGTTATACTAAACTCTGTAGAGATTTAGTGCACTGTATGATGTTTAGTATTATATTATATTTAAACAATAATTTCTTACTAATATTAGATTGCTTAGTATACAAATAGCATTGTAGCCCAAGTAAACTGAGTAGGGTAAGGATTAGTTATAATATAATCTCTTTTTTTCTTCAAGTATTTTTTTAAGACCTCTATTATACTTAGTTTCTAGCTTTTTACCAGTAATAAGCGTTTCAAAACTACTTATAAAATAATTTATGCTAACTTATGTTAAATAATTAAATCCTGAAAATAGTAACGTATGTGAAAAGTGAGTGGGTCAAAATTTTAACCTTTAAAAATAAATCACAATAAAAACACCACAAACTATCCGATCAATTGAAACTTGCTACTATACTCTTCTACCAAGGCCTAGATGCCTTCCTGACAGGTTCTGGCATTATGCCCAGTCTTGCCGCTTGTTCCCCGGCGCCTAAACCTCGGTCGCCCCGAACTTCCTTGACCACCACGTCTCAGCCATACAGCTTCTATCTGTGTATCTATATCTATCTGATTACTTGGATTCCGACTCTCCCCTACAGATGTTTTCCCTCTATATTGTAGGCGGGTTTTTTTGCCTTGCGCCGCCGCCTAAGTATCTCAGTTGCATGTCAAACATCTTGGAGATCAGCCCTTAATAGAGCACTCTCATGCATAACTCCCTTTACTGCCTCAGTAAGAGACTTTATAGCTTCAATAATTGACTCTGAAGAGCTGCTATGATGTCTTCTGACTCGTCTTTCAAGGTATTCAGACTGAGACTGAGCCTCAAGGACTGTCCTTGGGGCCCTTGAAGTCCAAGATTGAGCTTGGCTAGCCTCTTCCTTGGCAGGCGTTGGAGTCCGTAACCGCACATCCAGCTTCGAGATCACACTTTCCGGGTCAAAAGGAACATGTCCAGCTCCTCTGAAACCTCCCTTGATATTCTTGGTCATAGCGACTTGAAAAGCGGCATAGACGGCAAGAAAGAACTCGATCTTGGAAACGTGGGTTATAGACCTTCTGATCAGATGCAGGTGCGGAAAAACTTGGCTATTAAAATACTTCCACGTCATATTGTTGTATACATCACGTCCTTTGTGGTGGTCAAGCCATAACTTATAGCTCCTTGCGCTATTGAGCGCTTCTGACGGAATTCAATCATTTTTTACGAGCGACACACGAACTTTACAAAGACACTCACAATTCCACCAGCCAGGTTGGTACTTACGCAGCTAATCGACCGGAACCTTATGCTTTGTTCCAGACGCGAGCTCACCATACAATTGTAATCAGGACTAGCAGAACTCCGATAAGACCAGCTATAACCCTAATTCAATATATAGCTTCGTCCTAGTATATTCAATTATTCCATCGTGGAGAAACTAGCGACCTCTGCGCCTAGCAAAACTAGTGCTAGAGGCTAAATGAGATATAGTCTTCATCGCAATACATATCTAAGAGGCATCTCAGCCATCTACGAAAAGACTTTTTACACATCTAATCTAACAAGTCCAGAATTCCATCTCTATCGTCTTGCTTTCGGAAATATATAAGGCCCAGCAAGATAGTTTAGCAATCAAGGTGAGCTCAGGTAGACTGCTACTAAAGTTACCTAGTTCGCGATACATGCATATTCCGTGCTACTTTTTATCCATCCGGCGCATTAATCTCTTCTTTCAGCTGAGTATATCTCGAAGCTAAACACAGCAGATGGGAGTAGCCAACTCCCGATAGTCTAGCACATAAGGGAAATATAATACCTCCGGTAGTATAGCATGCTTTTTGGCAAGATAAGTGGCAATTTCGCTAGCCAGGCATGCATATAAGCACTTCTGGCCTGCAAGAATCCGATACTCGGAAAGATGGATGGAGGTATACATAGGGTTAGAAGAGCCAAGCTCCTTTATTAAAATTAAGCGCCATGACATGACAGTTAGTTCTAAAAAGGGCTCGTTGTTGGCTAGAAATCACATTTGCCGATAAATCAGGGCCAGAACTTAACCCCTGTCGAAGTCAAATGTACCAAGCGAATGGGTTTTCGAAATTCAAGTCTAACCCCTGTAAAGAGGGTTAAAATAAATCAAATGTACAACAATTAATTTTGGGCTGTAAGACTAGGCTTAGGTCAGGTCTCCTAGACATCGCCCTTAGGTAAATGTGAGAATTGTGGATTACATTACTGCCACAGATTGAAAGAATGCCATTCGTCTTCAATACCTTCTTTTTTTTGTTTATTACTACTTGCTATATACAATAGTACTCCCACAAGAGACGAAATCATGCGAACTTGCAAATTCCAAGGGAAATGGGGAAAACCGGGCGAACCGATAAAAAACCCAAAACCTTGGCCGCACTTTATATTCACTGCGCCCAGCATCTCACCTTCATGATTCACAAGAAGGTACATTTGGTCACCGAGGAATGGACAAAAGCTTCTTTGGCTTCATAGCCACGTACCAAAGATGCGGATGTAGACCATCTTGGCTAGCTGCACCTCAATAGCGTAAACCAGCAGCTCAGCCATCAGAAACCCAACAAAGGACGGCTCGGGTTGGACGAAGCTGAAGGCAGATTGGAACGCCGGTATCCAAGGGGGTACGAAACCGATGGCCATGATTGATGCAGTTGAGAATACCAAGATCGGCGCGGCTCGGCTCTGAACGAAGGGGATCTTGGCGGTTCGGAGCAAGTGCACAATGAGAGTCTGCGTGAGAAGTCTGTTGGAGATTGTCAGCTATGTTGTTTGGAAGAAGTACAGCATCATCTATGCTTACCCTTGAAGAAACCAGTGCGTCTGAAACAAGTTGACAGCTTCCTTGTCGTCGGCGGACTGGACGCCGTAGTAGAACCAGCCAAGAAGATAGGTGCAAATGTCAATAACAGAGCTCGTTGGACCAAGAATGAAAACGAAGCGAAGAATTTCTATACGTGAAAAGTTAGTTTAGGTTACGGTATGGTATGTCTTGCGAACTTACCCAGGGCATTCCATCGCCGCGGCTCGAGCAGATACTCGTCGTCGACACAATCCCAAGGGATGGCGATTTGACTGATATCGTAGAGAAGGTTCTGAGCAAGAAGTTGAATGCTGGTCATCTGAAGTCAAGATTAGCATGCAAGTAGCCGGCAAGACTTGGTAAGGTACCCACAGGTGTAAAGGGCAGCCAAGCGCTCGCCGCCACAATACTGAAGACGTTGCCGAAGTTGGAAGATGCCACCATCTGGAACATCACATATTAGCCTCGAGTTGTACAGATAGTGGCCGCGGAAGATTGTCTTGCCTTGATATACTTGACCGTGTTACCATGGGTAATTCTTCCCAAGACAACGCTTTGGAAGATGATGGACAATCCCTTCTCAGTCAAGATCAAATCGGCGCAATCTTTGGCCACACCGGCTCCCGAATCAACCGAGATACCAATATCAGCATCTCTCAGCGCGGTACAGTCGTTGATACCATCGCCCAGCATACCAACACAATGACCTGCTTTCTGGAGGCTGGTAACAATGAGGCTCTTTTGCTTAGGAGTTACTTTAGCGAAAACACTGCATCGCCCGACGGCAATGTTGAATTCTTGGGAGCCTTCCAGTAGGGCGAGCTCGGGACCAGATATGGCTTCGGCGTCGTCGTCTATCATTTCTCGCCGCTGAACTAGTTCAGGAGACCGGCAGATGTTGAGGGCCACGGGAAGGGAGTCGCCTGTAAGGACCTTGACGCTGACGCCCAGTTCAGTAAGACTAGCAATGGCGTCTTTTGCATCGTCTTTAGGTGGGTCGGAGAAGCTGATCATTCCTTCCAGAACCATGTCGGACTCCAGCGTGTCGAGGTCATTATCATCGATTACACAAGATTCTTCAAGGGGCTTTGTCGCAACCAGAAGAACCCGATAGCCTTGTTCATTCTTTCTCGCGGCCAATCTCCTCCATTGTGGTAAAAGATCATGATTGAGATCTAACGTCTTTCCACGAAAACGCATCGATGAGCATCGAGAAAGAACCTCGTCGAATGCGACTTTGATGATGAGAAGATTAGCCCCTGTGATGCCTCGAACAATGCAGCCCGATCGACAGTGGTCAAAGTCAAAAGGGATGACTCGAACCTGATCGTAGTGGGCTGCGGCGACTTCACCACCGTTTGGCGGTTGGAAGTTAAGGATGGCTCTGTCCATGTTGTTTCCACTGTTGCCTTGAATGTGAGAATCGACTTTAGTGAGCTCAATGACTTCCATAGTGTCTTCGTCGTTGATGTTGGTATACTGATGAAGCGTAAGTTCGTCCTTGGTCAAGGTTCCTGTCTGTCAAACTATCAGCTGCCGTATGTCGCATAACGAGTCTTGGTGTCCATACCTTGTCGCTGCACAGAACTGTCATAGCCCCAAGATTCTGAACCGAGTCGAGGCGCTTGACGATGGCTTGTTTCTTAGACAGCTGGTGGGCGGCTCGAGCGAGATTTGCGTTGACAATAGTGGGAAGCATTTCGGGGACAAGGCTAACGGCAACGCTGATGCTAAAGAGTGCGACTGCTGATACTTGGTAGCCTATAATTTTCCTAACGATGAAGCCGAACAAGAACGACTTGACCTGACGCCTTTAATTATGACGAAGGACATCGGCAATCGATTGTTTCTAGCCCCAGTCGATCTGAATAAGCCGGCGAAGGGTTTGGATACTGGCACAAGGACGGGCATATATGGGCAACTTGTTCAGTCTTACTTTATATTGATTCATGCTTATAGAAGTAGGGGCGATTTGTGTTGGTGAGGAGTATCCCAATGTCGAAGTATGTGAAGACTTCCCTATACATGTGGCGAGAATTGCTAACAGTCTAGATCATCGGAAACGATTTGACTGCTATCCAACCTCCATGGTACATAAAACCCAAGCTTTACATTCAATAATGATGATAAAGATGTGATTCCTCCAAATGCCAAGTTTGAGATTGATGATGTTGAGCAGCCATGGATCCACGATGAATTCGACTACATTTTCTCACGCTTTATGCCGACTTCTAGCCTGGACTGGCCAAAGCTAGTTGAGAACATATTTGAGTTAGTGAGCATGAAGTAGACCATAGCACTTACTAAACGTCGATAGATACCTCAGTCCTGGTGCTGTGTACTTTATTAGTTTAGCAATACCTGATACTGTATTCAAGAACTGACAACGGGAAGTGAGGCAAGAACTCATGCATGGATATAGTAGAGCTAGTTGAATATACGCTGTCCATCTATATAGCTTTGGCTTCACTCACCAACGCTAGGCTAGCTCCATTACCTTTAACTTAGCTAGGTCCTAGCGTTGTCAAAAACCCTCAATATCCTATAAGACTCATCATGCTTGGTATCTACGTCTTTGGCGCAAAACTTAGCATCTTTATCACGATCCCCTAAACCGCGACAGATTCTGCTATTCACGACCGACACATTGCAGGAGTATGTTACAGTACATATCGTTGAAGCGATATTAAACAACTCTCCTAAAACGTTGTACTCTGCCGAAGCTCTACACACTTAATCACATGATTCCGTTAATGGTTATTCGATCCGGTTTGTTGGTTTCTTGTCTCTTCCTTCTCTAGCACTGATACAGTAGTGAACAGTTGTAGCTTCCTCTTTTACAACACTCTAACATTTATACATATCTCCACAAAGTGTTGGTAGCTTCTTGCAATAAACTGTATCCTTCTGCGCGAATAATGATGAACATTCTGTCCAAGCTTAATCCGCCTTCTGATGATAAGTCAAATGCTGTAACTGTCGGCACTTTTACCTTGACGCTTGGAAGGAGCAAACTTGAACTTTGCAACCTCCACCCATGGCACCTTGATTATCGAAAGTCCCACTAACCGAGCTCGAGAAAGTCATTATCTGTATGTTACAAAGTGACGAAGTCATTATGGACGAAGTAATAGCCAAAAGAAATCGGCCTATGTACCATACGAACTATTCGTGACGTGTGATTTGACATATTTAAATACGGCAAAATTGAAGCTCCTCGCCAGGCAGTCGCCTAGTCTAGGGGTATGACGGAAGTTACGTGGCTTGTGTCGGCTGGACTAAAAACGTGATACGGAGTGTCGCAAAAGAGCAAAATCAGGATCTGCAAGACTATCACATAGACAGGCAATACAATTATAAACCTAAACAAATGATATTCATCGATAAAAGCGGTAGCCATACTGGGACAAGGTTACGCCTAAAGGAGTACCTCCGGTTTATTTTAAGCGATTTCATCGTGGTGAGAAAGTACAGATGTTGTTAGGCTACACCTTAAATGGTGTTATATATTGCGAGGTGTACTATGAGACTATGGATGCCGCGTTGTTTCAAGGGTTTATTGAGAAGTTGTTGCCCTTCTGTGGCAGATACCTAGAGCCTAAGCCTGTCGTATTTCTGGATAATGCCTCCTTCCCTTCATCTCTAAAGCCTTAAGGAGAAACTTGCGGGGGTGAGTGTTATAATAGAAAAATAACCACTGTATTCTCCCGGTCTTAATCCTTTGGACCTATTGGGTATTTATTTGGCTGTCAAAAACTGCATTCGGAAGAGACGTTTGGAGGATGAAGAGCTCATAAAGGGCGACTTTAAGTCGTACTTGGAAATGCCGGTATATGCAGTCGGGCAGGATATGCATATTGCGTGTGGTCACTTTAGAAAGGCACAGATTTACGTTTGTTGAAGGGATATGTATAATATCAACGGATTTGAGGATATCTACTCTGATGATTTTATGCTATTTGTTGCATGCGCTCCCGCGTTATACTAAATAGTACCTAATATTACAAGCAAAATGCCATGCCCCGACTTTAGGTATGGTATTCTCGCTGTAAAACTAAAACGTCCTCTCTGGATTACTGGCGAGGATACTAAGGTCGAGGCAGTTCTCATCTGAGACTGCTGCCAGACGCTGTATCGCCTGAGTTTTTCCTCCTAGGGTAGCTTAGATTGTAGAAATGGAAAGGTGAGGAAGATAATAGTAGTAGTAGTTGGTAGACTGCCACTTGAGCCTTGGTGACAATGGATGACTGTCGGACCAGCCGATGATCTATCTGAGCCTTGTCGTCATTTACGGCCCTGAGTTTTCATACGCTCTCTTTGTTCCTTTTCTTCCCATTGGCGCTTGTTGTCTTTAACCGAGCGACGGAACATGTCGGGGACATCGTTATGGCTTAGTGGCTTCCCTGCCTGTAAATGGTCGGCAAGCATACTGATGTGATGGGATTGAACACGACGGTGTACTCCTCCGACTTGCGCTGCTCTGGGCGACCGTGTACAAAAGGGAGTCATTGTTGGCATGATCGCATATGCCTCCCTGATGTGCGCACTTTGACCTACGCTAGCTATCCTAGTTTCCAGATCCACTAGCTGGTTGACCGTGACATCCCCTGTACCAGGTTTGCCTGAACCAAGAGCTTGCTACAAGGATTAGTGGCCAAAACCCGCCATTACCAAAAGCTAGTAACGTCCAAAAGTGGCAGCGTCCAAAAGTGGCAGCGTCCAAAAGCGGCCCTTTTCGCGCGCAGGCCACAGCAGTAGCGGCTTTTACAGTGTGTAAAGCTAGAAGTGCCAGGGCAATGTCTAAGCACGTACCGTAGTCTCCATAGAGGCTGATTATGGACTTAAATGAGCAGCTGCCACTTTTGGACGCTGCCACTTTTGGACGCTGCCACTTTTGGACGCTATTATTATCCCTTCACGACTAAAGTAAACTTTAGTCAAAGAAAGATATTAACCTTCTTTATCGGATGCTTATCTATAATGACGTCACAGAGAAGTAGAGCATTGCGTTCCGATTTAGGCTTTCTTTAACGGTCATGTCGAGCCAAGAAGTTGAAACTCATTCTGGACGCATCCACGTATAATGAGACGATTTCTACCATTTGGAAGCTACAGTACAGTTCAGTTGTTCAGTTCTGTTGAGAGTATGCGATACAATACAATACAATACAAGTCTATTACGCCCGGTAGGCCAACGCCCAATGGGCTCTGAAGCTAAAGGTACATACACTTCGCTAGTTATTGCCTTACTCTCGTCAAGCCCATGAGAATCTCGCCTTATTCTTTCCAGTCTAGTTATCGCTCTTATCCTTAGCCCTCCTAGATGTTAGTAGTAGTAAGTCAACTTAAAGCCCATTTCCTCCAAGTGTTCAGTTTCCTATCTTCGACGGCTAAAGCGATGCCTGCTATTAATCATTTAAGGGCATCGGGGGTTATCGGTTAGTGTTAATAAAATATTGCTATTTTAGGGCATTCCTGTTATCTCTATTCTAGGCGACCTATGGTAATTGTAAACTTAACTATAGCTTATACTGCATTTATATTCGGTGTCTATTTCTAACTGTCTAATGCTGCCTTACCTCCTAGATAAAAGGAGAGGTTACCGCGTTTTTTATTTATACACTGAAATATCTCTTTACGTTATATTGTCCATTTCACGCATTAAAAGAGGAAATGCTCTACCGTTTCCTTTGCCTGCCTATATGGGCATTTGTCCGTCGGTGCTGCCCTGATCTAATATAGATAGCCATTCAGTCGCGCCATTCCGGTTCTAAGTTACGCCAGCCCGCTGGCCTCTTTCCATGATAATTAATCATACAGCAGGCGGGTATATTTACCAGGCAGAGCTAAGTTAACCTTTCTAGAATGCCTGCTAACTCTATCTGGTAGCTTCCTCTCTCTTCGTAGATCTGCCCTCGTTCAATTGAGAATTATGGTTTTCGCTTTAGCGAATCCCCTCCTTGGCGTCATATACGGCTCCGTGGCATACCGGGCTAACATCTTGGCTATCTTCTGAATTTTAAGCTCACTGGCAGGTAGTAGCCAGATAAGGTTAACTCTATTCCCATCTCCCTATAGCTTCTCTATAGCATCATATATCTCTCGTATATGCCCTTGACCTAACTGCTGGCGAGGATTACCTATAGCTTATATAGCCAATTTATTACTTATCAAGATCACAATGACTCGATACTTTATCGCCGGCAGATAGTTAAGGCCATAAGCAATAGCTGCCAGTTCGGCAGTATACGGGTTATATTCCTCCCTTATGCCCAAGGTAACCGAAAAGGTTTCACTGATCTTGCCGGCTCTTATCATGGATATAGGGATCTTAATAGTTCCTCCCATGCCAACCAGATCATTCCGCGCGGAGCTGCTTGTCGCTATCCTGACCGCCTACTCTGCTTTAGCTAGCTCTTTGCTCTTATCCTCTTCTTCCTCTCCTTGACTATTCGGTATAACTTATAGGCATACCTCCCATGGCGCAAGGGTAAATGGTTAAATAACCTCCATAGTATCCTTTAGTAGCTCTCTGCATATATCCGCAATACGCCTAAGAGGAGATATAAAGCATCTGAAGTTTTTAATTCCTTATAGGAGATTCTAGACCGGGTTAGTTTGCGGCAACGTATATATGTCTACCTATAGCTTGCTTACTCTCCTCTAGAACTGTTTATAGATAGTCGCTATATAGGCTTCAGCCTCAGCTACTCCTGTCGCCATGCTTATAAAGGACCCTATAATTGCCTATGCTCCTATTCTCTATACTCGCTGGATAGTATACGCCGATACTGTTTTATACGCATATATCCAGACATTAGAGGCATAGTCTACCACAGGGGCTACTATGGCTATAAAAAGCTGCCTTATTATTAAGGGAGCTATTCCCTTTAGTCATTTCAGTTCTATTGCAGCTCCTAAACCCTTCGTTGCTGCCCTTGCTATATATTGCTTATAGTAAAGTCGCGAGTCTATAATAACCCCGAGAATCTTAACTTAATCCTTCGGGAAGACTCTCTTACCCTTAATAATAAAGGGTTCTAAGTCTACCCTTCCTATATATCTGGTGAAGTATATAATTGCTGTCTTTTCCGCCTCAAAAGTCATACCGCTCTATCTCTCCTAATCAAGAGCTTTATCAATTATTGCTTAGATTCCTCTCCGGTTACTCTGGGCTATCAGTCCTGATACCCACGCAGTATAGTCATCGACAAATGCAATAGCCCCGCCATTCCTATCGATCTAAGTCTGCACTAGGTCTGCGTTAAAGAATAGAAATAGTATCGGCGACAGGGGCAACCCCTGCGGAAGTCCTGCTTATAGCAGCGGTCTGCTCTCGGAACTTTATCCATTAATCATAATAGTTGCAGTTTATTCTAAACAAAAGGCATCAATCTAGCGCAAGAGACCCTCGGGAATCCCTCTCGCCTTTATCCGCTGCAGCAACCTCTCTTTGCATATGCCATTATATGCCCCTTTAACATCAAAACTGACAAGACTTACGATATAGCGTAAGCGCCAAGCTGAGAAGATATGTTCTTATAGGAGTATAAGGGCTTGCTCTGCTAATCGCTGCTTCCGCGCACCAAAATGGTTAGTCGGAAGAAGTCCATAAGTCTCTACTGCGTAGGAGATCCTCTCAGCAACTACCGACTCTAACACTTTCCTCAACGTGGCGAAAAGCGAGATCGGTCTCCAGGCTTTCGCAACTATATAATCATCTTTACCTGGCTTCTTAAGTGGGATAATTCAAGCATGCCTCCACTGGTCTAGTATCACGCCTTCCTCCAGTGATACTTAGAAGATAGCAAAGACGTTATATTTCACTGACAGCCAGACCTACTTCTAGACAATCGCTAGTAGCCTATCTTCTCCTGGCGCCTTCTATGACTTTATTGCCCGCAGTTAACATTCCACTTCCTCTAGAGTCAGGTTTAGCATTATTACTGGATTTCTCTGTTACTTCAGTCCTTTATCTTCGATATTATATAGCAATGGCGGGAAGAACTTCGCCAGTAGTTCTTCGGCTTGCTCTTTATGGCTAGTTATTGCTGCTCTATCTGCTTTAACGAGCTGCAGTACCTTTCTAAAAGCTATATTATCCCCAGACTTTATATACTTGGCTACTTTCCAGATATTATTATTATCCGCTAGAAACTCCTTCTAATAGTTCATCTTGCGTTATCGGATAGCATTGTGATACTGCTTTGCCGCAGCGGTTACTGTGCTCTCGAGGTCTAAGGAATTCTAACCGGCATGTCTCGCGGCTCGCGCTCTATTCCTCCAGTATATATATATATGCCGCAGCTATATAAGGTCATAAGTCTACCACCGTTTTATATACGGTGACGGCTTAGCTCTAGGCATTAATGCCTAAACCGCATCCAAGACGGCCGACATTAACCTATCCGTTTTCTGCTGCACTGTATTCCCCGGCGACCTGCTCCTCAGCGTGCCTATAATCCTACTATTAATCTCTTTCCAGGGTGCATTCTTAAATAGCAGTCTTTCTTCCTGTTTTAGCGCCAGGACTGAAATTTCAAATACCGTCTTTATTATGCAATAATCTAATCCATGCTCTATACCATATATCGCGCATTTAATATTTACGTCTGCGAGCTCTTCGGAAGCCAGAACTAAGTCAATAGATATTTTATAGTCTTGGCTTTGCTATATCTTTATGCCTCGGCGAAGGAGGCTTCTAAGCATAAAATCGTTCATCAAGTCAATAATCGGATCTGCCTCGCCCTGTCTCTCCACTGCTACATCGTCTCCGCCCTATACCTAGTCATAGCAGTTAAAGTCGCTAACGATTACCACATCTACCGCTCTCCCTGATCTCCGTCTTATCTCCGTAATGGCTCTACTAAGCTTAACACATATGCCCCATAAGGCTTAAGCGTCTCCACCCGGTACGTAGATAGACGCTGTAAAGACTAGACAATCTGGCAGCCAAATAACCGCTGCCGTCACGTCTAGGGAGTCTATTGGCACCTGCTCGGCTTCCACCTCCTTATTTACCTAAAGCATACTCCGAATTACCTATCTACCTTCCCTTTCTGTCATAGGTACCATCTTAACCCATTTATAGTGCCCCATAGGTATTATCAATAGCCTACCCTGGATCCTCCGCGCCTAGGGTTCTTAGATAGCCAATATAGTTATATCCTGAATATCCTTATCGTTTATCAAACTATCATATACTGGCCCTTGCTGTCTGACATTCAGTTGAAACAGTCGGAATACGTTATTCATGCTGCAATAGATAGAGCTTCCGGCAGTTTCTGCTGTATAACTCGTGGGGGCCGCCGCATGGGATACATTTCGGAATCATTCCTATGCATACACTGTGGTAATGGCCTTCTTGCGCGCACCTGCCATAGACTTATAGTCTATCGCATTAGTAGGCTTTATGGTTCATAATCTATTGGCAGTTATAACATTGCTTAGGGCAGTCATGACGCTTAAACACCTTCGTAGTACCAGATTCCCCTCTAGCCATAAAGAACCCTTTATTAATAAACTGCCTAGCTTCTAACCGTTTTTTAAGATATATAACCATCGAGCCGTATGCCTTAGGGACGTCTCTCTTGCTGAGCCATGCTATCTTTGCTACCTTAGTGTCATTTTCTCGGCTAAGCATCTCGGTGATCTCAGCTCGAACTTCGTTCTTTTCGTCAAGCACCGCAATACGGCTGACATTATCCACCCTGATAGGGTATAGATCGTCTCATAGGATGCAGGCTCCTGGGGCCAGTTTTATTTCCGCTATACATTTCACAATCTCATGCTCTCTCTCGTCCCTGCAGGTAATCCTGACGCGGTAGGGATTCTTTAGGTCCTTAGTCACCGCTCGGCATCGCCACGTGGGATTGTCTAGTTCAGATCGGACTTGGTTCTCCACTGTCGCTCAGATCGTCCCGGCTGAGAGTCTAGCTTCATCTTCATCTAGTCTTGAAACGTCAATCGTGCAGTAGAACACGTCTATGGGGTTCAGAGGAGCGGCTAAGGTCCTCGAATCGTTATAGGGTAAGAACGATGTCAGTCATGCAACGTCAGCATATGATTATTGAGGTCCGTCCGTTGCATTCATAGCAATAGTTTCGAGCTGCTCGCGGGCCCGCTGTAGTTCCTTGGTCATCCGTTCCTCTATCTCGACCATCTGCTTGCCCATCTCGTGCATTATCTCTTCCTGCTTTGCAATAGCTTCCTGCAGTTCCTTGGTTATTTCCATCTGTTCCTTTAGCGCTTCCTGCAATCTTTTGGTCTCCCTACGCGACTCTGCCAAGAGATCCAGCGCCTTCTGCAGCATAGCCCTTCCATCGCTGCCGCTGCTGCTGCCGCTGCCATTACTCTTTCGGGCTTCGGTCGCTCGGTCAATCTGTTCTTCGGTCGGTATATTTCGTGTCGTATGTCGAGTGTTTTGTCGCGTTTCTATGGTAGTATCTTCCAATTGTCGCGCTGTGTCTCGGACCTTGCTCGTGGGCTTCACCACCCGACTCGGGCGCTTTGGCGTCGAAAAAGGGGCGTCCTGCTCCACCACGATCTCGGTCCCTATTGGATCCGCCATGACGGTAGGCTCACCAACCTCCACACACACTTCTCAGTTGGACCAACAGCAGCAATCTTCTGATTCCCTTGGGTGCGGTTAAAAATGCAGTGAAGTCTTCCTGTGACGGGTTGGGTTTCTATTTTTCAGTTCCTGTATGCGGTACAGTCCCGGCTGAAATTAGAGGCCGCCTAGCTTTCGACGTAGATTTTGTAAGCACGGACCAGCTACCGGTGATGTGGCTTGATACAGTGCGTTCACGCCCTGTCGAGACTGTGATGATTTACTCCATGCCCTCGCCATGGCTGCGGTTGTCGCTTAATGGCACCAAAAAGAGAGAAAGTAACGGCCGACTAAAGTTATAAGAAAGCTGCTATCTACTGTATCATCTTATACAGTATGTATTCTGCGTGATGCGCTCAGAACAAGTCTGTCTTTTAGGCCGAAATAATTACCCAGGCCGATATTACTGCCGACAGCATATAGAAGCAGATGCTGGGATTGATGGTCAGACGCGCGGAGGTACTTCGTAAGTAGAAATAATGTCCATTTTTGGTCGCGAAATTCAGCAGTAGGCAACTTTTTAGCCCAACCACATATGTATCTCCAGCGTATCTTCACACAGAATAAAATAGCGTGCAACACTGTTGTGTACATAGAGATAATACTTAGATCGTGAGTTTTTTGTGAAGGAGGAAGCTACCAGTGTTCAATACTATTTATATACCCGCCGTATATAGAAATTCCTAAAATCACAACTCTTCCTTGTCGCCAGCCTATGTTGACTATGTTTCCCACGATGACTACTTCTCAATTGCAACGCTCGGAAGGCAGCCGGGGTAAATCCCTTCCTGCCGTCGTGACCAATGTGCCATCTTGACAAGCAAGGATCGAGGCCTTTCAAGACGCAGAGGTCCACCTTCAGCAATCTTGCCAGTAGCCTGAGTGAGTCGAGACATTGCGCAAGCTCAGGGCCCTTGACAGTTATATGGCCCGTTTCATAATGGAATTTTCCGTCTCCGGGCAGCACATAGATTCGCTTAGGAGACAATATTGGCGTTGATGCCAGAGACCAAAAACACAATACGTTGGCGGCAAAGAGTGTTTTAAGGGATATAGCAATGAAGCAACAAGTTTTCGGAGAATCAATAAATTTACTCATTGTCTGGTAAATTAGCATCCTGCCCATTCTCCTCGTTACCAGCCGCAGCCTTGATTACGGCCTCGGTGATCTGGACCTGATCTGGAACTCGGTCCAGAAGAAGTGCCATTACTTCCTTTCTATGCAATAAATTACTAGCCGCAGCCTTGATGACGGCCTCGGTGATCTGGACCTGATCTGGAACTCGGTCCAGAAGAAGTGCCATCACTTCCTTTCCATTCTCCTCGTTACCTGCCGCAGCCTTGATCACGGCCTTGGTGATCTGGACCTGATCTGGAACTCGGTCCAGAAGAAGTGCCATCACTATCTCATTGAGTCTCCCTGCAATAAGCGAAACAGTGTTATTAGTGACCGGAACCTGATCTGGAACTCGGTCCAGAAGAAGTGCCATCACTTCCTTTCCATGCTTCCAATTACTAGCCGCAACCTCAACCACGGCCTCGGTAATCTGGACCTGATCTGGAAATAGGTCTAGAAGAAGTGCCATCACTTCCTTTCCATGCTTCCAATTACTAGCCGCAGCCTCAACCACGGCCTCGGTAATTCGAAGATTGTCGACACTAAGTAGGTTTCGCAGAACCTTGCCACTTCCTACTGCAGCGGCCACCTGCTCACATGTTTGGTTGCTTTTGTTTCGTAGTTCACCAGTGTCGAACCCATGACCCCACTCAAGGAGTTCGTCGATATCAAAGGCGCATGCAGTAAACGCCCACGAATCCGCTGCGGCGCAACAGGCTTCTAGTTTACGCCCAAGGCCAAAGTCTATGTCCCAAGGCACCCTTTGTAGGTAAGTATTCCACTTAGTGTTTGCGGATCCAGCTACCATTCCAGTATGCGTTAAACCTTGTAGTAGTTCTCGGAGCTGTCCTTCTTTTCTTCTTTCAGCAGCGGCTTGGCAATGTACCGCCCAGAACGCAAATGAATAGTCCTCAAGCCGGTTAGTCTCAATTCCATTCTGGTATCCCAGCTTTGAGAGGACACCCTTGGAGAACTGATCGGTGGCCAAACCAAACATAGTCAATAGACAAGTCTCCGCCGCTAACCCGTTGGAAAAGCTACTGGCGTAGCCCTCCTGCCTCTCCAGGAATTCTCTGACTGAAAGATGTGCGAATCGAAAGGTATCGAGCTGCGTATCGAGCACAACAAGGTTGCAACAAAAGTCAAGGATCTGATTGCTTTGTAATTGCTGATGCGGTACTACCAAAGAGACAGCGGAGAGAAGCTCGGTAGAAGAGAGCCTTCTCTGAGCACACATAAGCCAGGTAAGCACGTGTCTGGCATACTGTCTGTCGATTACACTTGGACTGTTCTCAATCTTTTGAAATATTTCTTGATACAAAGCTTCCAGTGTGCGTGGCAGGCGGCCGAGCCGTTCGAGTATAGCTTGATCTGATTTGAGTTCGCATAAAGCCTCCAGTTGGAGGCTAGCCCATCTAAACCTACGACGTTTTGATCAGTCTTGCACCATTGGTTACATACCGAAAACACTTACATGCCTTGTGCCTCAGATGCGACCCGTTCCTTGATCTTCTGACTTAATTTGTCCCGATCGGAACTGTAACGAAGCAGTTTACCAGAATTTATGAAACGGCACGTCTCAAGTTCAACAAACTTGTCAATATCGCGCGCGTTCTTCTCAGACGAAAGCTCGAGATTAGGATAGTGCCGAAGCTTGTGGACAATATCCTGATCATCACGACTCGACACAAAAATCTTGACCAGGCAAGATGAGTCTTGGAGAATTTTTTCCATAGCAGCCATTAGAGTCTCGCGAGTGGCAGGGTCACACTCATCGAGCGCATCTATGATAATTGTCAGCGTGGGATAACTCTCCGATAGCCGCATGATAAGCGCGCGAGTTTCATGTAGCTGAAGCGATCCGGCGGCGAATCCTTCTTCTTCATGCATATTGTATGCTGCAACTGTTGGGTGCAACAACGCCTGTCCAGACTTCAAATAGGATAGCTGGCGTGCAATGCTAGCCAGGATTGCCACTGGATCGGCCCGTGCTGGTTCAGCAGGACTTCGAGAACAGTAGAAGTACGCGGGAGGAGGTCGTTGATGTTTTTCAAATGCCGCAATTGCATCCTCCACAACGAGCGAGCTGGCAGGGTTAGTGAGCGCCGAGGCACACGTGTGGGTACATACACAAGTTTGCTCTTGCCGGACCCAGGTATGCCGTGAAGCCAAAGTATAGACGAGGCGCTATCTTCTTTCCATCTCTGGTAAATAGGATCTGAAAGAAGCCACTGGCCAGTCCCTTCAACGGTACCCTCCTTGACGAGTCGGTGGTGCTTGAGGTACGGCTCCTTGGATAGCCATTCTAGAATCTCTGTCCTCTTGGTCTCTTCACTTTATCAGCTAAGTTTGAAAACATCTCACCGATACTTACTATCTAGTTGGTCGGTGATCTTGATTAAGTCGTCGCTCCAGCGAGACAGGGGAGCCTGAAGGTCCGACATCATGTCTTTAAGACGATCATGGCGATTCAATTGTTCTATTTACATTAGCATCATCAAGAAATCAGAGACCTCAAGCCAAACCTTGTATGTTAGCCAAGTGAAGGCAGCGGTCAACCTTGCATTGTGCAGTGGCGATGACGGCAAAATTCTCTTCGAGATCGGATGCCTGTAAGAGCGCGCTTTTCACAACTCGCTCTGGCTGAAGTCAGCTTAGGTAGAAGGGAAAGCTCAATGACTGACTTGCTATAGATTTCTGGAAGTACTTCCTTGCGCGAGCAAGATAAGTCAGAGCGTGGACGTAGAGTTGCACAAGGGCATGTTGGAGCTCTTGCGTGGGGGTTGAGACTGATGGGCCGTTCTTAGGAGCCTTTGAGAACCGCAAGAGGAGTTCTTCCACACATGCGTAGCGGCAGAGTAGCTCAGCAAGGCTCTCAATGCTCTCAAGTACGAAGCTGCAGGTCTGGAAATCGTCTACAACGATCTGCAAAGTGTCAGCAGCGGCTACCCGGTGGAGAAGAGGGCTAGATGACCTGAAGTAGAAATCGAACTCCCGCCCACGGTAGAGCGGCATGGCCTGGGTCATATTGCACCACGATATCTCCGATATCTTTAAAGTGGTTAACCCACTTGACGACCTTGGCCAGGACATCCCGGACGCTGACTGTCGCGCCGTTTTTACGTCGGAGCCGCCACGCCTTAGCGTCACACTCTTTCTGGGCTTTGACAGTGAGCGCAAGCACTCCAGAGACAATGTCGATCTTTTCGTGGTTGAAGTCCATCTCGGCGCGAAGGTCTTGATCAAGCCTGTCCACAGCCGTTGCCCAAAGATCGTCACTGCATTGAATTAGCATTGAATTGTATGTTTTCAGTGTCCTTACGCGCTAGGCTTGGAAAGCACAAGAGGCATTTTTTGAAGTTAGTAGAGAGTGGGGACAGAGCCAAGGGGGTTTAGCGTAGTAATGGGCACAGCAAGAGTTGGCAAACCTGCAAGCGAGGAAGGGGGAGACAGGAGATTGATATGACTCGAGCGCTGATATATAGGCACGCTGGTGGTAGATGCGAGAAACAGTAAGGCTTCTCGGCTTAGATTGACGGGTTTGGGGGAGGGGTACAGAATGCCCAACGAAGAGCCTTGCAGGCAGTAGTGGATTCGTACTTAGCCATGCTCCACTTTATATGTGGATACTCATCACAGTCAAGATCATGTCGCAGAGTGGAGCACAGTCCACCAACCACCATGCCTTTCGAAAGGCGGGGTATCGTGATCAATCTCACTTGGATATCCACTCCCTTGCTTGCTGCTTGATCATCTGAAATCGTGAAACCCCCCGGCAGGACTTCAGATAAGCGAGCGTTTCAGCGCGACAATGGCAAGAAAATAAGATAAGATTGAATTTCGGCCCGCTCCTAGCTCCGTCGCATAACCAAGTACGCTATCGATTCGATGAGTTCATCATCACCTGGAAAATGGCTGAAGAGCAGCTCTGTAAATGGAGTCATCTTTTTCGCGTAGGAAGGAATCTCGTTCATCTGCAAGGAAGAGCATAGGCTCTAGGGTAGTGCAACAACAGGGTGGTGGTCGCGGCATCGCTACCGCTCGGCAGCTCGCCCAGAGGGACCAGCTGTCTCGAGCTGAGGTGCGTGTACCAGGATCAGGATGTTGGATACTAGATCAATCAAGGCGTCAAGGCTGGCATCGCTAGATCGTTCGTCTAGAACATCAAGATATGGGCAGACAGCCTGTGATGCTGTATAGCGATATAGATCAGATTACGCGTCATTCACGCGCTTAGTTTTATTCATGGCAATTTATAGTGGTCTATTTATTGATCTATTGCATCTGCTCCATGTACTCGTCGATAGCAAGCCAGTCCTTCTTAAACAGTTCAGACAATTCAGGTTCAGGCTTCTTGATGAAGTTCTTCAGCTCCGCAAAGTACTCTTCCATTGGGTTAAAGTCCGGCGAGTACGGAGGCAGGTAGAGGAGCTCCACACCAGCCTCAGCAGCTCTATACCGTCCTGCGTGTAGGCAGCGAGGATCTGATACCTCTGTTCGCGGTTGAACCTGCCAACTTGGACGGGTGTCACTCCACTTGGAGCCAATCCTTTATTGCGGTAGCCGACCCGTCTATCAGCACCCGACTCGTCCATAACGATCATCTGGTACGATTTTTATTTCGAAAGTTTATACAGTCATAGTTCTCGAAGCTTCGGGTTCCGTTGTTGCGCGACAGGATGACAGTTCTTTCGCGTCCATCGCGTATCCTTCAACGAACGACTCATGGTAGAAAGGAATGCATTGTCCTCGAATTTGTCACGGAGGTACGTCACCATCTGGGTTCGGTAGGTGGTAGGACAGTCGGCAAGCCTACCGAGCAACGCATCTCGTTTGTAAGGTGTCACCTTCTTGTGACGTTGGACACGATTCGGGGGCCTTTGTCGATTCGAACAGCCAGTACCTGGCTCGAGCTTTCCAGACGGTTCGAGGGTCGCACTGGACGATCTGGGCTATTTGTTTAGTTGGCTCACCATATTGGATCACAGCCTTTATCATCTCATCAGACAGTCGGGGTGCCATTTAGGGTCAGCAAGTCAGGGCTTCTTTTGGACATGACAGGTTGAATGGAAGATGACAGTTACCGCTGTGGGCCCATAAGCAGCCTTTGGAGACATTAGGACATGTCAGCATTTTTAGTGTAAAATCACATTTTCGACATTTCGCCTTGCACACTGTAAAAGCCACGCCAGCCACGGCCTGGTCCGTGCTCAGAGAGGTTGTGTAAATAAGCTGGGTGGCCTCTAATTACGGTCCTTACTGTAACAGGCAGGTTGGCTAGTGATTGTCTTCAGATAGTCTTGCTTTTCCCTCTATGGTTGACAGTAGGAACTTCACTTGGCTCAATTACTAACGGACGTGCTTATCTAGTGATCGTATTGGACGTGTTCTGTAGTCGTGTGTGTTCAGTATCACCATCTACGTAAGGTCGTCTAAGGACGTCTAAAAAAGCAAAGAGCACCAATAGTCTCACAAATAGGGCCAGTCACGACCTAGTCTGTGCTCAGAAACTTTATCTAGAAAGCCAAGGCGGCCTCTGATTTTGTTTGGGGCTGTATCACGTCTCTTAATAGTGAATAAGGCGGGATAGGAGTATTTAGGTAAAGAAGTCTTGTTGATAGCTGTCGGGCTAAAGGGTTTATCTAACGTTAAAGAAATTCATATATACTTGAATTGGACTCACAGTCGTGCGTCGGCTCTTCGTGAGTCGATACCGTGACGGCCGAAATCAGAGGCCGCCCGGCTTTCTACATAAAGTTCCTGAGCACGGACCAGGCTATGGTTTATGTGGCTTATCACAGTGCCCAAAGAGCTATATTGATACTGTAATTATCAGTCCCACCTCCCGTTGATCGCTGCCGTTGTCGCTTACTGTCAGCCAAAACGGCCGCTTATGGCCGCGACAAGGTCAATATGTACTGTATCATTCCCAACCCAACACAGCATATCCTTCACGACACATGGTTCTCACATCGACTTAGTCAACCAGAGCTACACTACCGTATCTTCTTCGCATTTGCTTATAGCTCATTGAATACTATTAAATTGATCTCGTGAATCCACAAAAAACTAAACTTGATCCGAGAATGATAATTCCCTAAAACCCACGATGGCCACTCTTCCTGACGGGCAGCCAATAGCAATAACAGATCCTGAAGTTTCAGCTAAAGTTGCCGATACACCAGGCCGGAAATCCTGTGGGAGCCATAAAGCTTTCCTTCCATCAGCTCCACCCGCTGTAATCCATGTGTGGTCGTGATTGATCCCGAAGCCTAATCTGGCATCCACTTCTCCTTGGACCTCCGTACTGCCCAGCTTTGGCTCGCTCTTGCTCGAGTGTGACATACTGATGGTCCCAAAATCGAGGCTGAAACGGCCTGTACTTGTGACTAAAACCGAATCGTCGTCAGTAAAAGATAAGACATTGGTGGATTGGCTCGTGTCAAAACTCTTGACGTTAATGCCCGTTGCCACATTCCATATCTTGACGGTCTTATCATATGATCCTGATGCGATGAGTGTGCCGTCCTTTGAAAACACCACAGACCTGACCGAATCTGTATGACCCTCAAGAGTCCGTTGCTCTTCACCCGTTGCCACATTCCATATCTTGACGGTCATATCATTTGATCCTGATGCGATGAGTGTGCCATCGTTCGAAAACACCACAGAGTTGACCGAACTCGTACGACCCTCAAGTGTTTGTAAAACTACACCCCAATCGGAGTCTACGTTTGGGAGTAGGGAAATCCACCTGGGGAGATAATGTTCGAATGTCCGTCGTATGAAACTCTGCTTTGGCGCAAACACAATTGCAGAGGCGTAGAGCTGGAGGGGTGCCGTGTCGATTATCCAGCGGCAGTTGAGCACGAACCGTTTCGCGTTATACAAGAAACTAAGCACTTGGGCACTTTTTTCGGGCTAAAAAGAACATCTCAGCAAATCCCTAGCATGCAGAAGGCGAAAAACTTACATCGACTATGCTCTGTAGCTCGTCTATGAATCCGATACTCTCTGATACCCTTCCCATGAAGCTCAATGCTTCCAGCCAATAAAGGAAATATGTTTTCAAGAAATCGTACATGTCGTTGCTGTCATTCGGCTCGAATTCGACCTTGGTCTGGTGATGGACCCAGTTCATACATGCATATTGAAGTTCTAGAGGTATGCATTCCTCGAGCTGCCGAACGCCCACTGCAGATCGCTCCATACCTGGGAAAGAGAGGCTACAAATGTTCTTACGCAGGGCGCTACGCATAACGCGCAGGCAGTGTTTTACCAGTCTTCGGTGAGCAAGTTTCTCATCCACCCAGAACTCCATCCTCTCTTTGTTTTCTGGGTCAACAAGATAGTCTCGAAATGACAGATGCAGCAGTCGCACAGGCATAGTTCGTTCCAGCGGAATACTCAAGACGGAATGCAGTGCATCTAATCTTTCATCCACAGCATCAGGCAGGATTTCAATCAATCGTGACAGTGCTGCTACCGATAGAGGACTTGCAAGGGTAACGATGCTGCCAACAATTACTCTGAAGTCTTTGATGATCACCTCTCTCTCTCCTTTTGGCAGTTCGGTGATTTGTGAGCATAATATCGGTGTATAGGTTTGTTCGAGTTGGGATCCATGACTTCTATTCCCATGATCCAACACAGTTTGCAATCGTGCTCGAGGGTTTCTCCGGCGATAATCGCCAATAAACCGGCAAACAGTTGCTGCAAAGATGAAGAGCGGAACAGCCATCTGTGCGAGACTTTGTATTATTGGGCGGCCTGGCCAGTCCGGTGGCAGCTTCCTTTCATCACCCACAATCAGGTTAAAGTCGTGTCGGATTTTCTTAAATTCATCCTCTAAAAAGACAATCATGTCGTGTTCGACGATCTGCGTTGGCATGTCGTGCAAAACCAGGTCTTGATAGGAACCCCGGACCTCGCTGAACCCCAGTCGAACCGGAAGCTCTGGCCTGCTCGTCAAGAGTACCCGAAATTGGGGACGTGCAGTTTTGGTTTGCGAGAAGATATTGATCAGCAACCTGATGTCAGCCTCTTGATCGCACTCGTCTAGCGCGTCGATCACCATCACGACCGATGACGGGGTTGTCGCCGTTGCCGCTGCCTCACGTAGCGGTTCCTTGATGAGCTTTTCAAACTGCTCCTTCACGGACTTTTCCACAATGGCTGGATTGGCGTCAAGTGCCTTCTTGATGAAGGATGCAACTCCTGGTATGCTCAAGGCCAGGTGGTAGGCCAGAGTCGACATTAACTTCTTGAGATTTCCTCGATCCATCTCTCCTCTCTTGAAAAAGAAGCTGGCACCGAGATCACCTCGTTCTGATCGTGAATGTGCAACAGTCCGCGAGATAGTTGACTTTCCAGTTCCTGCCATACCGTTAAGCCAGTATACTGTTTTCGAGTTGGAGTCGTCAATCCAGTGGTCGATATCGTCGAGAAGTTCCTGACGTGTGTTGGGCAAGCATGTCGGATTGTGTTCTTCGGCCTTAGAGTCGAAAGAGGCACCATGTGCAATCGGCAGTTGATTAAGGGTCATTCGGTCATTGACGTTTTAAAGGATTACGCTAGATCGGATCCGCATCAGCTGAGTCGCCATTTCTCAGATTGCATCGCTTACGTCTGATCAATATTCAATGCCAAAGATATAGTCCCTCTACAACGTTCAAGATCCTCGATGGTTCCCTTAACCTCTTTGCTTTCGAATGGCCATTTGAGTGCATGCATACCAAAACGACTTATTGCCTTTCAACTAGTCGAAGGTCGGAGCCGTTGTTTAAGCTTTCCCAGCGTTGAGTGGCCACCTTCTATCGCAGACACTAACTGTTGAGACGCTTTCAGCTCCCTCCCACGAGGCCCTTCGAGGAGAGCCTTGAGTTTCTCGGTTATGTCCTGAAAGGTAGTAACTTCTTTGCGGAGCCTTTCGATGTCGCCTTTGGAGTTCTTCACCTCTCGGGAGTATTGCAAACATAAGGAAAATACCTTGGCCGATAGATCGACCACTGCAATAACGCTGGACGCGACACCGAGCGCTTCCGCCATTGGATTCGATCACTGCACTCGCTCTCAAGTTCATTGACGATGGCAATAGCGGCCTGATCATCGTGCGGGGTCAGCGAGGCTCAGTCCTCCCAACACGCATAGCACACGTGACTCAAGCCAATCAGCAACGATGCAGAAGCCATCGCAAGTATTCACATCAGACAGGCGGAGGGGTCTGGAGCTTCGTCGCAAGCAAGAGAGGCATTTCGTTGGAATCACGACCACACCTGGTTCCGACAAAATTAGGTATGTCTTAAACCATGTGGCATTCTAGGTTGACGCGTCCGTCGTAAAATGCGTGCTGTTAGCATCTCCCCGTTTGCCAAATCGAGGATAGTGACCTCTCTTATCGATTGCTTATCGATAAAGATTTCTGAATGAGGTGCAAGGTCATCAAAGAGAGATGTGGGGCTGCTCTCTTAGCATTTCTTTGAAAGGAGGGGCCTGTCAAAGGACGGACAAAGAGAAAGAGATCAAAGGCCATGGGTCTACGTTGTTCAGGCGGTCGGAATGTTCTAGCGAGTCGTAATCAAGTGTCACAAAACGTCCTCCCATGTGTTGCTGTCGTGTTTTCGTTCTTGCATCCCTCTCGTCGTCCGTCGTCCGTCGTCCGTCGTCTGTCGTCATTCTGTAACAAACGCCCCAAGATCGCCGCTATGGAGGATGACAGTCAGCCGCTTGACCTAACCCAGTGGGACTACGACGACCTCGACTTTCGCACGCCTCAACTGTCAGGCATCAACAGCCGTGGCGTAAGCTTCGTCGCTAGCCCAAGCCCATCGCCGAGCGGCCAGAGGCCCAGATTGCCTCTGCTTCAGCTAGATGACTGGGATCCTAACGACACATATGACGAATCTCCTCCTACGTGTGTCCATTACTCAATCGAGTGGAAGCTGCAACTGCGCAAGGGAAGGCTTTCCAAGCTCACAAATGACACAGAACAAGATCTTGTCCTAGCGCCTGGCGCTCTCTGGGACAATATTCTCGAGGCCAGGGTAGATAAGCTACTAATGCAGAAAACTCCACGAGGCAAAAAGTATGTACCTGAGGAGACCATTATTATCGTCTCTGTGACCGATCGCAGCGAGCGAGACGTTACGAAGCGATTCGACGAGTTCAACATCGACTGGAAAATGGCTGAAGAGCAGCTTTCTAAGTGGAGTCATCTTTTTCGTGCAGGAAAGAAGCTCAGGATTGACATCTCGTTCATCTGCAAGGAAGAGCATCAGGGCTCTAGGGTAATGCAACAACAGGGTGGTGGCCGCGGTAGCGCCACCGCTCGGCAGCTGGCTCAGAGGGACCAGCTACTGGAGACACAGGAGGCTGCGGGCCAGCCGCGTGTCTGGAAAGACGTGTATAATCTCATGCGATGCAGCGGAAACTTATGTCCAGGCTCGTACTGCTACGTTGATAAGCAAAGAAAGCATATGGGACTCAACACGAGCATTTTAACCAAGATGGTTGAGTATGCTGAACAAGGTAACGAGCTAAGGACGCACAGAGATATGCCACCCTATATCCTCGACATAATCTACGAGAAGGAAAGACTAGACGGTGAGCGGAGAGTAAAACGGAAAGCGCCAAGCTCAGAGAGTGATCGCCCAATCAAGATTGTAAATGTCATGCTATCACCCTATGGACATCCTGCTGCAGAAGGGTATACCCCGCCATCATCTAATTTAGGGTGCATTTTACCATCAGTAGTGGACCTGACAGATCTGGTGATCCCGAAATCGATCGACAGGGCTGTAGATGACTACACTGAATGGCTTTGCGACAAGGTCGAAGATGAACGTTGGAAAACAGGCTTTCGCAGCGCGGGTAGTATCACAAAGGCTGACTGTCTCGACTTGAGGCACGTCTATCAAGATCGGAACATTGGATATTACGTTGACCAAGGCGTGAAAGCGGGCATTGCCAGGTCGTTCGTTCAGGACATCAAGATGTGGGCAGACAGTTTGTGATCCTGTGATACACACCAGAATAGGTATTATTTGTGTGTTTAGTCTTGTTCGTTATAGTAGTTTGTCTATTAGCCTATCTATTCATCTATCCGTTGATCTGTTGCTCGATCTATTGCCGTTGCTCCATGTACTCGTCAATAGCGAGCCCAGCGTGACGGAAATGGCCTCTAGCACTCTCTTTACGGTTTCCTACTGTCTCTACACACGCCTGTATGAATGCCCGGAAGTCCTTCTTGAACAGCTCAGAGAGCTCCGGTCCAGGCTTCTTGATGAAGTTCTTCAGCTCTGCAAAGTACTCCTCGATCGGGTTGAAGTCTGGTGAATATGGGGGCAGGTAGACTAACTCCACTCCAGCTTCAGCACACATCGGCTCCAGTTCATCGTTATGGTGGAAAGATGCATTGTCCATGATGAGCACGGACTTCTCCTGTGGCCATCGGCCGCAGCTAAGCAACAGCTGCTCGATGAAGTCCTTGAAAAGAGCGGAATCAGTAGAACCAGGATAGACGCGGGCCAGCTCTATACCATCCTGCGTGTAAGCAGCGAGGATCTGGTATCGCTGTTCGCGGTTAAACCTGCCAATCTGTATCGGTGTCACTCCGCTTGGAGCCCATCCCTTCTTGCGGAAGCCGACGCGTCTATCGGCACCCGACTCATCGATGAAGATCATCTGGTACGATCTGTATTTGGCTAGTTTGTAGAGGTATAGGTCTCGAAGCTTCGGGTTCCGTTGCTGGGCGACAGGATGGCAGTTCTTTCGCGTCCATCGGGCATCCTTCAACGAACGACTGATGGTGGAAAGAGACACCTCGTCCTTGAACTGATCACGGAGGAACGACACCATCTCGCTCCGATCGGTGGTAGGATGCTCGGTGAGCCTGTCGAGCAAGGCATCACGTTTGTAAGGCGTCACCTTCTTGTGACGTCCGACGCGGTTCGGGGGCGCCTTTGTCGATTCGAACAGCCGATACCTGGCTTTAGCTTTACGGACGGTTCGAGGGTCGCACGGGATAGACTGGGCTATTTGTTTAGTCGCCTCACCACGTTGAATCATAGCCTCTATCATCTCATGGTCAGCATCAGACAGTCGGGGCGCCATATTGGGTCAGCAAGCTGAGGGCTTATTCTGGACGCGTTGGGGTGGATGGAAGTTGACAGCTGTCATTGTCAGCCGCAATTAGCAGCCACTGAAAGCATTATGATGCGTAAGCATTTCTAGTGCAAAATCCCATTTCTGACATTTTACGTTGCGCACTGTAAAAGCCACACCAGCCACAACCGGGTCTGTGCTCAGAAACTTTCCCATGAAAGCCAGGGCGGCCTCTGATTTCGGTTTCCGCTGTAATACTAGGCATTACAAGGAGATTGACCTAACCGCACTGTCGCAAGCCGTATGAACTACGGACCTATTCGTACGCGAAAGCTTATCTTGGATTACTAGATTAAATAAGCGGCGTCTGTTTTTCGGTCGGACTGTAATGCCCTTATTAAAGCTAACAACTTGTTTTTAATGAAAGTTAAACGTCAATTGATTGCGTAGATCTATCTCAAATTTAACTTTTGAAGCCAAATTTATAAAAACGAGCTATATTAGACTAATTTATGACCGATAATAGATGTCGATGTATTACTCTTGAATAAGGCTTATTATGGACGGGGAGCAATAACGACAAATGCCCATGCGAGTCTATAATCAGCCTCCATCGGAATTGTAACAAGAGCCACTGATATCTAGTCCATAAATCCAATTTCAGCCGTCAATATACCTAGTCAGCGCCACTTTGTTGATGGAATGAGATTGGTGATTGCATGCACTGTGAGTGATGCACACCAATTTTTCCTGCCGGCAGAAAAAAGAAAGTGGAAAATGGCGTCAGGCATCATCTGCGGGGTCGCACAGTAGCAAAGACAACCCGCAATTTCCTGTTTGATAGCCCACACTTTCCTAAAGCAGACCCGCAAATGTATAAATACCTATAGTTATTATGCCACTGGAAGTGGTTATAACCCTCCGTAGGGTTTATGTCGTCGTGCTTTTATTCTTATATATAAGTTATACTGTTTAATTGCATTTTCTACTTGTTTTCATATAGGATTATATCCTTTATCTTATAGTCTTTTTAGTGTCTTTGTTATACCCTGATAACCATATAGTGGATGTGCATGGTAATTCTATAGTATCTTCCGCAGGTCTTCTTGTTCTGCGAATTTCTTTCCTTAACTCTATATGCTATTTAGGCTGCACTTTTCGCATTTATTAATAATATCTTGGATTTGTTTATTTAATCCTTCGATTAGGAATTATCGTCATTTATATTTCTTTTTTATCTCTGATAGGCTTGCGTAGTTTTATATATGGTGCTTTTCTAAAGCGTCTATAAGTTCCATCGTTTTAACCGCATTAAGGAGTTCCTTTTCTCCTATGATAAGTCCTAGCGTATATGCTTGTTGCATAAGCTTGTATTCTCCTTTCCTTGTTTCTTTGAGGAGTTATTTATTAGCTTTGACTGTTCCTGTGTTAAAATCCGGTCGTCGGCTAATTGCATTGGCTTTTCCATTATCTAATCCTTTTCGGTATATAATAACGAAGTCAAATTCACATAAGTACTCGGCGTACCTTGTTTATCGTCTATTAAGTTCTTGTGTTATAGTGAAGTGAATAATGTTTTTATAGTCTATATAGACTTTAATCTAATGCTTGCTTCCTATAAGGTAATATCTAAACTCTTTAAAGCAGTTAAAGATTGCTAAAAACTCCTTATCGTATATAGGGTAGTTTAGTTCTGCTCTATGTAGTTTATGTGAATAGAATGCAATAGGGTGTAGTTTCCTAGTGTCATCTTGTTATCTAATCTGCCCTCCTAGGGCAAAGTCTAATGTATCTATTTCTAGTTTAATTTCTTTCGTTAGATTAAAGATTGCTAAGATAGGTTCGCTGAGGATTACTTGCTTAAGTTGCTTAAATGCTTATTAGGCTTTATCGTTCTAAGTGAATGCTTAGTTCTTTTTAGTTAACTCCGTAAGTAGGTTAGTAACTTTGCTAAAGTCCTTAATAAATCTTCTGTAGTAGTTGGCAAAGCCTAAGAAGGCTTGCATTTCTTTGACGTTAATAGGGATTTTCTAATCGGCTATAGCAGAGATTTTGTTCTTTTGCATGCATATCTCGCCTAGTCTAATAGTATATCCTAGAAAATTAACTTTAGTAACATAGAAGTGACATTTTTCCGGTTTAATTAATAGTTTAGTATCCTATAGTAGTTATAAGACCTTATAGATATATTCTCTGTATTCTTCTTTATTATCCAAGAAGATCAGGATATCGTCAAGGTAGTATACTATAAAGATATTAAGGTATTATCGGAGTATATGGTTGATTATCTTCTGGAAGGTTGCTGGTGCATTTATAAGACTAAAGGGCATTACTAGGTATTCGAAAAGTCTAAACTTGGTTCGAAATGCCGTTTTCTATTCATCTCCTTCCTTAATGCATATAAGATTATATACTCCCTTGAGGTCTAGAGCGGTAAAGATCTGTTTCCCTTATAATCAGTCCTTTAACTCCGTGATTAGCGGTAGTAGCATCTAATCTTTAACGGTATAAGCATTTAAATCTCGGTAGTTAATAACTGGTTATAGTTTTCCGTTTTTCTTAGGTATAAATATTATAGGTGCTCCTGCTGGTGATATAGATGGCCTAATATATCCCTTCTCTAATCCTTCTTGGATATATTTCTATAGTTCTTTGGATTCTCATTGGTTTAGCGAATAGATTTTTTATAGTAGGATATTCTCGTTTATAAGTATAATCTCGTAATCCTATCTGCTATACTTAGGTATTTTAGTATCTAATTCTCCTTTAAACAGTTTGTAATATCTCTAGTATTCTTTTGGTATATAAGGCATTGTTTTTTGATTTGTTTCCCTTTATAAGACTTCTTTTTATAAGTCGCTTCTGCTAAGTATGCCTAAGATGTGTTTCTTTTGCTTTATGCTTATTATATACTAGGGTATTATCCTTTATAGGTATGGTAAGTTTATTCTATGCATGCTTATACTGGTGTCTCTAGTTAGAGTCTAAGATCTCTTGTAGTTTATTGTAATTATTGTTTTATCTCTGTTTGAGTTACTTTAGAATATAACTTAGCTAGTTGTCCAGTTAATGATTAGGTTTTCTTGTTTAAGCTATGCCATTCCGAGGAGTAATTATATTTTATTTCCTAATAGTATAATATTGCAATACACTTGATGATTCTTTTCTTGGATAAGGATCTCGAGGTGATCGGTCTCTTGATCTATGATTCCGTTGTTATAACTGAAAAGTTATCTTTCCGCGTTAATAAGCGGGTATGGTATTTACTTCTTTCTCCAGGGTAAGTGGAGCTCCGTGACTAGTCTTAGATTGATGAAGTTTCTCTTAGCTCTATAGTTAATCTATGCGTTTAGCCATCTCCCCCTGATCTGAACTCGTAGTACTAGGCGGTCAGGCTCGCTATCTTGCGTAGCTCCTAGAGCACTTTAAGGACTAAGTCATTCTTATCCTTGTGCTTTACTCTTCTGTGGCTCCGTTACAGAAGGCGTTTATCTTTTCCCGATTCTTCGTAGTTATCTTTCGTGATTTTAACCTATTTAAATTCTTCTTTAAGGTCAATATGTTTAAATACTCGTTTGTTTATTAGTTCTTCGGCGAACTTATTGGGTTATTATATTTTGCCGTAGATGCTGGCGAGGTGAAGTCCATCTGCCTCCTATATGCATTCTAGTTCGTCGATGTCTTTAGATAATTCCTTATTATTCTGTTTTTCTTTATCGTTTCGGGTTTCTTTGTGTTTTCCCTTCGTAAGTTCCTTGAACTCTTGATTGGCTTTTTCGAGGATCTCTAGGTTTCGTCGGATATCCTCCTTTATTCTTTAAGCCTTTTCTTGCTGTCGGTAGTAGGCTAAGTTAAATTGAAGTTCCGCTATTCCTATGCTTTTATACTAAGAGTGCATTAGGTAGCCTATTATCTCTTCTGGAGCGTAGGGTTTGTCGTTAGGGTTTCTAGGTATTATCACTGGAAAGCAGTTATTATCTTTCTTATTTTCCCAGTGGAGTTTATACTAATAGTAGCAATATAATACCTATGCAATCTTGTCGTATTAGGGGTGCATTAGCATTGTTTCTGCCTTGTTATTGGTATTAAACTCTGGTTCCTTATGGTGAAGGTTTAGTGCTTTGCCTATGTGGTAGGCCCGTATATATATATTCTCGGCCTTCGTGGTATCTTCTTGTTCTCGCGATCCTTGTATATATATGTCTTCCCTGCTGTTAAACATGCAGATCCCTGTTTTATCGTATAGTGGTAAGTATTCTTATCTCTACTTGTTCTTAAGTTTCTAGTCTTTATGTCAGAGGTATTGCGCTATTTCTCTTGCTACTCCTCCTCTTCGTCCTATATATCAAGCGTGCATTTGTTGCCTGGCGCGTAGCCGGTGTGCAGCTTCTCGCTCTTATAGTATAATCCCTTCTTTTTCTTATACTTTAGTCCTTATAGGGAGGTTATCTATTGCTTGGTTACCCTCATTTAAGGTATTACTAGGCATCGTTAGGGTTATTATAACTCCTAGTGTTTATTTGTTTTTATAGTACTAGTCCCGTTGTCTTTATAACTGTTTTTCTTTTTATTCAGGGGTTCAGTTATGGTATTTCTTTCGTGCCTTCTTGGCCTTGACTTCCTTGGTTTTAACCTCTATTTCCTTCTGGTAATATTCCCTGATTTCATTTAGGGATTCAAATGGGTCAGATAGCGTTTTAACCGAGCTGTCTAGGTATGCAACCTATTGGGTCTTGGTTTTAGTGTCTTTTTCTAGGGCTTTTTCGTTAGCCATATTATACCCTATTCTGCACATTCCCAGCGTCTAGGTGCGCTATACTATTTAAGGTTCCTGTTAGTTAGTTATTCTGAGTATTTGCTTACCTTGGTTTAGGTCTTATGGTTTTCGCGGCTTAGGGCAGTTTTATAATATATATCCTAACTGGTTGCAGTTATAGCACTTGCATTTAGATATATCTCTTCCTGGATTATTTAGTTATATAGCTCCGAGGGCCATAGGTCTAGGTTAT